AATAATAATAATAATAATCTTAATAATAAGTTAAAAATATATTATAAATTTAATATTTTGAGAAAACCCCCATATAATAAAATATATAATATATATACCCAAAAATCCAATCCAATTCAACAAGAATATGAGACTATCAATATTTTTTTAAAAAGTCTCAAATTGCATTTTATTGTTTTTGTATTTTTAAAGATTTATAATTTTTGGATTTCAATTTGTTGGTAAAAGCGCCAATAATTTTTAATTATTATTGCATGCAATAGAATCTTTTAATTTCCCCACAATTGAGATAATATAAAGTTTAAAATTCCCGCCATTTAAGTTGTATTGAATTAATTTATTAAAATTCAGATAATATTATTCAAATAAATCAATTGATAATTTTGAAACTGAGAGAATTTATGAATTATTAATTAATTGATTAATATTAAAAATTTTTTTTTTCTAATTAATTTTTTTTTTAGAGATACTATAATATTAATTTAGAATAATAGGTTGCTATATACTGAGAAGGAATTTAGTTTTCTTAGATATTTATATTTTAATTTTTATTATTCCTATAATAATAGTGTTTTTTTTTTTTTAAATGTATATATTTTGAAGTATAATTTCAAGGTTGTGAAGTTGTTTATGACTCTTTGTTATTTTTTGAATAGCTCTAAATTAATTATTCTCAGACCTTTCTGAATTAGTTTTGTTCAATATTATTTTTATTCAAGATTACGAAGTAATATTTCAATAAGAGTTTGTTTGTCAAATCCCGCTATTTCAATTAATTGCATTAAAGGAAGAGGGTTCTTATCTAAGGATAAATATAATGAATAGAAATTTTTGACTTCTGGATCTTCGAGTAAAACAGAATAAATATTTTTTGAACTTTGATATGAATCAGTACTATGCTTAGGTCCCGATTTTTTTTCTTTTTTTGTAGATTGAGAGCTATCGGTATAAATATCTAGGTCTGTATTGTATCCCGTACTTTCTTCAACTGCCCTTTGAATTTTGTCTTTGTTTGTATAAGCATTACCAGTTCCAGTAGTTGTTTCTGCCCAAATATCATTTTCATTAGTTAAATACCACGTAGTTCCAGTCACAATGCCTTCAGCTCCAACACCTTCAGCTCCAACACCTTCAGCTCCAATACCTTCAGCTCCAATACCTTCAGCTCCAATACCTTCAGCTCCAACACCACTGGTTCCAATACCACTAGCTCCAATACCACTGGTTCCAACACCACTGGCTCCAATACCACTGGCTCCAACACCACTGGCTCCAATACCACTGGCTCCAATACCACTGGCTCCAATACCACTGGCTCCAATACCACTGGCTCCAATACCACCAGTTCCTGATACACCGTAAATTACGGCTCCGGAAACCTTAGAATTAAATTCCTCAATTTGGTCGCTACTAATGGCAACTAAAGCATCTAAATTCTCTATAGTATTAAGAACATCAACTGATTCTACTGATTCATTTTTAATATATTCTATATACTCTTTACAAACTAAGAATAAATGTTGATTCCTATTAATTGCTGAATTAACAATCATCTCCTCCAATTCTAATTCTGCCAAGGTGCCTGAATTTATAGAATTACTAGCTCCATCTGACTTAGCTTGAATAACTGCTTTCGTCATTCCTATAATAAAAGCAAGTCTTTTAGATCTATCAAATAGCAAACTTATATACCTGGAAGCATCATTCAAGTTAATAGAAAAGCAATCTTTTGGTATATTTGTATCATCTCTGAAATATGCCAATAATAAATTGGTTATATCCTCTTTATGGCTTCTAAGCTTTTTAACATGTAACCAAGGTTTTTTATACTTATTAAGTTTCATACACTTAACTAAATATGACTCTAATTCCTTAATCAAGCTTTTCAATAATTCTAATAATGCATCACAACCTGTGGGTCCACCACAATAATCAATATGTATTAGTATTCCAATCATTATATTCTTAATTGTTAAAATCCTAGAATTTATCATATATAATAAATTTAAATTACATCCAGTTAAAAACCTAATCATTGTCCTTAATGTTTTTGTAACCAATAAAGAAGATAATTCACTGGCAATTTCTGTATGTTTAACCAAATTCAAATATAACAATGATTCATAATCTAACATCTCTAATACATCTTGTTCAGGGCCTGCTTCTGATAATACTGTCATTATTGGAAATACAAGCTTTCCTTCCTCCCCCCATTTCTTTTTGTTACCCCCATCTTTTTTACCAGTGAGTCCAGGAATACTCCAAGTTCCTTTAGAACTTCCTTTCAAACTTCCTTTCAAAGTTGCTTTCAAAGTTCCTTTCAAACTCTTCTTTGAACTTCCACTCCAAGCTCCTTTCCAAGCTCCTTTCAAAGATTCTTTCAAAGATTCTTTCCAAGATCCTGTTTGTTCAGGATCTACCCAAGATCCTCCCCAGATTTTCGATTCCAAAGATTCCTCTCCAGATTCTTCCGAGGACCTCTCCCCAGTTCTAACTAAACCCAAAGAACTTCCTCTAGATCCATATTTCTCATCAAAAGCTGATAAATAAATCTCATCCTCTTTTAATTTTGAAATTAATTTTCCAGTTTCCAAATCAAATTGTGACGAATAATCTCCATCTTCCCCAAGAAAGTCAAAGCCAAAAAGCTCAATATCTGAGAGTAATCCATCTTTCAAAGGAAAATCTGGAAATTCAAACTCCATTAAATTAGGGAAAAATTCCAAACCAACTTTACTCATTTTTACCTCGGGAGTATTTAATTGGGATTTAAATAATTCAAAAATACCAAATCTATAACAAAACTTTAATATGCTCGAATAAACATTTAAAAATAATCCTGTATTTTTCAATTCCACATGATTATTCATTTTTGTTCGATTTCTTATCCCTTCAATTTCTTTTATCTTTTCAATTAACTCTTTTATAAAACTTTGTGTACATTTTTCTGGTTTGATTTTATAATTATCAATAAATTTATTTAATGGGTGGCTTTTGCTCGATAATACATTCTGACTTAATATAGAATTTATATTCTCCAACCTTAATATTTCATCTATACTCTTATATACAATATTATCCTTCCCACCCTCTTTAAATGGTTGATATTTTTTTATTTGGCCTAATCCATTATTTCCCTCAACCCTTTGTACACAAGCAAATATTGCTGATAAAAAGTATTCCAAAGCTAAAGCATACCCAGCAATTACCATTAAATCCTCATAATAATTACATTTTGTACACCCATGCTTTAAACCAAAATGTTTATGACTTTGTTGAACATATCCTTTTAAACGATCACCATCTTCTTCATAATGTATACCAATTCCAGATGAGTATCTATTCAAGTAATCATCCAATCTCCGATTAAATTCCTCAAATAATGTATTATACTTTAACAAAAGATTTAAATAATTATTTTCCAAACAAGTAATTAAGTGACCAAATATATCAAAATTAGATGTTAACTCAAAAAATGTTTTTGTTATCTTTTCCTGATCTAATAAAAGTCCAGATAACACATTCCGTGTAAAATATTGTAATGAAGGCATTGTAGATACATCATTTCCTCCTTTTTTAATATCTTCTACTACACTCCCACATCTTTTCAAAATATCTTTGATTATCAATACTAAGGCTTCCAATACATCTTCTAGTCTTCCATGTAATCTTTTAGTAACCATTAAATCACTGTTCATAAAACCATTATAATCCACTTGTCCTCTATTAGCATTTTTATGACCAATCTCCTCATATTTATTGTTATAATTGCGTTGATTTAGCCTGTGTTTAAGTTTAATAGTATTCTCCAAAGATTTTTCCAAAGCAAGAATTTTCTCAGCTGTGCATTCATTTAACCCACTTATATTTACTGACATTTTATTCAATAAAGTATTTAATATTTCCATCTCGAATTTTCCCAATACGTTTAATAAAAGTATTATATAATCTGATAGTAAGTTTTTCACCATTCCATTGTACATTTTACCTATGGATTTCAAGTATTCTTTTTTATCAACTCCAAAATCAGTCAACTCAACTAAATCCTTTGATGAACCAAAACTCTTACTATTATCCTTCCTTATTAAATCAGGCATCTTTTTTTGAATACAAAAATCTAAAAATTCCATTAATAATTTTAAATAATATTTCTCAACTGAAATATTTCTCTTAACTTTGGTTGAATTACAAACTGGACAATTATTATTATTATTCATTGAAATACCCAATAAACTATTTCTTTTATTTATTATCTCATCTATATGTTCTTTTCCAGAACTACCATGAAAATGAACTTCATTTTGTAACTTTTCCTGATAAAAATGTATTAGATCTTCACTTTCTTGTATCTCTTTTATAATTAACATTATATTCTTAAAATTACATTCCAAGCTTGAATATACGTGTTTTTCACTAAGTAATAATTGTAATCCCTCCAAAACTTTCGGATCATGTAAATCAGAATTGATATTAATTTCTCGCTTTAATTTCTGATTAAAGTTAAACTTAGTCGCTTCTTCACTAATATCTTGTGCAAATGAACCAAAAGTTAAACAAAAAGAAATCATGTCCAATGACAATTTTATCAAATATTTCAATGAATGAATTTTATTATTTTTTGCCTCACTTAAATTTGGGTTTTCATATAAATTTGAATCAGAATTCTCTAATTCTTTAATTTGATTTAATCTTGAGATAAACTCTAGTAACATTGTAACCAATTCGGCATTACAGTCATGAGAATCAAAAATTAGCTTAAAACCAGGTATATTTTGAATATATTTATGCATATTATTTGTTACTTGTTTTCCCTGATCTTCAGACAAATTTTTATATATCCCAAGTAGTTTTAATGAATTTCTAATATTATATACATATTTACATTCCTTTCTATAAGCCTGAGCTTCTGCCTTTAATTCTAACTCAGATTGATTTGTAGCTAAAATTTCGTTACATTGATTTAGTAATTTGAACAATAATTTAATAAGTAAATTATAAATTGTAATTTTTTCTGTTAAAATGAACCTTGTTGATTCTGTAATACATATATTACGTGTGCATTCATAATTTAAATGATTGCATGCATTGCATGACATTGCTTGCAACTTTCTTTTGTACTTTTCCACTTGATTAGTATATTTGGTTTTTAAATACATCCAATTTTGTAGCTTTTTTAAAGATAGACAGTCTTTTAACTGATTAAATCCACCCAATTGAGTTATTAAGTAAATAAATAATCTAGCTCCATATCTTGACTTAACTGGAAATTTATTATAATTCGATATCAAAAACTGTCTTAAATCCAATACTGTTTCGTAATTAGAAAACTCACATTCTTTTGTTTTTATTAACAAATGATAGAAATCTTCTTTTGCATTTGGAGTAACGTTGTATATTCTCTCACAAATTTCAAGTAACTTATTTAAATAATCCACTAGCTCTAGTAAGAGCAAAATAACTTTTTCTGTTTCTTTTACTGGTTGTTTAGCTTTCCCCAAATGGTTAATCAAAAAGTTACTTTGGCCCACATTAGAAGTTTCACTATACCTCTTTTTAGCTCTTTCTAAAGCCTTTGAAACCCTAAATTTTATGACAAACAACTTATTTAAGACTTCCAATTCACACTTGAATTGTTTAACTTCTTTTATTATATCATCCGCTAAGATAGTCTCTACGAATGTAGAAACTGAGCTTCTTAATCCTTGTGCTAATTTTCTGATGTCTTCCTTTTTGGGGTCCAGGTATAACAAGTAATCTCCAGTCAGGCTTTTAAACATCTCGGAATTAAGTGAGCCGGAATTTGTTATAAAGTTACTAGGAATATCAGCGGTGCTGGTAACGGAAATACTTCTAGTGGGTGTAGCAGTTGGTGTAGCAGTTGGTGTAGCAGTGGGTTTGGCAGTTGGTGTAGCAGTGGGTGTAGCAGTTGGTGTAGCAGTGGGTGTAGCAGTGGGTGTAGCAGTTGGTGTAGCAGTTGGTGTAGCAGTGGGTTTGGCAGTGGAGGTGGTAGTGGGAGTGGAGGTGGTAGTTGGTGTGGGAGTGGAGGTAGTAGTGGGTTCGGTAGTGGGAGTGCTAGTGGCAATTCCTGCAGTATTAGTATCAGTGGATTTAGACGATTCTGCAACCTCAGTCTTTTCTTCTTGTTCTTTTTGTGCCACTTCCTCCTGTTGACCACTTTTTAATAACATTTTTTTCCTTTGGTATTTGGCCTTAATTAAATCATTTTTATGATGAGTAATCGTTTTATTTACTTCCTTTAATTTAGATTCAATCTTTTTTATTTGGGTTTGAGTGTCTCTGCATTTTCTAGATTTCTTACCCTTTTTTTTTCTATTCTTTTCGTTACATTTTGTCAATTCGACCACTTTTTTAATAGACACTAATTCTGCTTCTAATTTAATCTTTTCTTCCTTTAAATAAACAATTTTTTTTAATTTACCTGAAATAAATAAATCCAATCCACTTAGTGACATTTTTTTAAAATGTCTCCTCAATATTCCTTCACTAATGCCTAAATTTGGCTTTTTCTTATATAGAGTTGGTAGTTCCAAAAACGAAATACCAGCTACTTTCGGACTTATTTTCGGTAAATTTTTGTTGGAATTAGTAAAAATTTCATGATTTACCATTAAAAAAAATGTGATATGAGTAATAATTAACAAAAATGAAGTTTTTACTACTTTTAAAAACTTCATCTTTAAAAAGTGCTAGTATAAATTTTTTTGATTATAATTATTAAACTTGCTTTAACTTTCTAATGATAATTTCTGTTATCTTAAGAAAATTGTACTCAATTTCCAAGTTTTTTAAATCAGTTTTTTCTCTATTTTAATTAATTTGGCTAGTATTACTCTTTCTTCTATATATAAAGAAACTACCTCCTCTTAAAAATTAAAAAAATAAGCTATGTTAAATTTTTATTTTTTTTTCCACTCTCATAATTTATTCTATTCTTTCTACTAATTGACATTACAACATTTCTGGATGTATTTTTTATGCCGCGCATATTTTGCATGTACATGCATTTTGTATTTCTCCCCACTATAACTTTGAGATTCATCTACTTATTTTATTATTTTTTTTAATTAAATATTTGTTGTAAAAGTAATATTTAATAGATTAAAGTAACATTTATATATATATGAAACGAAGGCTTATTTTGGATATTTCTTCACTTTTTTTATTTTATGTTAATTTTTTTTTCTTTTTTTTTTTTTTATGATTATGTGTCAATCAACATGCAATTTTAAAGATTACGTATTTTTCTTTTTTTTTTTTATTTAATCAAATAATAAATAAATAACAGTTATTTTTAAAATTTCTAATTGGTATTTTTAGTATCAATTACCCTAAAACTAATTAATTTATATTTTACTAGATGTGATTCTAATATTTACACCAAATCATTTATAATTGATTGCTATTTTCTAATGCAATACTTTATTTGTTTAAAAAACCCGCCTTAAAACTCAAATAATAGTAGCAATAGACTTGGCAGTTCCTAGATTTTTATTATAAATCACTAAATTCTTCTCAACAGCATCCAAAAATACAAATGATTGGGATAAATTATTGTCAATCACTCTTGATTGCCCTATTTTAGAATTAAATATCACAAATTGAACAATAAATGGACGATATCTTTTATCCAAACATATATGTAATTTGTCCGAAAAAATATACCTTGACCCAAATGAATTTAGTTGGATTGTAACCATATCTCCAGTTGATGAAACACATGAAATCTTGTTATTATTGTTCAAATTAAAAATTGAAACTATTGAACAACTTCTTATATTTGCATTGTTTTGGTTCTGACCAACAATTCCATTACTTATCCCTCCATTCAAAATCTTATTTTGATTTTGATGATTATAATCATTTACTTCAAAAGGAGAAATTATTGCAATTTTTGGTGAATAATCATTTTTATTCAAATTTATTGACAATATTCGGCCATTAATTGTTCCCAATAATAATGTTAACTCAACATTGTCAGCAAGTCTTGAGTGAATTCCATTTAAACCAACATTAGATGTAGAAGCATTTATTCCTTGAGAATTCGGAAAAACATTTGAGATAATTGTCTTTTGGAAATTAAAATTTCCATCTCGTAACCATAAACTTGTTGTAAACCAACACGAATTCTCCAAAATAGTCTTATCATCATTAATTCTATCACTTGTTACATTTCCATTACTATATTGGAGTGTATCCATCTTACTACATTTATCTGCTATACCTACTATATCGTGCATCAAATTCATTTTACAATCCAATAAAACTTCTTCATTTGTTTGAATTTCTAATGACAATATCAATCCCAATTTTGGGCCTCCCAAAAATATCAAACTACGTTCCACTGTTATTTTCTCTATTCCTACTCCTCTAATACCCTCATCTTCAATTGATATTTCTTTTATGTACTTCTCCAATTTCTCACTAGAAATAAAACATGTCTCCTTTAATACATCAACAGTTGGTATTACGTCGTAAATCAATGAAGTATCCTTATTAACTATTAACTTTCCATCATTCATCTCATCCTCATTTATTATTTCTGAAGAATCTTTTCTCATTGCAAATCCAAATAAATTACACCAACATTTTGGATGATAACTATTCTTTCTATCCCATGCCATTCCTCTTTTTATCTCACTATCCTTACCAGTCCATTCTTCGACTATACTTGATAATTTGAATGGAAAGTTTATCCAGCTTATAATCTGGTTTGTTGATAAATCTAATACTGTAAATAACCCATCAAATATCTCTAAACCCTTTTCTTCCTTGTAACTTAATTCTATATAATTAGAATTCTCTGATATGTTCCTTCTCTTATTCTTCTTCAAGGAAATTGGAATTGGTAGTCTTACACTATCAATGTTAGTACTATTATTAACACCATTTATTTCCTCTTTTGAATATTCCACATGCCAAAGTATTCCCAAATACTGATAAGATGTTGGATCTATATAATGAATTTTTAATGGAACAAAAATATGCCCTTTTTCTATCCATTCAAATGGAATATATTCATTAAATGGTACACTAGAGCAAATGCTCATTGCCGAAATATTCTCTACACTTTCTTTTTTTCCTGCTCTTTTTGTATAAACCACTGAATCATTATATCTTTCTTTTTGTCCAACCTCATCTTTTTTTACTACATCAAAGTCTCTCATATTTCCATTCATAAACTTATTATTCAGCCTTATACTATTATAATAATAGTCTCCACTAACTCTATTTATTTCATTATTCTTGTCTATATCTGTGTCAAAACCCAAATTTGGAAGTTTTGTTGATGGTGTTGAATTAATTATATCCCAGTATTCATCATTTTCAACAAAATCTCTATCATCATACATCTCTCCAGATCCATCTGGAAATAATTCCATTTTCAATTTAAATGTAACAATTGACCCTCTTTCTGTTATCATAGCAAAGCTTGTACTAAAAGTTGGATGTTGTGCAAAACATAAAGGATTTCCTAACTCATATTCAATTCTTTTGGTCTCCTTTCCAGTAATATACTCGGAGTAATATTCAAAGTCATCACTTTCTAAACTTTCTTCGTTTTCCTGTATTCTTTTCTTTGTTTCAGATGAATTACTTATAAACTTTAAGATAGATCCTTCCATTTCATCATCATTCTCCTCCATAATATCTTTTGGAATAAATAATTCATAAGATCTAACCTTATCCCTTGTCATCTCAAGTAAGCATACACTGTTTCCATCATAATGTATCAAGTAGTTATGTCTCTTATTTTTTTTGTATCCCACAAATGAAAAGATCTCTTGCTTCCATATTTCCAAACCAACCAGACCTTGTTTCTCTAATTCATTCTCACTTTTAACTAATGAATTGTTCGTTTTTGTCATATAACCTTCTTTTATATGGTCTCCAAAGTTCGGCTGGTTAAGTCCCAACTTGTTCATTATTTCCCCATTATTCTCATTTCTAAGTATTTCTGAGGTCCCATCAGTCATATGTTTTTCTTCCTTTTGTATATTCTTCTCAAACTTATTAACAATCTTAAACTCTTCGTAATTTGATCTCAGAATATCTAAGAAATACTTTTTCATTCTCAATCTTCCTTGAACTATCATATTATCTACAATCTTTATCCCAATTATATAAGGCATTCTATACTCAACTTGCCTTTTTAAAGGAAGAATTATATGCTTATAAAATAGATACCATCTATAAATCCTGATAGATAGTAAATTCATTAATTGCCTTCTTTTTCTTATTAAAACAATAAACCTATTTTTCATCCATGAAACTATATCAGCTACCATTATACATCTTCTTAAGCACTTTCTCGCAAATCCTTTCCTTAAATTGATAAGGATCTCTTCACTTGGAATTATCAATCCACTCTCATAGTTACCTTTTGAATAGTCATTAACTTGATCCAATAATAATCCATACTGACCAGACTTTAAAAACAACTTGGAAATACCAAATTGATAAGTATTTGAAGGAATAGAATAAGCAGACAAGAAGAATTCCACAATCATTCTGTCAGATAATCCATATATATACTTTTCTGGTAATAAAGACCGAATCTGTTCAATCAATGTTGAATAGCTTGCTCTATTTGGATAGCCATAATGCATCAATTTTACCATCTGTATTGTTCCAGACTGAATCATTTGGTTTAAAACTATATTTCCATTCCAAATATCTGATCTCATATGGCTATTTGGAATAAAACATCTAATAAACTGCAGTGAAACTTCTCCTAAATCTTGAATCATGTCCTTAAGATCCTTTGTGAACTTTTTACTAACACTTCTAAAGCTTGCACTTTTCCTACTTTTATATTCAGAGTCTATAATGCTATTTAATATCTCATTACTTGAATTTTCCAATATCTCTTCAAGCTCTGGAATAATCTTGTCATGGTTCTTTTCTAACCAGCCATTCAAAGTATATTCAACAGATCCTGCATAATGTTTAATAGAAAAAACTGTTGCTATATCAGACTGATTCAACTTCTTTAAACCATTCAATGGAAATTTAATTAACTTGCTTGCGGTTTCTCCTCCACACAAACCCAAAATTTTGCTTGGAGAGTGCGTAGAACCATATAAACTACCACCATGCACTGACTTACCATATTTATTATTAATTTTTTGCCAGTAAGTCAAATCTGAGATATCCTGACCTTGAGATTTGAGTCTGCTATCGTCATCTAAGAGAGAAAATAAATCAAAGATCAAATCTAAAACAGGTTGGGTTTTTGGGATTTCGATATTTGTCCAAACCAAGCCTTCCTGTTGATAAAGCTTTTGCTCACTTTGAAGAACCTTCTCTACAAAGAACTCTTGTAACTTTTCATTAGCTAAATTGATACAAAGTTGCTCAAAAGAATTAATTTCAAGTTTCTCAAAACCATAAATATCCAATATTCCTATATATAAAGAATTAGCAGAATTGGTCATGTTTTGCTTCCTCGGAGATACTGTCTCGCCTAGGTCCTCGTCCTTACATGATGTAAACCTATTAATGTGAGAAACTACCCAGTTAAATATTCGAATATAAATGGAACGGATGATTGAGTGAATTAACTGTAATGATTGCTGGCCAGTTCTTGATATAGATACTGGAGTTTGGTTATTACCTACTTTTAATTGCTTAACCAATAATATATCAACTAGCAAATCTGTACTTATACCAAACAGATTGGCTATGTTCGTCACTAACTCTGGATCATCAAACTCTAACTTTTCTTTATCTTTTAATGTCCCTTTGTCATCAGAGTCTTTAAATGTTATATTTCCAAGTAAAATTATGCCAGATAAAATCTGAAACAAAAAAGTTTGTCTTTCATTACTTATCCCATTAATATTCAAGGATTGCTTTAATATATTGAACTGTTCACGATCACTCTCCACCTCTGAGCTATAAGCCAAATTTCCCTGATTCAACAATGAATACCTGGAAGCATCTCTTTTTAAGTAAAAATTCTCCAGCTCATTATCTGTTGCTCCATGAACTAATTGGTAAAAGCAATGATATGTTCTTTCATTGTGATTATGTTTTACACACCTGCTACTTTCTAGTAAATATGTGGTTATCCCTCCACCCTTCAAAAATCCATGTTCATTATAGTAAAGCTTATTTAGCCTTCCAAATCTTGATGAATTATAGTTACGAACGGTTCTAGCATTACCAAAAGCCTCTAAAATTGGGTTTGCTGATAATATTCTTTTCTGAATATCTCTAGCTTCCTGCTCCCCAAAAATGGTGTGGGATGCATAAGATAATCGAATTTGCATGATCCTCTTTCTTTGCTTCTCCGTCATCCCACCTTCATCTGTACCTACAATTTCGGTTGAACTTGGGAGAATTCCTACTTCTGCCAAATAAGACATTACAATCTTTGCAGTTTCTGTCTTTCCTGCTCCACTTTCTCCAGAAATAACAATTGCATGATTTCTTCGATCTAAAACCATGTTTCTATATGAATGATCTGCAATAGAGTATGGGTGAGGGGGCATCTGGCTAATATGTTTCCCATAGTAACTCCTTTTTGTTTCTTCTGAATATAAGTTTGGAATGTCTCTATAGGGATTCATAGCTAACAAAACATGAGCCGTACTTGTGTATATCTTCCCTTGTCTGAATCTCACTCTAATGTTCTCAAGTATATTTGCAGGATCCAATGATGTCAAAGATGTATTATCATCCTTGTCTGTATCACTAACATATTTATAGCATGTTCCAATAGAAACTTTCTCCGTTCTACATGGGCCACTACTATCGTCATCTTTGCTATCCCTGAGTAATAACTTTCCATTAATTAAATCCACATGGTCAACTTTTAGTATTTTGTAACCCTCTTTTTCACAAGGAACCCAAACAAGGTCATTTTTCGAAAAAGACATAGTTTTAAATTATATTTGGATATTCCCAATCCTTAACTATTAGAAAGTAATCGATTAAGTAGAACTTTCCAAGTTTACTTACTCTAGCTCTCTTCCTGATTCTATATATATCCCTTTTTTTACTTCCCAATGTTTCTTTTTCAATATATTTATCTAATACAAATATATAAGTCGAATAAATTCTAATTTGGTTTGTTTTTTCTTTTCTTTAATTAACTATAATTCCCTTATTGCTGGTTAATTCAATAATCTTTAATTTTTTCCCGTATCTAACTGGATTTTTCTAGCAAAATTCCCATAACTACTTAGTATGATATTCTTTCTTTGATTACTTCAAGCTCTTTTTTTGAAAATTTTTATTCTTTAATTTAATTCCTATATTTATTGATTATCGCCCCACAATGCCAGTAATGAATGCATGTAATGGCGCTATATTTTGTGCGCCTACATTAGATTTTAATTATAATTTTTATTATTGACAGAGTAAAGATAGAAGTTAGAATTAAAAAAAACAGCGGATATATTTTTTGGCTACAAAAATCCTTGAAATAACTGAGCTATATCGGAAATACTTAATCTAATGAAAACTGAATTTTAATGCACCCTCCTTCCGCACCACCATTTCTCCCAATCCTTTCTTCTCACCATTATGTTATTAAGACTGTTAACCACACTGCCCGCCAAAATTTTCTTTTTGTAATAGTCACTAACTATCCACATGTAATTAATTATTATCGTTAATTAAAGGAAAAAGAGAGAAATAATTAAAAAGAGGAGATTTTTCGTGTAGATAAGGATCTTTTCTGGGGGAGCAAAGAAAAGTTTAAACAGTGTTTCAAAAAAGTACCTATAGTATTTATTTTATGCAAATGGGTCTAGGTAATGAAAATAAATACAAAGGAATAAAAATTGAATGGAATTCTGAAGAAGTAATTCCATATATAAAAGGTCAGCTTGCTGAAATACGCAATAATGCATTGAAAACTGTAGAAGAAGCATTTTCTGGTATTAATGATACAAAAAACAACGACCTAACTCTATTTGAAGTTGAAAGAAAAAAAAGCGATGATTTAAGGAACAATCCAACTAAAGAAGATGCTCCTCCGTTAAAATGTAGTCAACTTGAATTGTTAAAATTCCTAAAACACTCCAATGATAAACTTTCAAAATACAATATCGGGACTGAAAAAATTCATTTTGTAAATACATAATGGATTATTAGATATTTTCGCATTAACTTAATATAATTAGAAATTATTATTTATATTCAATTTTTTAAATTATTTTTTTTTTTTATCTATTCTTGTTTTTCTATATTCCCATTCCAAATATTAATTTTTTTTAAACAATATTACGCATGCAAATTGCATGTATTTGCCAAAAATAATTAATTTGTATATATAAATTAGTTAATAATAAACAAAATGGCTTTTTGTTATATAATACACCGGTAATAAATTTGTTTTTTTTGAATGTTGGCAATAATTACATTAGAAAAAGGTTACTCATAATTATGGAAAAATGACAAACAAAAATATTAGTAATCAAAATAATAATATTAATGATTATAATTTTGTTGAATTGATAATTAAAAATTTGGCTCACCAAAAATAAAACAATTTTGAAAAATAATGGCAATAATGATTATTTTCTATTTTTCTGTCAAATAACTTTTTAATATTATGTAATTTATTACAAGCAAAATTGCATGCATAAAGTTTGCATTTAGTTTAAAAAAAAGTTGCATGCAACGTGGATAATCATATTTAAAAAAAAAAATACATAGTCTTCTGGGGAAAGAACAATTCAGTAAAGAATATATAAAACTAGCATGAGAAAATGAAAAAATATCTTTTTAGTATTTTTTTATTAGGTCTCATCACACTCCCTGATAAAATTAGTGGAATTAAAACAAGTCGAGGCAAATTTTTTGATGGTTTTCAATTATTTTCAAGTCTAAAACCCAATATTCAACTTAGGTTTCTACAAGAAGATAATGATGTAATTAATAATGAAAATATATTATCTTATTTCCCCAATCCACTAAATAACCCAGAAAAATGGTAAGTCAAAACATTAGAAATATATATCTTGAAGATAATCGGGAAATTACAATCAAATTAAAAAAAAAAATAGTTGAATGTCCAACTTTGGAATAAAATTAATTTTTTCCCCCCCAAGAACTATTAATATTTGAATGTGTTTCCCTTTAATTCGAAAACTTTAACTTAATTTAAACAAATTCAGTGGCAGAAAAGGAAGAGTTTCAACTCATATATGTGACCCATTCAGATTATTGTCCATGGAAGAAGGAGACTACATTGATACTCTGCTGGAAGATATCAAGAATACTGCTGTACTTAAATGTGGTGAAAACATGGCAGGATATAATATTGGTGTTGCTATCCTTTCATCAAGTTTAGGAGATGGGGGCGAAATTACGAACAAATTATTGGAAAGTTGGAATATGAGAGATGTTAATTGTAATAACGATATAGTTTTTGTATATTTGGCAAGTGAAAACAGAGCTATAATTAGATGGGGTGTTTCAGTTGAACCTGCTCTTAATATTGTAATGTATCCAGAATTAATTAGTGAAATAGATTCCGTTTTTTTGGATAAACCAATTGGACCAGCTATTTATAATGGTATTTCAACTATAAGACAACAGTTGAAGGAAAATATTGGGCCACCTAGAAGACTTCCTCAATTGCTTGTCTTATCCATTATTGGAGGATTAACAGTTTTGGGATTCGGAGCACTTGTTGTATCTGCAATCTCTGATTCTAAGTAAGTTAATAAGACAAGCATTACGATTCTTCTTTTAAAATCATAATTACTAAATATGATTAATTTTTTTTTATTTTCCATCTTAAATAAAATTTAAATTTCAGCCCATCGAAAAGTGCCTCCAGACTAGGAAGAAGAATTGAAGCACAAGAGTTATTAAGTAGAATTCAGGCAATGGTTAAGGATGGAAGTATTGACAAAGAGTTATGTCCCATTACATTAATCGATTTGAACCGAACTGGAGTTCCTTATGTGATATGTAATAAAGGATATAAATACGAAGCTAGATCATATATGGGATGGTAAGTTATATAAGGCTAAAATATCTAAAATTATCATGTAATATATATCATTATTTGCATATTTATTTAGGATGAAAGCAAACAGATGTGGACCTGAAACTGACCCAATCACTAGAGCTATAGAAAAAAATGAATTCATTACTTCAAATAGAGAAGACGTCCCAGCTGAATTCAGAAAAATCCCTATAAAGCTTTATTTAGAGAGTCTAAGCAATATTTATCCAGATATTATTAGCGTAAGTTAATAATAATAATAATAATAATAATTTATATTATTTAACTAATCTAAAATAATTTTATAGGAACAAAACATTAAAGATTTCATGAAAAATACAAATGATAGATGGATAATACCATAAAAAGTAAAAAATCCCTGAATTAGTATCATTTTGACTTAATATGTAAATTATTGAATCCATTAATCTTACTTTTTCGCTGCCATTCTCTGCTTAAAAATAGAAATAGGTTTTCCCTTATCATTGAAAACTTTTGGTTCTTTTAAAATATTCAAATTCGAAATTTCTGTTTCTAAAATATCTAATTCATTATTGTCCTTCTTCTCAAGAACACTTTCTATATGGGTTTCCATATTATCTTCATTATACTCTTCTCCCAATTTTGAGTCCTGCTCCTCTACATGAGAGTCTGGAATATAAGGTTTTTGATTCATAGCAGAAGATAGAGGTGGAGGAATCAAATTTTTAGATATATCGACATCTTCGCTAATTTCCTCTCTGATTTCAGCTGTTCCATCTTTAAATGTAATATTTTTAATAAATTCATCACCTTGAGTCATTTCTTCCTTTATTTCAGCCTCAATTTTGAGATATGAGTCCTTATTTACAGAAAATTCGTCTTTTAGTTTAAGGGCTTCTTCTATTTTAGAAAGGTTCTTTTTCATAGTTTCAAAACAGTCCTTAGCTTGGGAAAGCCTTCTATTAATTGTCTTCTGTGATTCAAAAGTTGTTCTTTCTGCATATAAATCTGAACCTAAATGCATGAGAACTTTGTTTGTGTTTATAATATACCCTGAAGAAAATGCTAGTGGCCCCAAAGGAACCATAATTTCGTGTTGCACCTTATTTGGGAGTCTTTTAAGTACCTGCAAAACCTGCTCGAATTCCGAAATCATTGAATTCAGTTCCGAAATTTCATGTTCAAGCACCTCCTTATTTTTGTATATTACAGATGAATCGCTAATTGACATTTATGCTAGATTAACTTTCTCGCTAGTAACTATTGAATTGTATTTAGTATTTCTAAACTCCTAGACTTGTTTATTTTTGGCTTAGCTTAATGCTTTTATTAGATGATTATAGAAAAAACTCAAAGATCTCAAAAGTAATGCTACTAAATTAATCTAGTCCACCAATTTTACTGGTTATTTCCAATTTTCTTAATACCTTTTTATCTCTTTTGACTCTTAAAATAAATTTATTTAAAAAAAAAAAAAATGGCGCCATACGTGTATTTTTTTTAAAACCTCATGCATGAAAATAAAAAAAAAGTTAATAGTCGAAGTTTTTCAATAATTAATATCACCAAATAAAAATAAAGGGGCAAATTTCAAATATTTTTGGTCTAAATATAACATTTAAAATTTGTTAGAGAGAAGAATAGGAAGCAAATAAATCGAAATTGTAAAGATTATTGAGAGAGTAGGTATTAAAGGCAAGTATACTAGCATTTCAAATTTTTAGTGGAAAATTAATTTAAAGCGTATTTCAGATTTTAAAACAAATACAATTTTCCTAAATTAAATATATAATTAATAGTTATAAACGTACACACACACTTGTACATACAATAGTAGAACAATAATAAACTTGTATATGAGTACCAATATGGAAATAATCAAATGGCATTCCTAACAAAGTTAAAAACAAGTAAATTGACTGCTAGAAAAACATCTAAGGATGAACCATCTGAAGAGCCAACAAAAGAGGAGAATGAAGAAATTGAACGACCTGAAGAGAAGATGGTGTTCTATAGAGATAGACAGAAGGCAAATATTCAATCAAGAATTGGTGGTTTAAGCAGGAATCTGACTAGTCTGAGTAATAATGGTGGGGGAATGGAGGAAGATTATGAACAGAATATGGTCAAATCTCATTTAAAAGATAGAGAAAAGACGGATGACGACATCAAAACTATTTCCAAGGCTTTGGCAGGGAACGTTGTAGGAGCTTCATTGAATGAATCAGAAATTGCTACTCTGGTTAGCTCTATGCATTACTATGAATATGAAGCAGGGGAGGTGGTGATAGAACAAGGAGCATCCGGTTTTTACTTTTTTGTTATTTCTTCAGGAAGTTTTGGGGTTGAAATTAATGGAAATAGAGTCAACACTATGTCAGGAGGAACAGCTTTTGGAGAGCTGGCACTTATTCATAATACTCCAAGAAGTGCTACTATTCTTGTGATTGAAAAGGGAGGATTGTGGGGACTAGGGAGATCCACATTTAGAGATACTCTAAGACTAATTTCATCCCGAAATTACGAAGAAAACAGAACGTTCATTGAAAGCTTGTCAATTTTTTCAGGGCTAACTGACAAGCAAAAGAATCTTTTGTCAGAAGCTTTAGTTAGAGAGATCTTTGTTAAGGACCAAGTTATTATAAGAGAAAAAGAGATAGGAAATGTATTATATATGATTAAAAGTGGAATAGTTGGAGTTTTTGTTGAGGATAAATATATCCGTTCTTTGAATGAGGGGGACGCTTTTGGAGAGAGAGCCCTCATGTTTGACGAACCAAGATCAGCAACTGTAATTGCAAGTGCAACAACTGAATGTCTAACTTTGAATAGGGGAGTTCTGACTCAGATTTTAGGTAACTTAGGACAAGTTTTGAGCAAGAACTTAATTCAACAATCTCTACAAAATTCTCCAATCTTCAAGCAATTTACTAAAAATCAAATGCAGATACTACTTGATAAGATTTCTATTAAGAATTTTAAAAAAAATGTGATATTGTCTGGAGCTGAAACTAAGGCATTGAATATGAGAGCTTTTATTATTTTAGAAGGAGAAGTACAAGTCTCTCTTCCATCAAATTGGCTTTCTAGAAGGGCTAGCAGCTTAACTTCTATGGTAATAGATAAATCTATTGGGTCTGTTAATAATTACTCACTTTCTGATTATATAAATGTTAACTTGGGAAGAGGAGACTACTTCGGGGATGACTTTGTGTTTCATCCAAAAATTCCCTTTGTATGCAAGATTGAGATGAAAACTGATTCTACAATTGGAGTAATTACATCTTCCATGCTTTCTGAGTGCTTTGGAGATGAGAATGTTGATGTTGGGCTTGAGATTAATAGAAAACGAGATGCAATCAAATCGTGTTTTGTCTTCCAATACGTCTCAGAACAACAACTAAGTCTTTTAGTAAAATCTCTAAGGCTTGTCAAATTCACCAGCGGTGAGAAAATTGTTGTACAAGGTGACAAAGGAACAGCTTTCTTTATCCTACAATCAGGTGAAGTTGCAGTTTACAGAAATAACAAGTTTATTCGTTATCTTGGAAAGAATGACTACTTTGGTGAAAGAGCTCTCCTATATGATGAGTTGAGATCTGCTACCATAGAGGCTGCAACCCCTGAAGTACATCTATGGACCGTAGATAAAGAAGCCTTTCTAAAGATTGTGGAACCTCCAATGAGACGATACCTGGATGAAAGAATCAAGTTACAAGAAACTAGAGTACAAATGAGCGATTTAAATATAGTCCAAACAATTGGAAAAGGCACATTTGGAGTTGTATATATGGTTGAAAATACTAAGTCTGGAAATAAATACGCTCTTAAGAAAGTTTCCAAGTCCAGAATTTTGGCGCTCAACATGCAGGCACATGTAAAATTGGAAAGGTCCATTTTGGCGCTCAATGACCATCCATTTATAGTTAAATTGGTAAGGACATTTAAAGACACAGAAAACATATATTTACTGACAGAATTAGTTCCTGGTGGTGAACTATACGACGCAATACAAAGAATTGGTTTATTAACAAGATACCAAGCTCAGTTTTATATAGGTTCAATAATACTAGCTCTGGAATACTTGCATGAGAGATCTATAGTCTATAGAGATTTGAAGCCTGAAAACATATTATTGGATTCTCAAGGTTATATAAAACTGATTGATTTTGGGTGTGCAAAGAAGATTACTGGTAGGAGTTATACTTTGGCAGGCACACCACATTATATGGCTCCTGAGGTGATTCTCGGAAAAGGATATAACTTAAGTTGCGATGCATGGGCTATTGGGGTTTGTTTATATGAATTTGTATGTGGATATCTTCCATTTGGGAATGATGCTGTTGACCATTTAGAGATTTTCAAGGACATTTTGACTTCAAAGTTGGTGTTCCCAAGACATTTGAATGATGTAGATACTGTTAATATAATAAAGAGATTATTATGTAGGGTCCCAGAGGTCAGAATGGGATGTTCAGCTACAGGTTATAAAGAAATTAAAGATAATGCTTTCTTCAAAGACTTCAACTTTGATAGGTTGTTGGGACGAAGTTATGTTGCTCCACTCGTTAGGAAATATCGTGTTTTTGCAAAGAACGCAGGGAGCGAAAACAATATTGAAAATATAACTGGAGCTATTCAGGATTTAGAGGTTTTAAGTCCCAAAAATTCCAATATTAAATCGAATCTGAACATTAATTCCAGTGGTACCAGAGGTCAATCTAGTAATGTAAGAGGTAACAAGATCGACGAGTTTGATTGGGATGTAGAGTTCTAAGTTATTATGATTTTTTTTTGTCTATCATACAAAAAATTGAGTTGTTGGTATTATAGTATTTACAGTTTTTAATGTTCTGAAAGTAATGGACAAAAAACATTCTAAGAAAGGCATGAACAGATGGGAAATGTGGGGGCTATCTTAGTTTTGGAGAAAATAATACAAAACACAAATTTATATCTAAGTTACATTTTATACTATAAGTTAGGCATATTAGTCTTCAGTATATTTCTTTAAATAACCAAATGAAAAGAATGTAGCAATTGTAGTTACTGTATATTTGGCATTTATGTCTTCATAGTAAGGGAAAAGTAGCTCATAAATGAGTTGTTTATTGAATGCAGACAGACAAACAACTGTAAGTGTAAGGAATGAAGCAATTACAGATGCCCCACTAAGTCTGAAAACTTCAGTTACTGAAAAATCACGAAAGCTGATTTGGAATTTAGTAAAGCTTGCAACTTCATATTCCCGACGTGAACCTCTGCTATTATCAATACACCTTTTAATATTTAAGTCTTGGTAAAAGCTCTGGTTCATAATCTTAATCCAATAGGGCATCCTACAGTTTTCTGGTCTCCTTTTAGGTGTTCTAATGTTAAAATTCTTTTGTGAAACTACTATTTCATATTCATTTTCTTGTCTTGAAACATAACCCTTAATTATATAGAAGTAAAACTTCTCTACGTCAAAAACGTAATTCTTAAGCAATTTTAATGAAACTTGAGCATAATTCCCAATGTTAGAGTAGAACCAAGAAGGCTCTACAGATTCTGCATGTTGATTTGCAATGATCATAGGTTGGTCATATATGCCAATCTTTAATATTTCACTAATGGAAGAACTTTCTTTGGTAATATTGTTAACTTTATTGTGATTAAAAATAAAGTTATCATTTGAAGATGATGAGTTGTTATTATTAGTGGAATTGATTGGTTTCAAGTACTTAATTCCAATAGATATGCTATCTGCATCAAAACCATCGAGAGTTTGTCTCTGAAAAAGAAAAAACGGAGGATTTAAAATAGCATTGGTTTTACTAAAAAACTTCTGGTTCCACATATCTATACATAAGCATTGTTCATGATTGTTCAAGCTTTGTTTTTCCCAGTAGCATCGTCTTATTTTTGGATTAAAGTTAAAGTAATTCTTATTTGCATGTCTGTATATCAAGATAACTTTAAGTCGGTCATTAGTGTAAGCATCTAATATACTATCTTTTAAGGAAACGTGGGGAAGAGAGCATAAAGTCATTGAAGGAACTTCTAACCTCGAATACACAGCTATTGTTGTGGATATATTTGTCAGCTGACCAGTCTTAAGAAAGATGAAGAAGAATATCAGAGCCCAATAAAATCCAAGTAGTAATAGTGAAGAAATAATAATCAAAGCTACAATTTCGGTGAGTTTTGAATTTGGACCATTTCCAAAAGACCCTTTAGGAACAAGTAGCTCTTTTAAATAGGTGAGGATGGAAAGAATCATATCTCCAAGTTGATTGGTGATATTTATATAACTGTCTATAGCGATGATAAGATTTACTAGATAATTAAAGATAAATCAACTCATTGAAGCAGAACAATAGATCTTCGGATTCATTTACTTCATTTGTTTCCCTCTTGCAGTTTCTATTCGTTTCTTTTTTCTTTTGTTTGATTAGAATTTATTTAAATTATAATGGAAGCAATTATCTAAAATTTGCCTTTAATGAATACCCATTTACCGCTGGCGCCAAGCTGCACTTTTGCTGTTTATGGTGTGGGGAGAAAAGCTGGTTAAATGGCAAATAGATTAAAAATAAAGGAAAAGAGGGAAAAATTGAGATATAAGGAATAATAATAATAGAAATTAAATTAAAAGAATTATACTGAATATTAAACTGTGATTAAGATTAAATTGGAAGAAATCTCCAGGTAGCAAGTACTGATGTATTTTGTGTGTGATATAATGAAATTCTTATAAAAAAAGGAGAGCAGATAATTGAAAATAAGTACAGTTGTGATAAACACGTAGAAATACAATAACCACGCGTTTTCATAAAATAGATATTATTTAGAGCTGAGTAATATGGGTGAATTTGAAGAAAGTGCAGACTACAACGACGAATTATGCCTTAAAGCTTTGAATAATTTGGACAGGCCTCCCGAAATAGATGAACCTTTTTTAGAATTTTTCAAACCAAAACCAAAATTAAGAATAAAACAAAAACCAAGAGGCAAATCTTTAGATAGTAGTGATGTCGCAGGAGCTTCTACTGTTGCTTTTGGTGAGGAGTTAGAACATTCTGGTTCAATTAGCATTCAAAAATCTGCTTCTGTAAATAGGAATGAATTGAATATTTTAAATGAAGACTATGGTGTTAAAAGCTCAAACGGTGATAGTAAGAACATTAGACGAGTCAGAAGTGAAATGAGCAGGTTTAATAGCGCGAATGAAGGAATGAAAGCTGAGAATTTGTTGAGCAGCATTTTGATTTTACCAGATCAATTTGGGAAAAAAGGTTCAAAGACTGAAGTAAGAAAGAGGAAGCTGAATAGTAGCGGAAGTATTAATTCTTCTAAAGATGAATTTCTTTCGGTAATTACCCCGATCTCTCCATATGTAATTTCGCCAAAAAGTAACAATTATAATTATTCAAATGGTAATTCCCATGATAAAAAGCTTACAGAAAAGAACATTGACTTATTAAATTCTCTTATTGAAATTAAGGAGAAGGAATTGGATAACTTAAATACAACCTATAGTTATGAGAAATCGGAATTTAAGCTTGAGATTATTAGGCTTAAGCAAATAATTAAAGAAAGTGAAGAAAGCCACTTAAAGCTGAGGAAGGAAATTGTGGAGAAAGATGAGGCTTTAGCAGAATCAAAGCAAAACTACGAGAAGCTAGAACTTGATTTTGTATCTACAAAGCAGTCATTGGAAATAATGCTTGAGGCAGAAAGAAGTGCGAATCAACGTCTTAAACAGGAACTAAGAGAAAAGAATGCCCATGATTCAAGTTTAGGATACTTTGGTGAAAATAGTATTTTGGAGCTTCAAAGCTACAAGCTTAAGTATTTTGAGGCTATGAGAAAACTCCAAAGACTAGAAACTGAGAGGGTTATAAGCGGAAGTAGAATTAAAGGTTACAAACACGAGGAAGGTAGAGAATTGATCAATAGTGATTCAGTTCCTATTTTTGTAGGTGTATCTGAAAGTAGAAAATATACTTCTGACTATATTCCAGAAAACCTAAAAACTAATTTGGAGGTTTGCATGCATATTAAAGAGGATTTTCAGGAAATTCGGAATGATGCAGAAGTCATCCAGTTGATTTCCGAGAACTCTTTGCTAAAGGAAAATATAATAAAATTAATAGAAGAGTTGGAAATTGAAAAAAACAAGTCAATTGTTGCAAATATCAGAAATTTAACTCAAAAACCGATTTTAATTTCTTCTTGCACTAGTACACGACTTTCAATGCATGAAATTGACACAATGGAAGTAAAGGCCAGACAGTTAGAGCAGAGATATGAAGAACCTGGATTCAAATTGAGCAGAAATAACGTTAATATTCAAATAATATGCCCAAAAAATCGGTTAAATATCGAAAAGCTTGATCAACTTGAAATAAAAATTGATCAAAACTTTGAGTCAAAGTTGGATAAATCTATTCAAACTCATGTGGATGGAAATATGTGTGTGCATGTAAATACCGGTAATATTACTGAAATAAATGTGGGGAGTTACATGTCAGAAAATATTCAAATAACTCAAGATGAGATCAAAAGTGAGAATGACATAAGTTTGTATGATTTGGCTTTTAAGGATTATAATTTTGTTCCAAAATTGCTGAATAATTTTGTTAAGAGTGCAAATAACCAGGTTGAAGAGTCTCAAGAATGTGAACAAGTTAATCCAGAAATTAGTAATACAGATTTTAAGGAAATTGAAATTGAGAATAAGATGGAAAATATTAAAAATAAGCCAATTAAACAAACGGATTTAAGCAGGAGTTATTTAATAAGCCGAAAGTGTGAATTTTTGAATAGGGTACTGCTTGAATTAAAGTTTGAGATTTTGGAGTTGAGACGTGTTGTATTGAACTTTATGGACCAACCAAAACATTTTACGGAGACTTTTGATAATTTAATTAAAAATAGAGGCAATAATGGCATTGATTCCTGCGGTTTCAGTGAAGGAGAACCTCTTCTTAGCATTGTCGCAACTACTGTTTTAAAAGCATACAATTTATATTTAAAGAAGGCAAGTCAAGTTGAAGAATTTGTATTGAAAGATAGGGAGTGGAGGAGTTATTCAGACAGAATTGAATCAGAATTAAATAAATATTCTTTAGAGAAGTCAGAACTTGTAAAAGAGATAAGCTATCTTAAGAGGTTGTTGAATGAAAAGATAGAAAAAGAAAAAATTACAGTCAATCAAGTTGAAAAAGATTTAAATATTCACAGTTACAATTTTAATGATGAGGTAATGAGCTGTTACACTTTTGGTGAATCCTCTAGTGCCAATTTGGAAAACGAAATAGAATGGAATATTGATCATTATAGTATCAAAAAATTGGTAAACTCAAGAACCAATATTGATGAGCCAAATATTGAACCATTCAGTGAAGAATTGGAAGTTCTTGAAGAGTCAAAAGAAATAACTAAAGTGGAGAATGAGAGTGATAGTTTTAACAAGATTGTGAAGCTTCAAGGAAGAATCCGATCTTTTAAACAGAACCGAATTAAGCTACAATCTTCTGAAAAAGATGATATAAGCTTAAATAATCAAATGGAAAAATCATTAATTCAATTTAAAAAAAATGTTTTTCAGGATAAAAACGAAATGGTGAGTATCCAGGAAAATATTGAATTTGAAGATACTAATTCTTTTGCATTTCGTTATTTACCTCCTCAAATGAATGGCGATGATTTAGTAAGCTTAGGAGAATTAGAGGGAATGACAGGTACAGCAATGATGCTTAGATTATATCGTTATTATAAACAAACAAAACTATTAGAAAAACAGGTAATACAACTATCTAAAGAAAAACAAAAATTGGAATTAGAATACGAAAAAGATGCCCAATCTAACCAAATGAACCTTTTATCTTCAAAGCTGATTATTGAGGCTAGGGATATGGAGATTAAGACTCTAAAGGAAAAGTGTGAGTTTCTTTCTAATAAAGTAGAAGATGATATAAAAAACATCAAATCCGCAGCTAGAGAAGAAATAGAAAAAGTCTGGAAACCTAAAGTGGAAGAGATTAATTCTAAATGTGAAGATTATTTATTTAAAGTAAGCTCTCTAGAAAGTGAACTAATTATTCTGCGTCAACAATTAGCATTCCAGAAACAATTAAATTCTAAGGACACTAAGAAAAGTGAATATAGCAGTATTATTAAGGGTAAATATTTGTCCGGCATTAACTTGGATAAATATAGATTTTCCAGAGAGTCAATAGAAAAAATACCATGTGGAGTTGATGACTTAGAAATAAAAAGGAGCGATTACATTGATGATGATAATGATGAATCCGATTCTATTATAGAAAATAGTAGTTCAATTAATATTCAACCAACCATTGAAACCAGAGGTGATGATTCTGATGATCAAAATATTTCTAGTTTAAAATCTGCTTTATCAAAGTTAAAAACAATTTCAAATGAATATAGATCGTTTAATTAGCTTAGGCTTCCTTTTTCTTATTCGGCTATTTATTAACTTATAATTTATTATTTTTATTTTTTTTAATGTGGATACATGCATGCAAAAATGTTAACATTAACGGTATATTCGCATTACGTGGCAATAAAATTGAAAAATAGTGACGTGTGAAATGACTCCTTGTGGAGGAATGACTAATTGAAATTTTGTTAATAATTAATATAATAAAATTTTTTGTAGTTTAGGGATGGAAAAACTGAAATAAATTATTTCTAAATAAATTATGAGAAAAGATCGCAATTCATTGACTAAAAATAGAAGTATTATTGTTAAAAACGAAATGGAAAATGAGGTAAATCAAAAAGAAATATTGAATCTGTGCAATGAAAAAAATACCTTGGTCTGCAATATTCATGGATCAGAGGACTCAAATAAAAGACATTATTTATTAACGATATACGAATTGTATGTATTTAGAACTGTGGTATGCACTTCTCATTTGCAAGGAAAATGCAAGAACTCTGACAGTTGTCCTTTTAGTCATTGCTTGACATGGCAAAGAAGGAATCCAAATGATCATTATTACTCACCAAAATTATGTCCAGAAATATGTTTTATAAAGAGCAACGAGAAGATGAATTTGATAAGAAGATGCAAAAAAGGAAAGTTATGTACATTTGCCCATTCAAAGGAAGAACAATTATATCACCCATTAATGTATAAGACTAAAGAGTGCTCTCTATATCCAAATTGTAACAGATATTATTGTCCTTTTTCACATGGTATTGAACAGATTAGAACCCCGGAAAGGGTAAGGCAATCTATTGAAGAAGTAGCGAAAAATAATTCACAAGGTATTTTAAAGGATCCATATTTATTATTATCTAATATTGTAAATGGTAAGAAGCCAAATTATGATATTAAAAATCCAAAATCGTATTTAGATATTACAAAAAGTAAAAAGAATACTTTTTTAAAGTCAAAATGCCCAAATTCAACATTAAGTAACTCTAAAATAAACAATATTCCAGAGTTAGTACAAAAAGATATTAATTCAATTTGGGATTCTGTTGACAGCTGGAATTTGAATGCATCCAATATGAACTTTCATCCAGCATTTATGGAAATTATGTCATTTAACGAGCAGGATCAACAATATATTGGCCCAGATTTTAATCCGTGCTCATTTAATAGTGTCTCTCCAGAAAGTAGATTTGAGACAGAATATGATCAAATTTGGAAGGAAATATCTACAGAATATAACAAAAAAAAATTATGAGACTAAATATAATTTCAATAAATTCATGGATAGACCAAATACTATTTTATATTAAAATAAAAATAGGTAATGAAATAAATAAATTTAATATATAATTTTAAAAAGTATCTAATTCTTTCCTTTTGCCAATTTTTGAGCATCAACTTTGGATGAGATCGTTGAAGAAGCCTTTGATTTTCCATCTGGAATCTTAATAAGTATAATAGGCTCATCTGGTTTATCATTGCAGAATGGTTTATCTACAATAAAGTAACCTCTTCTTTCAAGTTGAAGTCTATTTCCAGCTTTAAGATCTTTAATCAGTGGATCACAAAATGCAGGCGTTTCGAAAAGAGAGTCGGTATTAACAAGATCCTGTATTTCATCACCATCATCTGGCTTTCTTTTATTAATTAAATGGTCATACTCTCTAATAATGCATTTAGTTAATACTGAAGGTAGGTTTGCAAGCCAGTGGATCTTTTTCTTAGTAGATCTAAAGTCACCTTCAAGATTAAGCTTGCCTTCAAAAATGCCGATAGGTTGTTTATCTATTTGCGAGATATCCTCTACTATTGCATTCCCCCATTTCATAAGTGTAATTTCTTCCCCAGATGCAATTTGAGTGGCATCATCCCTGTCAATCAATATTGATTTATACATAACTATTTGGCCTTTACCAAGGTCAGGATTTTTTTGGTGTAGGTCACGTTGATTAATTAATGGTTCTTCTGGTGCTTCACTAAGATTTAAAACTACTGCATTTTGCCCAACTGCAAAGAATCTTGGAACAATTGGATCCATAAGTTGTTTATTAATAGTCCAGAGTTTATCCCATTCCATAAGATTGGAATTTTTAGATGGCCCTTGTTCTGTAACAAACTGTAATAAAGCACTAGGAGAAAGTCCTCTTCTTATAATTCCTCTAACGGTGGGGAATCTTGGGTCATCCCATCCTTCTACCAATCCATTATTAACAATCCAAGTCAGTTTTCTTTTTGAAAGGACTGTATTGACAAAATTAAGTCTGGAAAATTCATAAATTTCGACTGGTCTTAATCCTAAAGCATTAATGACCCAATTATATTGTTCAATTCGATCAGAGTATTCATTAGTTCTCAGAGCATGTGTTACTCCTTCAATACTGTCTACAATTGGGCATGCAAAATCATATGTTGGATAGACTTTGTATTTTGTTCCTGTTCTGTGATGTGGAGTAAGCACACATCTGTATAGAACTGGATCTCTCATACATTTGTTCTTACATTGCATATCAATTTTTGCTCTAACACAACATTTAAGTCCATGTTCTGTTCCGTCTATCATTTCTTTCCAAAGTCTAAGATTCTCATCTACTGAATTATTGCGATTTTTGCTCTCAATACCTTTACCTCTTTCTTCTCTCATAATTTCAACACATGTATCATCAACATATGCTTTACCTAATTTAAACATTTCTTCACAATAATTCATAATAGTGTCGAAGTGGTCTGAAGTGAACGAAACATTAAAGGGTGTAATTCCAAGTAATTTTAAATCAGCTTCAATGCTTTCTTGGAATTCCTCGTTTTCCAAAACTGGATTGGTATCATCAAATCTCAACAGTAATTTACCTTCATATTTATTTGCATAATAATAATTTAACAGAGCAGCTTTTGCATGGCCAATGTGCAAGTATCCTGAAGGTTCTGGAGGGAATCTCGTTACAACTTGTCCTTGAATGGCATTTGGAAGTTTACCTTCATATTGCCCCGTCTTTGATTTATTATCTGGTTTATTTTTATTATTCGTAGACATTTCTAATATATTATTGAATATTCGTTAGTTGGGGGTTAAAATATCAATTATTGGAATATTAAACAAAAATAATAATGGTAATTAGAAGTAATTACTATTAATAAGTATAAATTTGAATAATTTTGGTACTAATAATTACAAGGTTCTGGTTTTTAACAATTAATTATGACCCGTAACTCGTAATAACAACTTAAAATTACTGAAAAATATTAATAATTAAAATTAGAATTATTAATATTAAATTTTAAACAGAATGCTTTCTTATTAATTATTTCTTTTATTATTAAAATTATTTGATTTTGCTGTGAGTCAATAATATTGATGAATAGGTAGTCAAATTAATATTAAAATGTATATTTAAGAAATAATTAAAATTAAAAGAGGGGGGACAATATTGGCGCTCAACGTGTTAAAATATGGGTACCCAGACTTTTTTGATGAATAGAAAAAGGGTGTGAAATTAGTTTAAAATTTTGGGAATAAAATATAATATAGTAATGGATTAGTTTTTAATAATATTATGTACTAGCTAAAAATATATAGAAATTAGTAAAAAATATTTTACAATAAATATTCCTTATATTGGCATAATCTTTAAATGGAATTAAATTTTAAAAAATAATTTAATGCGTCCACATGCACTTATGTAATAATATATTTGCATGTATGCATAATTGCATGCGCGAATGAGGCACAGATGGAATTTTTTAAATATGAATTAATAAATTTAGTTTGAAGTAAAAAAGTATTATTTTTTTATAAGATTTGAAAGAGTATACTTTCCAGTAGTAAATGATGGCTTTATAATGTTTGATTGTTGTTTGATAGAAGAAATGATAAGATTAATTTCGTGAATGGCTTTTTGGACCTTTGGATGGTTTGGCCCGTTAATTTCAATATATAACTTCTTCTTCTCGCTGATATGAACTGAGCTAGTTGATGGGCTGGAAGAATCTGGAGGAATATATATACCTTTAACTTGGCAAGTAACCCCACAGTTATCATTTATGGATTTAATGATATCTTTATGGACTATTTTTTGTCTTATATGAGTAGGATAGTCATTAATTTCAAATATTCCAATGACTCTCCCGTTAATTACTTGATGAAGATTATTTGGAATAGTGATTGAGTTGGGATTATTATGATCAGTGACACTAATTATATTTGGGTTTTGGATATTACATGTACTGTTAAGCTTTGCGGCGTTTATAGCTGCAAGTTGTAAAGCTTTTTCAGCTTCTGTAATTTGACTTGTTTCAGAATGCGGTGGTAAATTGAAATCAGAAATTGAGTTTTTATTATTATTGTTTGCATCATCATCATAGTTCGAACTAATAAAGATTTGTTCCTCGGTTATATTTGTATCAGGGATGAGCCCAAGTGCCTTTTTAGTATCATCTTTAAGAAGCTGAAGCGAGCTTTTTTCATTTTTTGAGAATTTGAATCCTTTACCTCCAAACCCAAAGTTCCGGATTCTCTTTTTTGCTGAGGTGTTACTGGATATTGAAGAAGTGTTTTTATTCTTTTGGATTAGCTCATTGTAAAGCTGGATAATTTCTGGTTGAATAATTATGGTGCTATCTTCATCACCAAAGCTGTCAATAATAGTGCTATTACCATTATTGCCATCATTACTCTTTAAATTCCCAGTAACATGTCTATTTGAAGTATTATTATTGGAGTATTTCATAGCAAGCTCAATTAAATCAAAAGATTGAGGTATTTCATTTGGTAATAAGAGAGTAAAAGAAGTACCAAAATTTCCAGCTCTCCCTGTTCTTCCAATTCTGTGAATGTAATCCTCAATATGATGGGGAGCCCCAAAGTTTATTACAAGCAGAATGTTGTCTACATGAAGTCCTCTTGAGAATATTGAAGTTGCAATAAGAATGTTTTGACCAGATGGAGGAGGTGGATTGGAGTTAATATTTGTCTTTGAAAAAGTTGTTAAGTTGGAGTGCCTATCATAATGGTCTTGACCACTATGTAAAGTTAGACAATTATAACCAAAAGGAATAAGTTTGGCAAATAACTCATCTACATCAGTTTGTCTATTACAAAAAATGACAATAAGTCCGAATTCAGCCCATTCACCAAGAAGTTGTAGTAATCTCAGAAATTGATCATTTTCATTATTAAGTAATTCAATATACTGTTTAACATTTTGGTTCATTTGACCTTTTTTCCCAACAATCACTTGTATTGGATTATGAAGTATTTTATTTGTAAATTGTTCAATAATATTTGGAAAAGTTGCAGAAAATATTGCAATTTGCCTATCAGGTCTTATAATACTTATAATACTAAGAAGTTGGGGAGCAAAACCCATATCAAATAATCGGTCACCTTCATCAATTACTAAAAACGAAATAAATTGAAATATAATGATTTTTTTATGTAAGAGAGCCATAATGTCAATAATTCTACCAGGAGTTCCAATGATAATGTCTGAACCTGATCTAATTTTATTAAGTTGGTGACTAATGCTAAGCCCACCACAGATAATATTGGTAGTAAGATCGACAAGATTTGCAAGCTGAGTAGTCTGTTTATATACTTGTAGAGCAAGTTCTCTGGTTGGAATGATAATCATTGCTCTAACTATGTTAGCATTTTTATTAATTTGGATATTCGTTTCTGGATTAAATGGATAATTATTGTTTGACTGTACGAGTACATGTCTTAAAAGGGGAAGGATATAAGCTAAGGTTTTCCCACTTCCAGTTTCTGCAATACCAATCATATCATATCCAGACATTAATATTGGGATTGATTGCATTTGAATTGGAAATGGTTTAATTATATCTTTTTTTTTAAGGTAATGATGGATTGGAAGTGGTAATCCACACTGTGAAAAGTTTAATATTGGCTTAATAGAAGAATATGGCTGATTTAGGTCAGTTGAAGTTTTATTAATATTTTTAATTTTTTTAATATGGATACCGTTATTGGTAATTCTAATATGGTCAACTTCATGTTGTTTAAGTTTTTTAATTTCATTGACTTCTTTATAATAATTTTTAATGATTGGCGGATAATTAAATTGATCATGGTATATTTCAGGAATTCTTTTCTTCTTATCAAGAGAAAGAAGTTCATCAATTTTACTTATGCTTGGATTCAAATGACCTAATGAATAACTTTCATTCTGATCATCGTCTTCTTCAAAGTAATCATTGTCCTGATCAGAAAATTCAAATTTATCATCGAAATCATATTTTGATTCTGATTGAGAAGCTGAAGGATTGAGATATTGCTTTGTATTTTCGGTATTATTGAGATTACCAGTTTTTAATGCTTTGATAAATTCAAGATGGTATTCTTTTTGACCTTCTTGGTCGTTTTTTTGATCTGATACAGTTTCCGAATTTAGTTTCTGAATATCTTCCAGAGTAATTGAATTAATTGAAACTTCCTCTTTTTCCTTAAACTCGTTTGTTTTAAGTAATTCTGATAAGGAGTAAATTTTGGATATTCTATTTCTCTGAATGGAGTTGAGATCAGAATCTTGCATTTCAATGGATAAATCATTCATCTTTCCAACTGAAATCTTTTTGATAAATTTAATATAGAAGAAAAACTAGTTAATACCATTTAATTGGAAGTTATGGTACTTTTTTTATCTGAGTTATATTATATCGCAAGATAACAGTTCATTATTTAATAATTGATTATATATTCTTTTTTTCCTCCTATAATGGCATGTAGAGTATTAGAAAAGAATAGACTGAGTTTTCAAGCAACTTTTTCTATTGTTTCAAGTTCAATTAAAACAAATTATATTTAAGGCTATATTAAGAGAGTAGGCGGTAAATTTTGAGATGACAAATTCTTTTAGTCTAATCATAGAAATAATTAAAATTGCTGGGATAATTAAAAGAATATAAATCAAAAAATAAGAAAGTTTATTTCTGATAAAATCTGGTTACTCAATAATGAATATGCATGCATTTTTATAAATTTGGACATTTTGAATATGGACAAGATTGATTAATATAAATAGCATAATTGAAAGAATATTGTAAATAAAATAGAAGATTTGTAACTTGAAAACAATTTTAAAAATCTTTAAAATATTAATATTTAAATAATTAACTGAAGAAGAATAGATTCGTTCTTATTAAAATTTCATGGGTACCTTTTATGCATATTTTATTGTAAATTAACAAAGAATATTCCCGCCAAATGTGGGGAGTTTTTTGGGCGGGGAATTCATTGTCGGGAGATAATATATAATACAAAATACCGAGCATGCTAATATGAGAATAAATTATTCGGTAAGGCGATATGATGAAGTAGACTTGTAAGTAATCGTTAAATAGAGGAACATATATAAAATAATATGAAAAAACTGTAATAATGCAAGAAAGTTGGAGGGGTCGAAGCAACACAGTGAATTAAAAAAAGAAATACGTATAGTGGACCAGATAATTAAATAAAGCAATTTAAATAGGAGCAACGGATAAGTAAAATAAAGATATAAAGAGGATTAGAATAACTGTTGGAAGAATTAATTATTAATATAAATAAATTTATAAGCGGAAATTTCAAGTCAAGTCTAGTAAAAATAAAGAATTTATTGCATATATACATTATGTATATATATATATTAAATATATGAGTTAATTTATATTTTAATATATATATGTATATATATATATTAAAATATAATCTAATATAGTATAATATAATATAATATTTTATATATATATATATATATATATATATATATACACGTATCATTAGTATTAATAAAACAAGTAACTAGTTAATTTAATTTATAAGCCCAAGAGATATCCCTCACACAATCAAAACAGTACATGATTTATGGTCGTCTACTAGATGATAAGAAAACATATTAAAATATACTTTAAGTGGAGCTGAAAGGGAACAAGAAACGAGATAAAGAATTAATTACCCAGAAACTGGTTAAATATCTGGTTAGTTAAGGAGAGAACAACAACCTCACATTTGTGAAAACAAATTTGTGAGCTTGGAGGAAAGGATCTCATTTGTTTGGTTAAACTATTTTAAACATAGAGGATATCAACCAAGAAATAAATTAAATCAAGATTTCTTTTCTCTTCCTTCTTTCTCTCTCATTCATTCACTCACTCTCATTATTAAGGAGTGTGTTGGATTGAAGAAAATAAAGAAAGAGAAAGGGAACCAAATATTGAAAATAATTGCACATTGAATAAAATACTTCAATGCATTAATGGTAATTAGTTGAGGTAACGCTTTAAAAAACTTATTGTTATATATTAAAGTAACGCTTTTAATACTCATTAAAAAGAGTAATATAATAAATCATAATACTGCTTTAAGGGGTGAGTTCCTTGGTAGAGAAAAATTTTATTAATAATGTCAAGCTCAATTCAAAAGGGTCATTTAACCGCACCGACAACATCATTATCTAATTCTTCCTCTTCTTCGTCATCAACAACTCCTGCTTCAAGCATTGGAGGAACAGCCAATGTGAGGCGAGGCGAAACGGAAGAATTTGTACATTTCTTATTTAGAGAAGGTTTACTTACGAAGGGTTCCCGTATGGAAAGCTATGATTTTCACTCTATTACTCCTTCTCTCTCATATCTTATTCAGAAAAACTCAGAAAATCCCATAAATGGTTGCCACACAATAATATCTGCCCATTCATCATTGGCTCTCAAAAAACAAGGCCACTCACTTCACAGTAAAAACTTTAATTTAGTCTCAAAACCTAACACTTTGATCGAGAATATTGACACAAATTCTCAGAAAGTTTCTATTTCACCAGATTCAAAGTCTTTACAAGCTGAAGTTCCTGAGCAATTTAAAGATTGGCGCGCACACGATATTGGTACTGGGTTTTTACTATATGGCGAGACAGTATGCTTCGTTTTGGCGCGCATGATGGAGTTGGCATACTCAAGAGTTGTGAATAGCGGAATTGTAACATGCTGTGTGCTAAGTCCAAATTCAAATTACCTCGAGAATGAGTCTCAAAGTCTTCATATAAACAATACAACATCATCTTTAAATGCAGATACTGTCTCAAATGGTAGCGAGACTTGTGTTAGCCAAGGGGTGCCAAAATATGGGTTAGTAACAGAGCATCCAATTGGAGTTCTTGGAAATGTGTTTATCTTGAATCCGTACTTAGAAGTTGTAGAAATTCGGGCTATTATTGAGCTGGAAATTAATAATTCAAATTCTGTAAAGCAGGTATTTGCTTGTAGACCGGACTTGGTTGAGCTTGGAATGACTAATTTTGAACTTTCAACAAAAGCTCCATGCTTTTTATTGGCGGTAAAATGCAGTATCGATCTAACATTACCGATTTATGCTTATAAAAGAAATATCGAATCAAAATGTCGTACATTGAAAGTAGTGAAAGAAGGAAATATGGTGGTTGGAAAGGATTTCCAGCTTTCTATTGAGATTTTAATGAGTCTTTATACATGGTTGAAGAGCCACCTACTTAATCCAAAATCTCCATTTTTTGACTTGGATTATGGCAAGTTTTACTATACCAGAGCACTCGAACTCCTTTCTAATATTGAGTACATAGTAAAGGTATCAGGAGGGGTCGAAAAAACTGTTTCTACAGTTGGAGGGAATATTAACTTAAACGATGTTGGTTTGGGTATTTGCGGAGGAGGGAGCGGACTCACAAGGCATTTTGGGATCTCTAAGTTTGGTACTCCGAATTCAAGATGCTCGATTTCAACGGTTGCATCCACAAATACTCCAGTGAGCATTGGAGATACTCATGCTGATCTTGCAGCTCCAAATGGTAATTTATGTATGAGAGGGATTATACCAGGTGGAGGAACCCCTGTTCAAGAGGGAGCCACTGGTAATAATGGGACTCACGAACCTTCTATAGCTGAAAAGACTTATAATAACCCACCTACTTCAGGCAGGGGCAAAAGAAGTAACGTCAAGTTTACTAATGCAATAACACTAGGACAAAATGCTTCTTCAACTGTTAGCACATTGGTACCTGGTACTATTGTTAGATTCAGATCCCAAATCCCTGTTGATGCCAAGCTTATTCAAGGGGTTCCTGAGACTGATTACTTTACCCATGTACAACAGGTTTACTATCATTTCCAAAAAGGAGAATGGCGAGCCGTATATGGTCCTTCAAAGAACAGACAACAAAAGTCATTTTCTGTAAATAAATATGGCTTCTATGAAGCCAAACGTCTTGCAGAGGAGTGGAGACTTAGATACCTCTATTCAAATCCAAATGGAAGCAATGGTCAGCAAGGCACTGCTTATAGTAAATGTGTGCAGTGCGGTAATGGTATGGCGGGAAATTCTGGTTCGTGTGGCCGACCTGCATGTATAAAACCAGGCATGGATTGTGTTTGTAAGTATAATTCTAATGGGTTATATGAGGATAATCGTGGCTCTGGAGTGAGTACAAGGTGCAGAACAGGAAGAAAGCGAAGATCAACCCGAATTGAAATAGAAAGGGAAATAGGAGGAAGAGTTGTAGCATCGCCATCAGATTGCATTCCTACAAAAGTACCGAATAAGGGTAATGGCGTATGCAACTTAAAGGGTGCAGGCAGCTATACATCATCGAAAATAGGAGAAGTTTTGAATGAAATTCCATTATTAACCGCGGGTAATGTCCATAATACAATTCAAGGAGAAGTAGGGGGTGTAGAGGCAGGAATTTCTAAGGCAGTAATTAGAGTGGAGTCAAGATCTCCGAGGGTGGTACCCCAGAGTGTAAGTGAAGAAGGGGCCAGGCCAGGAGAAGATTCTGTATATTCCTCTATAGATGGAATGATAGCTTTTGGTAATGCAGAGTTTTCCGCAACAGTTCCAGACCAAAAGTCGTGCCCTGGAAAGATTTCTATGATTTCAAGTCAATCTCCAAATAACAAATCTGTTTTGCATCCTACAATATCCGGAGGAGCGGATTTTGTGGGTCTTGAGCCTGGATTCAAAGATTCAATGACTCACAAAGGTTTAGATATGTCAGCTTCTTCGACTGCGTCTACTACTCCATCAAATACCCCTGGAGGATTGACCGGAGCCTGTGTCCCCCTAGGGGGATTAAGATATGATCATGTTCAGAAGTCTTTTGAAGGTGAAGAGTTACTAAATGCTTCATCATATGCAGGAGCTGGGATTATGAATACAAATGTTTCAAAGTTGGGTTCATCACCATCTATTGGACGGATAATTTCTTCAGCAAGTTCTAAAGCCACATCATCTTCGACACCCATGATGATTTCAGAGATTTCTTCCCCTTCAATTTCATCTCCTGTTTCTGTTGGACCCAATTCCTGCTCAACCACTATCTCTCCAGATAAACAACAATCAATACTTGGAGTTGGAGCAGGGCGAGCAATGATTCCTGGTATAATACATCCTGTCTCTGAAACCTCTTATTCAGTTGTTCCCAGCTCTCTAAGAGGAGGGAATGCTTATCCGGTTCAATCTGGTATGGTTGCATCTGGCAAATCTGGAAAGTCTTCATCTTCGTCCTCGTCATCATCTTCTTCATCTTCTTCATCCACTTCTTCATCCCCACAAGGAGATAGGATACCACCAAAAGGGTCAATAATGCTTCCTCAAAGTACTCAAGGAATTCCTATTGACTTTTCGGCGTCAGAAAATTCTTACACTGGACATTTTTCTACTTCTGTAGGAATTTTAGAATCTTCTTATGGGTGTGTTTCTCCGGTCATTGAAGAGAGTTGTTGGAATTCTACAGAAAATGAAACAATGGCTTCTTCATCTATAAGTAACAATTCCAATCTGGTAAGTGTTATTGGTACATCAAAAAATAATATTGGTGGCACAATCTCTAATACCACAACTTCTACCTCCAATACTGCTATTTCCGCCTCTACTTGTACCAATATTAGAGCCAATAGTGTTAATGGTTCCTCTGTTAATAATCGTATCGAAAGTATTAATATTAACACTAACAATAGTAATAAAGTCTCAGTATTGAATACCAATGATACTATAATAAATGTTGAAACTCCTCAAAATAGTGAGAGTTTACGAATGGGAGGAATAAAAGCAGGAAAATCTCTCTCTTCAATTTCTGGGAAAGATAATAATACAAGTTGTTTGAGTTCATCTGGCACAGAAAAGGTATCAACTTCTATTGTTGTGTCTGGTAGATCCGTTGATGAGAGTTTGAGTAATCACAGTGAAAATGGATGTAGAAGTAGAAACAGAAATAGTAGCGAAGATAACGAGAACTCGGTTGCAAATGAAAGCATAAGTGTAAGTAACGATGAAAACTCGGAGCGCAGAAATGGTAGTTCTGACGTAAATCGTAACAATGGAAACCCATGGATTAAGAGAAATGCATGGGATGAAGATCTAATTATAGATTCATTCTTTGTTGGATAACTAAGCATATAAACTTTAGTACTATTATTTCTATGATAACTTATAAGAAATATACGGTAGGAACAGGAAATAGAGATTAGAAGGTAAAAACGAGTATTTAATTATGATAAATTGGGAAGTGAATAACATCCAAAAAACAATATAGAATGAAGGGGATTGGCGGATAATCTTAAATAATATAAGGGATTTGAAAATTTCTTAAGTTATATACATGATGATTTATTCAAAGCTCCGTAATATTCTATTATTTTTAACATTGGAGTCCAGTGTTGATTTAAAATGGAAATCTCTATTTTACTAGTTAACTAACTTTATATCACTGTTACAATAGCAGAATATAATAGTATTAGTGCTAAAATTATTGAATACTAGAATTTGTGTTGAATATTAACACAATTTCCCTCTCCTTGAGATATTTAGTATTAATCATCAAAGTATGTGGTTTTTAATTTCTTTTTCTATTTTCTCCTTTAACAGAGTAAAACCGGCCTTAAGGAAATTTACGTGGAAATAAGGGATGCTACTTGGAGTTTTGTTAGCTCCTATGTGGTTTAAGAGAGAAGACTCACATTAATTACGGATATAATGGAAAGAATTTGGAATTTAATTCATCTTTTCATTTTATCTCTTCCCCTCAGAGTATTTATACTTTCAGAATAAAGCGGGAAAAAGTATATATATATATATCCTTCAAATGCAATAACTAATATTTAGAATCATTGCCAATAAAGAAAGTGGCATTAAACCTTACATTTGAATTAATCTTTTAATTTCCATAATACTTAAAAATGACCACTTTAATGTGACCATTTAATAACTATTTTTTTTTTAGAAAAAATGTCATATTTCAGCTCTTGCTACTTCCAATTCTATTTTGTATACATTTTTAATTTAGCCCTAGGTTTTGCCGCCGATAAAGGGTTGATAATTTGCATGCAAATAATTTGTAATAGTGGGCCCAACCGGACTTTTGCCGCCTAAAGAGGGTCGGCACACATTTGTGCGCCTAAAATAGAAAATGCAGTTGTGTTAAGGCATGAAGTGACTAGTAAGTAACAGAAAAAAAGGAATAGGAGAAATATAGTGATTAAGAGGAAAAGAAAAGAGGAAAGTGTAGGATACTGATTAAAATTGAGGTTTTTTGGGTTTCTGTTTCTTTTTCGTTTTATTGAAATTAGTGGAAAAGTATAGAAATACTAATAAATATTAAATCAAAAAGAATTAAAAGTTTTATTTATACTTAAAGAAAAGGGTAGAAAATTGGTAAAATTAAACAAGGTTGGATTAGGAGTTCTTATTGAGAAAGACCAAAATAGCAGAACTCAATGTACTTGATGGTGATATGAATATTCAAAAGTAAAAATGCCAATAATAAAAAACAGAGATGCTGCTTTTAATTATGGATGTTTAATGGCGGAATTAAAAGAAAAAATGGCTTTATTTAGGAGTAGATTAAATAAGGGAGAGGAAGAAAATCAAGGTAGTTTAATAGAAAACAAATGCAAAGATGAATCTAAAATTGGTAGGGATTCTTTAATTTCAGAAACCGAATTAAATTTTTCTTTAAATGTTGAATCTAGTACAAAGGTTATAGTGTGTTCAGATAGGATGGTTAAAGAAAATGAGTCGGAAATTATGGTTGAATCAGGTATTGATAATGTGGATGAGAGTAGATTAGGTCTCTCGAGTGATTCCAGAGTATTTCCTTATCCGATTTGTTTTGTTTCTAAATCACTTCCAACTCCTCCAAAAGACTATAATTTGAGAAAAACTGGAATTAATTTCAATACGAGTAAATATTTAGAGAGCGAAGAAATAGCTTGTAATAGAGTTTCTAGAAAGTTAATGTTTTTGGTAGATGAGAGGAATGAAGGTAAAAACATGTGTTGGCAGTTTAAAAAGGAAAATGATAATGATGATAACTATAATTTGGCACAAAATCAAATTTTTGAGGAGCCCTTGGACAGAGAGAATAGTTTTGTTAGTCAAAGAATAACTAGCCGATTGAAGAATGATGACGAAAAAGAAAAGAAAATAAACCCAAATACATTGGATTTACCCAAAACTATCAAAGCTTTTCAGTTATCCGAAAGAAATATTATTCAAAAAGAGCAGATATCTAAAGCAAACAAATTACTTCAAGACTGCCAATCTATGGAGAATATTCAAAGTTTTAATGAAAATTTAGCTTCAAAGTCGGAAAGTTTCAACTTTTTCAAAACAAAATCTTTATCCGACCTGGAAAAAGGTAGTAATGTTACTGCTAATACTATTAATAATAATAAGTATGCCACAATGAATACTACTAACAACAGTAATATTAATGAAAATCAGAGTATCTATAAACAACAGACACAAATGGTTCCCATAATTAAAAATAAGATCTTGGTATCTCGACAAAGGGGTAACATTATTACAAATAGATACTACAAAATGGCATCTCAACTTAGGGTTATAAATTAAATAGGGTCTAAGGAGTTTTGGCGCCAAGATGATTAAGTTAAAATAAATATTAAAGGTAGATATCAATAAGAGTTGAATAATAGTTTTTGAAAGATGTAAGTATTACTAATTTTCAATTTAACTTCTAATTTGTAAACACATTTGAAATGGAAAAGGGGAAGTTTTCTTTCAGTATAGGTAAATCTAAAGAAAAGGAGTCTGAAAGTCTGGGAAATATTTTTGATGAAAAAGAAGTGATAAGTGGTAAAAATAGGGGGAATATAGAAGACTTTGATCAAACAAATTCTGATAATTTTCAAAGCATTAGTGCTAATTTTGAGTATAACAAATCAATTAATTTTTACAATGAGCATCCGGAGTTGCTGGAGGACTTTGACAAGCCAAATGAAATAAAAGGGCGTGAGATTGAAAAGGAGCAGGAGAAAAAAGAGGAGCCAAAAAAAGTTTCTTTAGGGAAATCAAAGTATTTAAGCAAAATACAAAAATATGTAGAGTTGAGAAACATTGAAAGAGAAGAAATTCAAGAAGAAAAGATTCAGAAGGAAATACAAGAGGAGGAAAATACACAAGTTTTTATTACGGACTCATATAAGGACATTTTGGAAGAAAGAAAAAAATTCAAGGATTCTTTTATTAAGAGAAAATTGTCAGAAGGTGAGAATTTAAAGATTAGTGGGCCCTCTAGCATTTTTGAAATGAGATTTTCCCCAGTAATGGACAAAATAAAAGATGAAGAAAGTAATCAACAGGTTGCCTTTGATGATTCAAAGGAAGAATTGATGATTAAAGATTCGAGTTCGGCTGATAATTTAACAATTGAAGATAATAATATAGTGAATAATGAGGAAGTCTCAAAAGCTAGCAAGGATTTTAAACAAGTCAAAATACAACAAGCAAGAGAACGATATTTACTTCGAAAACAAGCGAGAGAATCAACATGACATAGGAGTCAATTTATCATGTGAATAACGAATATACTAAATTTGAATTATATCTAAATAGATTAATTTGTTATTTTTTTGTTTTGTTTTTCTTTAAATTTCCACTCAGTATTTGCATGCGCATGTAAAACCTCATGGCGCCGGCGCCCACTTCTACCGGTATTGAAAATTAATTAATAACGTAATGAACAATAAAAAGAGGAGCCAAAAAATTTTTAAATTTGAATTAAAAAAAAACGAGAAAATTTCGAGTGGGTGGAAAAGATAAACTACTTGAGAATCACTTTGCTGCAAGATCGTTTTGAGAGGACTCCTTACAAAAATTTAGGTGGAGAGGTGCGCAAGAAAGGATCCAAGGTAAAAACAATTCAATTGTATATTTGAAAGAGGGGTGGTAGTCAGATCCTCTTAAGATTCGCAAGAAATTGGGAAAACAGGTGGAAGCAAGTAAATACAAAGCTTGCCTGAAATAAAATCTGTTGAGAGTGAAGCAGATTGTATTTTTCTTGAATAGGTATATTTAGGTTCTTCATACAAGACACTTTAAATAGAACTTGAATATTTAAAAGTGGGTGTGAAATAGACAAAAATGAGTGGAGAAGATGAACATAAGAATGCTTTGGCAACTTACGCTCAAAAAGTTAAAGAACATAGAGAGTTAGAGGTTAGTTTGAAAAAGAAGAGAATGGAAATTAGGGAGTTAAGTAAGGTGTATGATAAGACAGAGGATGATCTAAAGGCATTGCAGAGTGTGGGCCAAATAATAGGCGAAGTTTTGAGACATTTAGATGATGAGAAGTGTATAGTAAAGGCTTCAACAGGACCTAGATATGTTGTGGGATGTAGATCAAAGTTGGATAAAAGCAAATTAACATCTGGAACTAGAGTTGCTCTAGATGCAACTACCCTAACCATTATGAGGAGACTTCCTAGAGAAGTTGATCCAATGGTTTACAATATGCTTCACGAAGATCCAGGAAGTATAAGCTACTCCCAAGTAGGAGGGCTTAATGAGCAGATTAGAGAAATTAGAGAAGTTATTGAGCTTCCTTTGACAAATCCGGAACTATTTAAGAGAGTCGGGATTAAGACTCCGAAAGGAGTACTTTTGTATGGGCCTCCTGGAACTGGCAAGACTCTTTTAGCTAGAGCCATGGCTTCATCAATGAATTGCAACTTTATGAAGGTTGTTGCTTCTGCTATAGTAGACAAATACATTGGAGAAAGTGCAAGAGTTATAAGGGAAATGTTTGGGTATGCTAAAGATCACCAACCATGTGTTATATTTATGGATGAAATTGACGCTATAGGTGGAAAGAGATTTTCCCAAGGGACTTCAGCTGATCGTGAAATTCAGAGAACTTTAATGGAATTATTAAATCAATTGGATGGTTTTGATGAGCTTGGTGCTGTCAAGATTATTATGGCCACAAATAGACCAGATGTATTAGATCCAGCTCTCTTGAGACCTGGAAGACTTGACAGAAAAGTTGAAATTCCTCTTCCAAATGAAACCTCAAGAGTAGAGATTCTCAAGATTCATTCATCTAAACTGAATAAACAGGGAGAAATTGACTTTGAAGCCATTTGCAAACTATGTGATGGTTTTAATGGGGCAGATATGAGAAATGTTTGCTCTGAGGCGGGAATGTTTGCAATTAGAGCTGAAAGAGATTACATTATTGAAGAAGATTTCCTTAAAGCTGTAAGGAAATTAGCTGAGAACAAGAAGATGGAGGGAAATCTAGACTACGAAAAGGTTTAAAAATAGTTTGGATAACAACTTTAGTCATATTACTTCATTTAATTTTATTATTAATTGTGATCTAATCCTATTTCTTCTAACTTAAATCTAGTAGCTAGTTCGATTCTGACTTCCAAATCTTCTTGCTAATTAAGAATAGAAAATTAAAAATCAAAGTAAATATAGAAAGTGATAACTGGGTAGCTACTAGAGCTGTAATCATATAGAAATTTGGGCGGGTAAAACATGCATTTTTAAAGGCCATATAGTCTTGTTTGGGTAAACTATTAAGATTTAGTGAAATTGAATCAATATTACAAAATAACTTCAATAATTGATTTCCAAACCAAACAAGAGAGCAAGACCAGGAGAATACGAAGGTTGAGTAGAATTTTACTATTAAAGAAATTAATATGAGCATTTTACTGCATGATAAAGAAGCAATATACCCAAGAATACCAAGGGATATGGCAATTAAGCCAGAGTGAGCAGCAGCAACAAGTATGGTTCTATAGTAGTAGTCAACCTGTGACTTAAGATCTATATTAATTTCTTCTGAATCGGAATACCTGAATCTGAAACAATAAAGAATTAATGAAGCAACAAGAGCAGCGTTCCCTATATATGCAATAGAGTAATCAAGAATTCCAAGTCTCTGGGATTGAATAGTATTTCCAAGGTACTGTCTTCTAACTACAAATAGTTCCATAATAAAGTTGGTTGTTAGATAAACGGAAAAATAAATGATGATTAATGTAAGTTTATTAAGAACAAAATTCGAAATTTCAATATTAGAACTGGATCCTTGAAATGATATAATATCTTCCAACTGCGATCTACAGTTTACCATAAGCTTTACCATAGCTGTGATTATTATTGGTAGAGAGATAAATGGAGATTGCCAAATAAAAACCTGATCAATAAATAACTTGGATTTGAATATGTTTAACCATTTAACTATAATCCCTCGTTTGAATAGTATAAAAAGTATACCAAAAACACAATTAGTGATCAACTGAAGTCCAACAACTAGAGTTATTATAATGGTCATGATCTTAGCTTGGCTAATATAATTGGCAGTTTGTTCAAAATCTTTCTTGTTCTTTAAGTACTTGATTAACTCATGTTCCTGATAAATAATATATATACCCAGAGAGATACAAGAAATTAATAAAAAGTACTCTGCTAATAAAAATAAACCTTTTTTTTTGTCACTATATTGCCGAATATACTCTACACTTGAAATGTTACTTTTTATCAAAGTTGAATCACTGATATTCAGCTTAACTTGATAGCTTTCTTCTTTTAAGTTCACTTCAACACTTGGTTCCAAATCATTTTCCGTAAAATTTTCCACACTTTCTTCTTCTTCAAACTTCACTGGCTGTGTCCTTAATATATCTTCCAACTCAATTTCCTTTTTCTCAATTGGTTCCTGGCTATCCAAAGATTTCATCGTTAAATTTCCTAAAATTAATTAGATTATCACTAAATTGTTTATTCTCCAACTCCTCACCCAAAATTACTTGCTAAAAATAACTTAATTGATCAATTAATTATGATTGTTTTTTTTTTATTTACTTAAATCTTATTCGTTTTCTTTCTTAAAGTAAATAGTTTCCAAAAGAAATCACGCTCTCTTATACTAAACTCAACCTAATTAACATTAAATTGATACTTCTAGGCATTTATTCACATAAAAAATAACTTATTTAATTTCAATAACCCATTTTTTAATTGATTGGTTTATTCTTTTTTTTTTTTATTAATTTTATTTCCCGCCAAAACACGTCATTAACGGTATAGGAAAGGCTAAAATTTTGTTGACAGTAAGCTAAACACGTGGGGGGAGATAAATAAACTTTGAATTGTTAAAATTTATTTGCATGCATGCATTAATGCAAGTAATTTTACTAATGCAAATTCCATGTGGACAGTTTTTTTGTATGTAGTCACAAAAAATATAAAAGAAAGAAAAATGGGAATTGAATAGAGAATTATAAAAACAAATAATAGATGACGAAGAGTTTTGAAAAGATGAAAAATCGAGATGGAAAAAGAAAATTTTGAAACGTCTAGAGAATTCCAATGACCCTGAGACCAATTTCGCCGGTTTTGCAATTAGGACAAACTTCTCCAGTAAACTGTGAAAGATGATTGCTGGAGCAAACTGGGCATTTAACAAAGTCCTGGGACTTTGGGTTAATTTTGGTAAGAGAAGATGAACATATAATAATGTGGTCAATATCTCTATGCGGATCAAAGTTGATATTATGTTCATCTGTGGCTTTTTGGTCGCATGCAACAAGGATTTTTTGTGTCTTTTCGGCATCTTCGATATTTGGAATACCCAAGAGTCTTTTAGCAAAGCTTGCTGTGGTTATATAATTCTTGTGTTTCCAAGCAATACCCATTGCTCTTCTAAGGACAAGAGAAGTGTGTAATGGCTGAAGCTTACAACATGAAAAGTATGAGATAAGCTCCAAATTCCTGATCGCCACTTCCGGCTGGTTTTGGTCTTGGCAATTATTCAAAAGTTCAATTCTAGCAAGTTCAAGCCTCATTCCAATACAGTACTGGCTAATTAATTCAGAGAGTTGCACAAGTTGTTCAACGTTTTGTGAATAAAGAGTATAATGTTCCAAAACTAAAGGAGCAATAATTATTGCTTGTTGGAAAACTTCTAAAGCTGACTGGAACTTTCCTGAAGTTACCATTTTTTGTCCGGATTTCACCAATTCTATCAGGTTTGACTCGTTGAACAGAATGATTGGGGAGATATGTCCATTTGGTGAGCTCTCATTAAACATCTTATATCCTTCTGAAATCAAAGGTAAATTAATGCAAGGCCCTTCAGAGAAGCTTGGCAAGCTATAAGTAGAACTAAGAGCGATCATCTTGAAGATTTGTTTAAAAGGTTTGCAATCTTTAACTCCCATTTTCCTTAAAAGAATAGTGAGTGCATCGTCGTATTTGCCTGCAACTATTAAATTGATGATAGAATATCTGGAAGAAGTAGCTGGAATATTTTCAGGAGCACATAAGATTCTATCTTGGAATGATGGACCTAGACTCGTCTTCGATAAGCCATTTGAGTCCGAAATTTTGTCCCCATGTAAGTTTTGGTCTCCAACCACATTAAAGACATTGTCTTCATTCAGTTTTATATCATTCGGAACATCAATATTATCAATATCATCCCATTCCGGTTGAGACGATGAACCAAATCCGGTACCTCCGTTTACCGAAGATATGTCTATCTGACTCGGCATCTTACCTCCTGTGCTTTTTGAGTATGAGTCATTATAATCTGAAGACTTTAGATGGTCTGAGCTTTCTGAAATATTAATTCTTGGCCAGTTAAGCCCTTCAACAGTGAGTTTTTTTGCTGGTAGTATTGGAATACATGGAGCAGTCATAAACGACTTGCATGATTCTTTGCAGGCTTTGTCTGAAGATTTACCGGCTTTGAGTACATTAAGGAACTCAAAGGCATCTGCACCATCGACACTATAAGCTTCAGTGTATTGGGAAAGAAGTTCTTCCTTTATCTGACTGTACCCATAAGTGTGTGCTAAAGCAATTGCGAGAGGAATTTGCCCAAAACTTTTAAGGATGTTAATCCTTTCAGGAATGTCATTCATAAGAAGAGCTATGTGGTATTTTCTAGCCCAGTTTTTTTGTTTTTCGGATATTTTACTCAATTTTTCCATATACTCTCTTTGGCCAATTACATAATAAAGTAAAATCAACTTCTCAAACTCTTTGGTGACTTGAAGACACTTCTCAGCAACATTAATAAAACCATGGGAAAGAGCACTTCTTCCAAGGCAATCCCACATAGTTTCTAAAGTCATTGAGTTGAGCTTAGGAAGAATTGTTTTATGGTTTCCATTGCCTTTAAAGTTGGAGTTAGAGCCTGAGTTTTCTTTTTCAATCTCTAAGTTCTGCAATTCCTTTACTATATTGTAAGCTTGCATGATTTCTCCAAATTGGACGGCATAGTAGAACTTTAAAATGGGGTTCTCTACTAATTGTATTGCAACCTCGGGATATCCATGTTGTGTAAGATAATTCAAGGTCGAAAGTCCTTTGAGGTTCCCATCCTTGGTATATCTAAGTACCTTGTTGCTTTCTTGGTTAATAATGGAAAGTTTAAACAATGCTTCATTCAGATTAAGCCTCTCAATAATTTGGACATTACCAAAGCGGTTTAAAGCAATTAGTTCTTTCCTTGAGTCTTCATAATGCTTAATATAAAGATTATCTGAAATTGTTTGGATGATTCCAGATTCATTAATGCCAGGAATTGCATATTTAATGTGGCCTTGGGTAGTATATATAAATATAGGAAGAGTTTCATGCCAAATTCCAGATTTCACTGTAAGGTTTTCAGTATAGGTTGCAATCACTTGGAGCTCACTATTGGTGAAAATGATGTTATATTTACATAAAATTGCAATCATTGACTTATCTTGGCTCCATTCAATTGCCCTAACTCCTGTGGAAGACTCCCCTGTTTCACTACAAACAGTATTGAATGTCAGACATTGTTGGAAATTTGGTCCAATCTTATTGTTAATAACGGCAACTTGATGGTTTTGAAGATTAGAAATGACAAGTTCTGATATTAATTCCCTTTGCGAAATATCATAAATATAAAGGAAATCATCGGATTGGATGATGATTTGCTGTTGGTTACTTCCCATAAATAGTTTTTGAGCAATCCAAGGGAGTTCCCATCTTTTGAGAATATCACCATCTAAAGATATTATGGAAATGGTTTGACCACCGTTTTCAAGGGCTGCTAGTCTATTTCTGGATAGAAAGATTACAGAAGTTACACCTGGAAGTCCACTCTTACATTTTGAGCTACTAGAGGAGTTATTTTGACCAGAGCTATTGTTAATCAGCTGTGAAAGAGAGTTGATTGTAATTATATCATATGTGAATTGTAATGCATTGCCATTTGATAATCCATTATTTAAAGAACTACTATTATTTAATCCATTAAAAGCATCTCTCTTATAGTAAACTAGAAAACAAAGCTCATTTGGGCTGAATGGGTTAACATAAAAGTTACTTGGACATAACATATTACTGGAGATATTATTACTTTTCATGGGAAGAATTGAATGCACATTTTTGCTTTTAACATCATACATATAAAGGAATCTGTCATTAATGTACCAAAGTTGATTCATTGAAGAACAAAAATCTGAAGGAAGCCTTTCAGGTTCTAGTTTAAAGATCATCATACCAGAATCATGCCCAGCAGCAAAAAGGCTGTTAGTTGGATGACTAACTATAGTCCAAAAACGGTCAGTATCTCTTCTGTAAGTATGGATACATGCTCTTTTTGTGAGATCCCAAATTCTAATAGTTCTATCTTCACTATTAGATAAAAGCCAATCTTTATTTGAATGAAAAATAACAGAAGAAACATTGTTAAAATGTCCTCTAAGAGTGTCAATTTCCCAAGCCTTGTTATCATTATACCTCCAAAGTTTAATTGTTCGATCATCTGAAGCTGATGCTAACAATGAAAGAGTTGGATGAAATGCTACCCAATTGACTCCTCTTTCATGACCTTCAAGAACAAATTTACAAATTACATCATTAGCCCCAAACATATCAACATGAGCAGGCATAGTGTGAGAAGATGACATAGATACAGAATAACTGGAGTGTGATGAATGCCCTTTAACAGTCTTTTCCCTAAGTCCAGTGAAATCCCAGATTCTTACAGACTGGTCCATACTTGCTGAAGCTATGATATCTTGGTGAGGATGAAAAATTGAGCACATTACATAGTGATTATGCCCCGTGATCACAGATATACAAGTTCTGCTCTGCCAATTCCAAAGCCTCATAGTTTGATCATCCGAGCAAGAAAGAATCCAAGGGTATTCTTTATGAAACTCAACAGTTCTAATATAATCTAAATGGCCTAAAAGTGTGAATAAACATTTTCTTTCTTTGTAATTCCATACTTTTACTCTGTAATCATCTCCTCCAGATACAAAGATTGGTTGACTTTCATGGAAATCAATTCCTCTCACTGGCCCTTCATGTTCCTCAAATGTATCTAGTAGGCTTCCAATTCTATAATCCCAAAACTGGATCACACCATTATGAAGGCTAACAAGAACCCAAGGTAGTTTTGGATGAAAGGATAAACCCTTTGCTCGGGTACTTTTGCTCTCACACTTAATCAACATATTCTTCCCATATATAAAAAAAAGATGGAAGAAAGAGGAGGAAGAGAAGAACAAAAATTGAAAAAACTTAAGTTAATTATCGAATAATTCGTTATATTAATGATTAATTTGATATCTTAAAATAACAATTATTATGTTTTGGAAAGGAAACCTGTACCAAAAAAAAATCCACTTTAATTATTAATATATAATAAATCCTCCAATCTCAAACAAAATCAACTTTTTCCTTAATAATTATAATTTTTAATTTTTAAGTGACTAAAGAGATCCCTTTAATAGGCCAGCTCCTAGTCTTTTCTCAGAATCACCCGATAATAATTATACCAAGGAAAGAGCTGTGTTAATGTTTATACTGTTTTACCTTTTCTTCTTCCTTATTGAAATTATTAAAGAAAAGAGTTTATTCCTTTTTTTCCTTTTTCTATTTTCCCTCAACTCTTTCAATTTTATCATATTACAAGGAATATTCTTATTTTGAGGGGTATTTCTGTGAGCATGGCGCCTTTTGGCGGCAACATGGATTAATAACCATTCACTACAAATTGAACAATAGTAAGATTTAGACAAACCATTTGTTTAATTATTATTTTTACAATATAATTTAAACCAATTTGAGTTATAAATGTTATTTATATAACGTATAGTATTTGTCAGAAACAAAAGAATTATATAAATCTAGAGAGAAAAAGATTAACTAGTCTTTAAAAAGAGTGGGGAGGAATCATAAAAGAATTAAAGGTTGCAATTAGATCATTCCACTTAAAATGCTATTCCTAAAAAGTTTCTTGATAAAATAATGCAACCATCCTTATTATGGGTTTAATATACATCAATTCAAACCAAAAGTTTTTATTATGATATGTTATTTTTTAGTTACCGGTACTATTGCATGTAAAAATACCGGTATAAATATTATGTAAAATAAAATTTATAATGCGCGGCAATAGAATAAATAATTAACATAATGTGGGAAAGTTTAACTTTTTTTTAATGTTTTTTTTTTTATTCGAATTAAATTACTATTTCACTTATTTTTGTTTAAATAAATTTAAAAAAAATATAAAAATAAATAAAGAAGAGCCGTTTGATATACTTTTTTTCTGTATAGAGTTAAATTCTAGTAAAACCAAACTTGAAAAAAAAAAATGAGCTCTAAAGAAAATGGAGTGCAAATTATTGAAAGAATCCAAACTTTGTTGGGAGAGGAATATGACAATTATAAGGAGAGCTTTGAGGTAATCCATAAGTCTGACCCATTAAGCAACCCACAGAAATTTATAAGCCATGTGGAAAAGTACTTGGGGCATTCCATTTTAACAGTCAATGATAAAATAGGTTCTGGACACCAAAAATTGGAGTTGAATAAATCCACAGATAAATTTTCAATGAGGATTTTAAATAGGAAAAGCGTCAGTGAGATTAACGAATATTCTCCAACAGGAAAAGGAAGATTTGAAAATTCTGAAAGATTAACAAATATTAAAAGTTTCTCTAGCTCCATGAAAGATTTTGATTATGGAGAAATGGGATCAGAAAGTTCTCCAAACTCAAAGTTAGCCTTTAAAATTAATGTCCAATCTTTGTTTAATGACCATATTAAACGTAGAAAAGGATGTTTGACGGATAAAAGCTTCACAAAGTATTATGCAGAGAGAATTGTAGAAAATTCGGAGGACTCTCTTTGGTTGGACTCTGATTTAGAGTCATATAGTAAAGAAGTTGACAGAAGAATTCAAAGCTTGATTGATGAAATTATCTCAAATTGTTCAGATCTTTGGATTGATGATCAAGGAAATAAGTATCCAATAATTCCAGTAGGAGAAACAAGAAAGCAAGTGGTAGTTACTTTGGGAGCAATAGGTTGTGATAATGAAGGAAATTTGAATGAGCAAAGCGTACTATTACTTGGTACAAGAGCTTCTAGTTCAGGAAATGTTTCTCAACTTAAGCTTAGAGATGTAAATGGAGACGTTGCTTTGTATCCCGGGCAGGTAGTAGCTATTCTTGGTAATACTGAGATTGATGAATTTGGACAAAGCTGCATTCTCGCAAAAGAAATAATTGGTGGATTACCTCCGAAGCCTGTAGAGGTAACCCTTAAAGATTTGAAAAATATTCCTGAGTTTTATGCTGGAAAAGGAGAACATCCAGTACAATGTATGATCTTTTCTGGGCCATTCACAACTGATGGGCAAAGTCTCAATTATGATTATCTTACAGAAATACTTAAATATGCAAATACTGAAAAACCACATGTACTTATCCTATTAGGCCCTTTTATTGATGTAAGAAATGAATCCATTAAAAAAGGTGACTTGTTTGATTTTGAATCTAACACATTTGTTACTTTTGAAGATCTCTTCCAAAGAAATATTTATAGAGCAATTGAAAGTTTTGCTCGAAAAAATGAAAAAGTTAAGATATATATTATCCCATCAGAATACGATGCAGCACATCCTTTTCCAATTCCACAGCCAGGGCTTAAAGAATCATTTTTTCCAAATACAAGTAACGAAACATTCACGTTTTGTCGAAATATTTATTTCTTATCAAATCCTTGTGAGCTTTATATTAATGATATCAAAATTGCAATTACTTCTTCTGATATAGTTACTCCAATCTTCAATTCCTGTATTACTACTAGAAGTGGAAATCTCCCACTAGAAGTTGTACTTAGCCAATTTCTATATCAAAGAACCTTATATCCTTGTTTCCCAGTACAACATCCAATAAATCCTAAACTTCTTCAAAAGCTTGCTTTATCTGGGGAGTTACCTCATATTATTATCACTCCTTTTGAGAGTTCTTCTCCTTTTGTAAAATCAGTACTTGGTAGGATCTTTGTTAATCCAACAGGGGATAAACCATTTTCTGGAATCTCTTTATATATAAATCCTCCAACAGAGTCACAAATTCAGCAAGCATCTCAAATTTGTCAAAGTTCGGATGATCAAACATGTAAAGTTCCATTATTCATAGAAGAACGCATTTGTGCTGATGAAATTAGTTTTTTAAAAAATTAAAACCAAACATATAGTACTTTAAATTTATTCAAAAATCTTTGATCTTCTCTTTAAGGTATCTATTCCTCCAACTAACTTCGGAGTAAAATCACTTGGTAATAGCTTTTCACCAACCAACAAAAGTTCTTTGTAAACACCTCTAACTGTTGTTTCACCACTTTTTGCTGCAACAGCAACACTTTTCATCTCAATTTGGATATTACACAAATTACATACAAAGTATATTGCTCCAGCTGCTAGTGAATTTGGGCGATGACTCTTATTAATATATTGTTCAGCAGTCCTACAAACATACTCTGCAATGCCAACAATTTCATGAGATAACTGTAAATAATGGCAGAATCTTGGCATCAACTCAGCTGCTGAGGAACTTAAAGTCGGGCCTCTTCTTGGTAAATCTTTTTTTAATTTATTAATCGACCTCACTAACTCTCTCTCTGAAATTGTTCTATCAAATGATAATAACTCTTTAACTGTCCTAGATACTCCTTCCTCCCTACATGCCAAATATACAATAGCAAGTACATTCTTTTTGCCACTTTTTAATATATTCAAGTTACTTTGTTCTTTAACAATCTCCTTACATCTTTCAATAATGTTATCATGAAGTGAGAAACTGTTTGCTATTTGTCTTAATTGATTGAAAACTTCTTTAATCATACGATCACTCGACGCTTGAGTATTATGTTTTAACATTGCTTTCATTAATTTCTTGTCCCCTACCAGTAGCTGAGAATCCGTACCATCATCTAGCCAAACATCATTCACAGAACCAATACGGGACTTAGAATTTCCATCATTTCCATCATTTGAAAATGATCTCCATTCTTGTTCTTCATTGATTACCCTATCTTCAACCACCACTCCACACCTAGTACAAATTTCAGATCCAGATTTCGAATCATAAACAACAATAGAATTTCCAGCTCCACATCTCTTGCAAAATTTGGCAGCCCTAAAACTTCTAAACAGATGTGGAAGTGCTCCAGGTTTATCGAAATCCCTATTAGAACCTAATCCAGACTGAGTTGTTATCATTGAAGCTTGTTGGCCTGACTCGCCAACTCCTGAAGATTGTTGTACTTTCCTTTCTGAATATGGATTACTCCTCCCTAAATCACCTTTTTTATCTGATAAAAGTTTGTCTGAAGCCCTAATTGGCCCAGCAGTTAATCCCTCCATTGAACTTCCAAGTTTATTTCTTTGCATATTTGTAGCATTAGAATCATTAGGAGTGTTTATCGTGAGATTATCAATTCTATTACCAATACTGCTAATTCCATTTACTTGAGAGCCATTCATGTTCTGAGAATCTGAGCCAGGGCCAATATTACCTGCAGTGCTTGAATTAAAATTGTAATTAACACCTGAAGAAAGATCAGAATTCATAGCAATATTTTCCTAGCTTTGATAATTAGAATTTAGATCCCTTTACCTTTTAATTCTCAATCAAAGAAAGTTTGCTTTTTTTTCTAATCTCCTTTATATTTCCTTTGAATTATATTATTATTATTACAATTTAATAGAATCAGCATAAAAAAAAATATTGGCGCCAACTGCAATTTTACCAAAGTATTGACATTTAACTTGAGGAAATTATACCAAATTAATTAAAGAACATTTACATAGGTGAATTAATGGTTATCATAAAAAGAAATAGCTGAAATATTGATATTGTTTGGCTGTATTACAGTCATGTCAAAAGTTCCAATTTACATCGTTACCGGATTTTTGGGATCAGGTAAAACTACCCTTTTGCGTCATATAATAAGTAGTTATGACCAGGATATAAAGATAGCCATAATACAAAATGATTTTTCTGATGAAATGGGGATTGAGGCCCCTACAATGCAGGATAAGGACGGCAATTTATTTAAGGAATTCTTTGAGCTCCCAAATGGTTGTGTTTGCTGTACAGTCAAGGATGAGCTCTTAAAAGCAATTGAGCATTTATTATCAATGAGAAAGTTTGAAAAAATATTACTGGAAACAACAGGAGTTGCTGACCCAGAGCCAATAATTGAGAAGTTTTGGCTAGATTGTGAACTTGAAAGTAGTGTTGAGCTATCAGGAGTAATTACTGTAATTGATACTTTTAACTTCAAAAATTACCTTGACTTGGGCCTGATTAATCAGAAAGTTAGGTGTAATCCTAATAATAATTTAGTTGAAAATGATAGCCAACAAAGAAACTCAGATTTAAGTCATAATAACACTCCACAGAAACTTTTATCTCCAGAAATAATTAAGCAAATAATGCTTGCAAACAAAATTGTTCTCAATAAAACTGATCTAATTGAGAATAAGTCAGAAGGCTCTTTAGATAATCTCCAGGCATTAGCAGAAATTCAAGCTATTGTAAGAGCCATTAACCCAATTGCTCATTTGGTTACTGCAATTAAATCCCAAGTTAAAATGGAATGGCTGTTTGATCTTGATGCTTTTAATATTCATAAAATAATCCACGAAATCGATAGAGCATTCAATAATTCTTTAATTTCTTCACATTCTAACAATTCCTTACTCAAAAATATCTCTTCATACACTATTTCTTTCAATAACAATACCTTGTTTGACCTTAAGTCTCTTGAGAGAGCAATTGCAAAAGTTGCTTGGGAGGAAGAAGAGGATAATGAGAACAAAGGACATATGGAGGAACGGAATCAAGAGCCTTTGAAATATGATTCTGTGAATTCTAAATATGGAAAATTAATCCGATTTAAAGGTATATTCAAAGCTCAAAATTCAATCAATTCCAATTATCAAAGTGATTCCACTGGCATATATGCTTTGCAAGGTGTTGGACAAATTTTTGAAATTTTACCCATTAAAATCAATGAAAACCTTGAAAACTCGAAATTTTTCTTCTTGGGTATTAAACTTGACAGTAATAATCTCAATACACTTTTAACATCCTGTATAATCAAATAGTTCCAAAACTATGACTAGTTCACCAGTTAATTTACCACATCTTTTCTTAATTATAGTAATTTAATTAGTCTTAACCTCAATAAAAAATAATAAAAATTATGTTTCTCCTATAAATCATTTTGATGAATTCCTCGTCCATTCTATTTCCTTCAATTGTATTACTAAGCTGCATGCATTCATGTGGACAACATTTCTTTTGCATTTTTTTCTGACAACGAAAAATTCAAACATGTATACCGGAATAGGCGCCAAATCAACACCGGCATAAAGAAAAAAAAATAATTTCGAAAAAAATCAAATTTTGACAGGTAATTAATATTTCATTATTATAGAGAGAAATAAATTGTTGGAAATTTTCTTATCATTTTATTTTAATTTAGAGGTTTTGCAACAAAATGGCAGATAAGGTACAAAGAGTGATGGAGGACATGGTTCCTGAACTCTTGGACCTTGGAAAGCGTAAAGTATTCTCAGGGGAGGAAATTAGAGAAATAATAAAGCGTCGAAGGGGTTTTGAGTATAAAATAGCATCCAGAACTCCGACTTTGAGAGACTTTTTGGAATATTTAAGCTATGAATATGAATTAGAAAGAATCAGAAACACTCGAACAAGGGCTTTAAAGTTAAGGAAACGTACTATTGGCGATTATTCAATTATTCGTTTAATTCATTTTATCTTTAAGAGAGCTCTCAGGAAATTTCCATCTGACGAAAAACTTTGGCTTCAAAACGTTGACTTTTGCTTAAAATCAGGATCTTCAAAAGCCTTACAAAGATGTTTGATTTCTGCACTTAAACATAACCCGAGAAATGGTGTTTTTTGGCTTATAATGTCTGATAGGGAACTACAGAATGGGAATGCAAAAGAGGCGAGATCTGCAATTTTACTTGGACTAAGAGTAAATAAGGAGTCTTTAATATTATGGAGAGGTTTTTCTCAGCTCGAGACTAACATTGCATATAGAAAGTATTTAGATTCTTTTTCTAGTTCTAAGCTCGCACTTAATAAAGGGTTTAGTGCTAAAAATTCAACTGTTATGCCTCTAATTCCAATTCTCAACCACGGTTTAAAAAGAATTAAGCTTGAGTATAAAAAAGAAGCTCACATTTTATTTATGTTTAGACAATATCACAAACTGTATAATGTGCTTTTGGAGGATGGTAACCTTTCTGGGATTGAAGGTATGAAAGAACTAGAAAGCCAAATAATTGACTCATTTAATCAGAGTAAGAAATCTCAGCCGTTGTTTCCTCTATTTGCAATTATTACAGCTATTTGTAAAAATGATGGCTCAGATATTTTCAATCATTTTGAGTCTGAAATCAACCAGTTATTTTGTAACTTAGACAGTGAATTTGTCTTAGTTACTTTGATTTTTATTTGTAGACTCATTTATAATTGTACTAATGGCCAATTATTTGAGCATAACCAGGGAAATACATCCGGTGCTCTTTTAGAATCTGCAAACACTTCAAATATTGTAGATTTTGGATTTCAAATTTCAGAATCTTTTCAAGATTTTGACAATCCACCGGAATTACCCACTGATAGTGACCATCCAATGGATAATTGTTTAAATTTAGATATGATTACATGGTATAATCAGACTTGTCTAGAAAATCTACTTTCCAGAGACAATTTGAAAATTAAGAAAGCCATTCATTTATTGAAACTAGATCCCAACTTTTGGAATTGCTGCTTTTTAGAGGATTCAACAACTGAAGACCTGATTAAAAAATTATCGTTTTACTCAGTACCTGGTATAGAAGACAGAGAAATATGGAAAGAAAAATTATTTTCAAAAGAACAGATTGAATCTATCAGAGAAAGAATTTTTTCATACTTATCTTATGATTCAAATAGGGATATGTTCATACAATTAATTGCTAATGTAAAGAAGAAGGCTGAGAAATTGACTTTAGGACCTGAATCTCAAGGTTTAAAACTATCTTTATTTGAGGCTCTGGATTCACTATTTGAACTGAAACAATCAAACAATGACCAATATTGTGTCGGTGAAACCAATTTTACAGGAGATCTTATAAATAAGAACCTACTTCAAATTAACGATAACATTCCACAAATTATACAAGCATATAAGCAGTTTATTATATATTATGGTACAAAGCCTCTTTTATCCGATCAAATTACATTTTTGGTCCAATCTGTGAACAAGTTGTTGGATCTGATTGAAATCCAAGTTGAAAATGGAAAAAAACAGTCCGAAAATTTGGATTTTATTGGTTTTTCAAAGACAATTTTCTGGACCTTGTATATGATCAGCACGAATTTACAGGAATCAGATGAAGAACATTCACAGGATCTTATCAAGCTTAGGCAAAGAATTATACTTTGCTCGCTTAAAATTTTACCAATATGGCTCTCTACTAAGAAAATCCCGGGATTATTATTTAATACATTAATCATATACTCAATACTTAATTCTATAGAGAAAGCAGATAACACATTATCGAGCTTAGTACTAAAGTATTTGAAGTCTCAGGAAACAGGTATGGAAGTTAGATTTGACTCATCCCCCATTATTAAAATTCTTAAAGAGTCTATAAACGATGATTATCTTATTCATACTATTGAAGTTCTTCTTGGACTATTATCTGAGAACAATTGGCTACTTTCTAATAGCATTACAATGATTTCTAAACGTAATAAGGATATCACATCTATTACCTTTATGCTAACATGCATTTCTCTATTATATTTGTTATTTGAAAGGTATCTAAAAAATTTTATTTCCCAAGAAAACCAACATAATAAACTCAATGATCCAAACCTACAAAATGGAAGCAAATATCTAGTATCTAAACTATTTAGTATGTGGAATCATCTAAATACTTATATCAGTAGTCTAGATGACTTTTCTTCGGAAGAATTTAAAATGAATATACATATCAGATATTTACTACTAATTAAACTTATTGAACACTTAAAAATAAAAAGAATTCTTTCTCCAAAATTTGGAGAATTTACAGATGGAATCAAAATTCCCACTTTTGCAGAGCTAGTTAGGCAATTTAATAAGAACTCCACATACATGCGTTTTGGGAAACTGCCTTCTGGACTTAACATAGTGACTATTTTCACTTTACCTGTGGACGACTCCCAGTTCGAACTATGCTTAGAGAAAGCATCCATCCTACAAGAATACGACCAAGAAACCTCTGAAATGCTAGAATCACAAACAAATTCTATTCAAACTTTAAATAAAGTCATGCAAAATATTTTGAATCCATGCCAACTTTTGGCGCCAACTTCGGTATATGTGAGTACTAATTATTTATAATTAAGTTTAAAACTAAGGGAGTTTTTGGTTAAAGGTTTAAGTTAGGTTAAGATAGTTTAAATTTTATATATATTTAATTTCAGTTTCTTCTTGCTGTTTTTGTACCTTTAGGTTTAGTCTTTTAAATATATATATTTCCACTAATTTTTTACAGCTGAATAAATATTGCTAATTCCGCCACGTTTTATATGCAGGAATGAATTCCAATTTGGCGCCAAATTGAGGCTAATAGAAATAAGGCAAGCAAAATAAAAGCATTGATTTCTATTTCATAGAAAATAATTAGGCAAAGAGAGAACTAGAGAAAGAGAAAGAAATTTTGGAGTATTGGAGTATTTATTTGGAAAGCTACTTAAAGTTGTTTATTTATGAAAGATTTCTCAAGGGATGACTTTTATATAATTTTTCATATTGTCAAAGATACATTTACACACACCCTCAAAGTAACATTAATACACCACTAACAGTGTGAAAGGGTAGAAGATGAGAGAGGAAGATGGATATGACAAAAAAGAGGACTCAATTACAATCCAGCCTCGGCTATATAGTTTTGATAATTCTTGGGATAATGTTGTGATGAGACTAAAACAGACGGATTCTTTAAAATTTCCAATCATAATAGACCATGTTGTAAGAAGTGGAAATTTATTTTACATATCTTTGATTACTGGTCAGTTGTTAAGATGGAATCCGGATGAGGTGACAACAAATTTAATAGTTTTGGAGCCTCCAGTAGGTTTTGGTAGTGGAGTTGGAAACAATTTCGAGAATTTGGACAAAGGAAAATCTTCCCAAACACCACAGATTTTTGTAGATCAGACAGGGGACCATGCACTTATTGTTCATAGTACTGGAGAGACATGGTACTTACATTCTACACAAGTCAAAGCAAGACATATCCAAAAATTGAGTAACTATTCTATTTTGAGTGTAGCTTGGAATAACTGGGAGACCTCAAGAAACTCTGCAGTTTCTGTAATTATTGGGTGTAAAAAGGGGACTATTTTGACCACAATTCTGGGTCCTGATATATCATCCAGCTCCACAGTAATTAGAGTTTTACATGAGATCTCTAATACTCCAATTTTAGGAGTAATGTTGGATTCAATTTGGATGAAGGAATCTGACTTTAATGATGAGCAAAATAGTGAAGCATCTTTGAATAAATTACAATATATAGTATCTGTTTCAACACCAACAAAATTGCTTTTATGGTATGGACAGAATAGGATCATAGATTTGTTTGTTAAAAATGATGATTTAGGAGATTCATCCCGGTACTGTTTGGAAATAGGATCTAATGAGACAGCCTCACTAACAAGTAAAATACGATTATTGGAGGTAACTAATTATCACTTTCTAGTTTGGATTAATAATAGAGAAATATCTATATACTATGTTAATAGAAGTAAACACACTATTTTAGAAGCTTGTGATTATATTGGGAAACTGAAGAAATATGATTTTTGTTCAAATTCTAATAAGATTCCAAATAGTGTTGAGTGTTCCAGATACCATATTATTGCTTTATTTGAAGACTACTTGGATATGATTTCTCCAATTACTGCAAGAAGCGTCTACAAAGTTTCTATTGTGAGTATTCCCGGGCATTTGGAAGTAGGAGGAGAAGTTATACAAGATTTAAAAGTATCTGGAGACGGAGGAGGAATCTCAACTATTAAAGCCTTGGCTGTTGAACTTTCATCCAACTTTAATAATCTAAGTACTCTCAAAGGTAACTCCAAAAAGGAGGAATTAGAAATATTGGACAGAATCAGCTTTATTTGGGGATACAACAATGATAACATATACAAAATTAATATCATTAATGAAGGAGGAACATTTTGGAAAGAGTGGCTTTATGTTGGGATGTACGAGGAAGCTCTTCTTAGTGCTGAAAAGATTTCTAGTACAACACTCAAATCAAAAAAGAAGTCAATGATTAGGAGACTTCAATTCTTTCACCTTTTAAGGAAAGGGAAAGTGAGGCAGGCAGCTCAGCTTTTATCCACGATAGATGATGAACTTTCATTTAATGAAATTTGTAATATGTTTATTTATAATGGATGTTGGGAAGGCTTAATAGTATACTTGACTTGTAAACTTCACCAGCTAAAATCCAACCATAAGGATCCAATTACTACAAGTACTGTTTATCAAGATGAAACAATTATCTTAAAGTTTGTTGTTTTAAGCATCTGGCTAGTAGAATTGAATTCATTTGTATCTTTTTCTCAGGGAGAAAAAAACATTGAGGATAGTTATTACTCAAGTCTAATTTCAGTTTTGAAGTTGATATACCAAATTGATGAAATTGAGACAAAAGTTTATCAGATACTTACCCAATATAATCGGAGAATTGCAATTCAATATTATTCAGATCTTAGAAGGGATTGGCATGTATTGGTACAAGAATATATATGTTTTGGAATATTGGATTCAAGTTTAGTTAGAAGATGTTTCGAGATCTTTGTTTCTATTGGAGGGAACGTATCTAAAAGGGATAAACTTTTAATTCAATATTCTCCGATACTGGCATTTTTAGATCCAAAGAGATTTCTTTCATTACTTAAGAGACCATCCTTTACTTCAATTGACGTAAATTTAATTTTACCATATTTGCTTAATCTGAATGCAATTGAATCTCAATCTAAGAATTCTTCTGAATCCAAGGATGAGAGAGAAGAACTTGATAAGCTTGCGATTCTGTTAATTGAGAATTTTCTTAATATGAATGGTAAGCAAAGAAACCAATCTGAAATGGAAAGAGTATCAACAAGAGTTAAGTTAATGTTACATACAGATACTTGGAAAGGTAATAAAACAATCTGGAATGTATTGGCAATCTTATGTTCAAAACTTGAAGAAGGAGAAGAATTACTTTTGTCTTATATTACTCCTTTACTTAGCAAAGCCAAGATGGAAAGTTCACTTTATGATGCAAATTTATCAGAGGCAAAACTTGAAATGGAGTTTGATCTTTCTTTTCTTCTCAATATATGCAATACAAAACAATATAAGAAGCTTAAAGCTTATGTATATTGTTTATTAGGATTCTATGATTCTGCTATGTCAGTTTGCCTTAAAGAACTAAACAGTACGAAGCTTACCAAAGACATTATCTATAACTTTATAGAGAGTTATGACCAAAGAAGGAAGTGGATTTTGAACTTGATTAAGCCTTTAGGATACAATAGAGATATTCAAGGGTTAACAAAACTTCTTGCTGCTTCCCCAAAGTATATTTTAACTTTAAGTGATGTATTAATGGTGATTCCAGATGACATTCAGCTTTCATTCTTGACAAATGTAATTTCAAACAATATTAATCAGTTTGATGAGTTATTGCTTAAGAGAACAAAAATATACGAGAATTATAAGCAATCCAGAGAAAACCTTTTGATAGACCTTTTTTCTTGCCATACTTCTTATAATGTAATTGATCCCCAGAATGATATCTGTTTTGTATGTTATAGAGGCTTATTTAATTACCAGGGTTTTACCTTTGAAGATATCAGAGAGTTTGCTCATTCTCTGAGAATTAACCACTTAGACCAAATCCATTTTAGCAGTCTAATTAATTATTTTCTGGTAAAGTCTAAAGACCAAAACAATAAGCTTAAAGATACCGGAACAGGAATCAATTATAGAACTGAAACTGAAGAAAATAATAAATCAGAATTTGATGAAACCCAGTATTACAAATTCCTAAATGACGACTTGAATTCCAATATTTTATTGTTTCCCTGTTCCCATAGTTTTCACTTTGGATGTATGCTTTTAAAGTATACTTCACTGATGAATCATGATGAAATTAATAAAATAACAAGGATTATAGAAGGCATTTGCAAGCATTCCACAATATATATGAAGAATTATAATAGGAATATGAAATCTCAGTTAAAATCTGACGACAGTAACAAACATTCAAAGATGATTTCCAGAAATATTCTAGATTACCAACAATCAAGAAAGAATCTCAATATGAATAAATCCAAAAAAAAGATGAATATGATATCAATTATTGGTCAAACCTCAAATTCTGTTTTGGCTTCATTATTTAAACAATTAATAAACTTGGTAAATAATGACTGTTTGATATGTGGGGAGTTGATGATCCGAAATATTGATAAGCCATTTATTACTGAAGATTCTCAAAACATTGATTTTAATAACTTTTATATTTAGAGTCGAGTCATAATAACTTTGATAAGTTCTTAGACTTAAATGTTTATTTTTGATTTTTGATTTCTTTTTTTTTTTTATTAATTTAATGGTTTGTTTTCATGCATGTAATTATCATGTTTGGCGCCACTTCCAAAAATACCGTTATTTGCATGCATCTTATAATGACTAGTTGCAGTGCAGGAAGAGTATGATTGGAATTCCAATTTAGATTGAGAATTTGAATTGATTAAAGGAGGCCTTCCAATTGAGAAAACATTAAATCCAATTTCGAAAAGTTGATGGTGCTGAAGGAAGTTTCTTCCGTCAAAAATGAAGGCAGGCTTTTCCATATTATTAAATGCTTGTTGAAAGTTGATATCCTTAAATACATCCCAGTCAGTGCAGAAAACCAGAGCATGAGAGCCCTGAATTGCTGTTTGCAGTTCTGGGGATATTTGAATATTGTTGTAATCTGTTATGTTGGTTATAGGAGTTTGTTTAGTTCCTTGAGAAGCAACTAAAGTTTGATCTTGCTGTTTGCATTCATAAGGCATGCACTGGATACCATACTTACTTAATTCAGAAATGATCTCTGAATTTTTTGATTTGGGGTCATAAATAGTAAGATTTGCTCCCTCTCGTAATAGTTCGAAACAAATAGTGCCTGAAGGGGTCTCCCTTACATCATTAGTGTCTTTTTTAAATGAAAATCCAAGTATAGATATTTTCTTGTTCTTGAGAGATTTAAACATTGATTCAACAATTTTTGTTGAAAAAGATGTCTTTTGAACTTCATTTAAGTGAATCACCTGCCTCCAATACTCAGCTTCATTCTTTAAGTTGAAATGGTCAAATAAATAAGCAAGACATAAAACGTCTTTCTTGAAGCAACTTCCTCCAAAGCCAATGGATGACGTTAAAAACTGATTTCCAACCCTTTTATCACTTCCAACAGCCTGTGAAATATGGGTAATATCGGCACCAGTGATTTCACAAAGTCTTGAAAATGAATTGATTGATGAGATTCTCTGTGCGAGAAATGCATTAGAAGCTAGCTTTGCTAATTCAGCACTCCAAACATTCATCATTAGAATTTTTTGTTCAGGAACCCAGTTCAAGTATATCGTTTTCAATATTTCCATTCCTATCTTACCAATTTCAGAATCTGTTCTTCCTCCAATTAAAACTCTATCTGGAAATTCTAAATCAGAAATAGCAGTTCCTTCGGCTAGAAATTCAGGGTTTGAAATAACTGTGAAATCCACATCCTTTTTCGTTCTACACGAGTATAACACCTCTAATAAAGAGTCCGAGGTTTTTACTGGCACTGTTGATTTTTCAACAACAATTTTACTAGTTTCAGAAATTCTGGAGATTGTTCTGCAACAATCTTCCATCATAGATAGGTCAGGAGCTTTACCCTTTTCTTTGCCATAAGTTTTTGTTGGTGTATTTACCGAGATAAAAATGATATCACATTCTTTAATGACTTTGTCAACTTCATGAGTAAAAAACAAATTTACATTTAGTGTTTTTTTTAATACATCCAATAATCCGGGTTCGAATATCGGAGGAGTACTCGAATTCCATTCTTGTATTCTTTTCACGTTCTTATCACAAACATATATTTTAAGATTTGGGCATTTATATGCAATAATTGCCATAGTTGGGCCACCAACGTATCCAGCTCCAATACACCCTATTTTGTCAACTCTCATATTTTGAAGTTTTTTGCTACTTTTTGCTAAAATTTTAACTAATCTCTGGTTGATTGATGTCATGTTTCCTTGATAATATAATTGTTTAGTCAAGTTATTGTATGTTTAACTATAATGACGAAATTTTTCTTTTTAAATTTCACTTAAATTAAACTTCATCCATTGAATTTGGTATAATACAGCAGAGATAATTATAAAGACTGCACATCATTCTCCTTTAAATAATTTCAAATAAAAATTTAATCATTTCTCAACTCGAATTCGGGAGTTATTTGTTATTGGACTTTTTTTTTAATTCCTCTTTCCCTGTTTACTTTATTCAAATATCAGAAATTTAAATTAAAAAAATCTATATTAATTAATTTTTTATCATTCATATATGAATATTAAAAAAAAAAGAAAAAACATGCAAATTTGGCAATTTCCACATACAGTTTATATACCGGTATTGGGGAAAAAATTGATAATTCACACGTAATGTATTACTATTTTCCAAATGCAAAGAAAATAAATAAATAAATGTTATTCTAAATATTTGAAAAAAATAATATAGATAAAAATTATAATTATAAATAACTGAATTTAAAAGGAATATTAGAATATTAAAGTAATTATGATACAATGTAATAATTACCTTCCTTGTTTTTGAAAAACCCATTCTGTATTGTCTAAAGGGCACACATTTCTTGTTTTTAACCATCTAGAAATACAGTGCAGGTGAAATGCGTGATTGCATTGTCCCCAAGTTACTGTGCATTCTTCGCTTTTTTGAGCAGATCCTGTATTAGCTTGGCATTCAATACACAAGTCCATAATGTGATTCCTGCAAATAGCACAGTTATCTACTACAATATCCCATGACCAAAGTGCGACTGCATTCCATTTCTTTATTTCGAATCTCTTCTTACCAGGTTCTTGGCTATTTGCTACATTGTTATTTATAGTATTCTCTTCGATTTTTTGATCTCTCATCTCCTCCTTTATTTGCTCAGAGCTTCTCACATCCATTTTTATACTAATATGAATATATATATATATATATATTTACTAAAAGATTATTTGTATTATAATAAAGGGGTTCTTTTATTCACTTGAGAAAGGAAAAGTGATATTTATGCACAAAGATAAAACAATAACGTCAAATTTTTCTAAATTTGCATTATATTACTTCTTTTTTTAAAAAAATTTACTCTTCCTTTTCTCCAAGCAATTTTTTATTATTAAAATTCTATTTAACTTTTTTCTTTTCTAGAATAATCATTTTCCCACATTTTGATTATTAATATTGCAGGGATTGCCGCCACAATTAGGGCGGTCATCAGAAAAACCGCCTAAAAATTAATGTCATTAAGGACAATATTTATATATTATTTTTTTTTTCAAATTAATAAAATTCAACTTAGGAAAGCAGTAAATAAATCAGTATTCACTGATAGAATTCCAATTTTTGCAAATAGTATTAATTTAATCCAACCTGGGCCAGAAGTCATAGAATTTGAATTATTCTATAATTAAATAAGCTTAGCTGATTATACTTGTTCTTCTTTGTTCCTTTGAGGTTCCTGGAGATAAATATAATTCAGAAGAATTTAAAAACAAGAATTTTTAATAAACTGTATATTGTTTGAATTAAGAAGCAGGTGATTAAGTAATCATGGCAAAAAGCTTGAGAAGCAAGGTAAAGAGAAGGTTTCGTACAGCCAAGAGATTATTAATTAAGAATACTTTAGAGTTAAATAGAAACATTGAAAAGTCTAATGCTCTGAGAGAAATAGGAGAAGGTATCTATGTACAGAAAGAAATCCCATTGAATGCATTTTTGTATCCGGAAAGTAAGAATGCAATTTTTCCACAGAAAAACAGAAATGCTTCTATAGACTTTAGATCAGAATCTATAAGTAGTATTGCAGGATATATGGGCCCAGGAAATAGACGTAAATACTATCCAGGAGAAGAAATACCGGTTTTGAGTATTATGGGGGACGGAAATATGACGAACAGTAGGGATGTTGAGATTATTAATACAACTAATATTAACATGAATATTGATAGTAAAAGTCAGGTGAATGAGACAATTGAACCCGGTACCGAAAAAAGACAGGTATCTATTCCTGTTATTAAAGACTCAATTAAAGGAGCATATGAGGCAAGTTTTAAAAAGAAGAAGAATTGAAAAGGTTAAATAGTATTTAAATAATTATTATATTTACTATACTTCAAAATTTAGTTAATTAGCTTTAATCTAAAATAGCCTATAAATATATGAATTAGACTGAGTAACATATCTTACCCACCTATAGTTATTTTGTTGACCATTTTTTTCTGAAATTTTAAGATACTTGACTTGTATGTTAGAAAGGTTAAACATCGGAATCTCAAAGTTCAGGAAAAGAGGACCAACTATTTTTCTTATAGAAATTGAGTCAGTTTCAAAAGAAAAGGATAATTTTGACTTTAGAGCAACTTCCGTACCACCATGAATCTTCTTAATTTTCCAAATAATCCTCTGGCATTTATCATCATATTGAGAAGATTGCTGGATTGGTACGAGAGGATGAATAGTTTCTAAAGAAACTGTATTGGTTTTTTCTGGTAATGGACATACCATAGTAAGGTTTGTAGCGAAAGATGTCTCAGGTATATCAACCTTGAGTTTAATGACAAAATCAAATTTGGAAGAGATTCTCTTAGCATCACCGGAAACCTCAATCAAAGTTGTAAACTTAAAAGGTACTTTTAATGCACCTTTTGAGATTCTATAGTTCATTACAATAATTTCCCCTTCTGGGGGTTTTAATGTGAGAACTTTGTCGTTTAGAAACTCATTTACATTAACACTTTCATGGAAATTACAATCATCAATTATAGTACTTGAACCATCTTTAAGGAGGTTACTAGGTTCTGAAAAATTTAATTCGTCGTCTTCTTTCAAAATGATATTATTAGAGAACCCTAAAGTAAGCTCTGGTTGGCCTATAAGATAGCTTTTCATTAGAATTCCTCCTTCAATATTGAAACGAGAAATTTCACCCAAATGGTTTAAGACCAAACTAATTCTTTCAAATATATCTACAAAAACTTCATTATTTCTATCAAAACATGGAGCTGCATTTCCAAGAAAAGTCATTACCTTACTTTCTGCAGAATTATTGGAAACAGTACTCATTGGATTAATTGGCCTCTGAGAAGCATTGCTAGAAATAGTCTTCGGACCATTGAAATTGCTTGTACTATTTAAAGAATTACCATGGTTTTGTATACCTTTGCCACTTGAAGTTGGAAGGATCCCAATTGGAAGCATAGATAAACCTCCAGATACAGTATTAGTTAATCCAAGTATTTGATTTGTACCAAATATATCATTCCTCCTATTGAAATTCTCACTGCTTAATACTTTTGTTTCGTTGTATACACAATATTTAAGTTGGTTAGTGTTAACTATTTGGGGGTATCCAAAGTCAATGATTTCGTCAATTAATTCATAAACAAGAATGAAATTTCGCCTTATTGAATCCTCATTAACTGTCCCACAGAAATCCCTGACTAGCTTTATTATTCTATATAAAAGTTCAATAATGTATGTTGGACTCACATCATAATAGCTAGTTAACACAAAGAAAAGCCCACTTTGGCGTAGATATATATAAATTTGTTCCTCAAAGTAAATAGTTGTGGGCTCCTCGTTGTTACCCTGCTTGATTTTTTTATAAAACACATCTTGGATTTTAGCAAGGTTTTCACTTAAACTTTTCTCCTGACGAAAATCCCTAAATATTATTGTATCTCCCCTCACATTTAGGATTAAAAACTGGCTTATCATTACTTCCCTCTCTTTCTGTAAAAAACACTGCAAAAAATAGCAAATTAACTTGAATTTATTTCATTACAATGCCTTTTTTCTTTGAGTAAATTCAACCTCACTCTTAAATTTCTTCGGTTTTTTTTTTCGAAATTACATACAAAATAACATATGCCGGTATAATAAATTATAACACATTTGGCGCCAGATTATGGCGGCAACACACGGTACTCGAAATAAATTAGTGCATTAATTGCAAGGAAAAAATTTTGATAAGGAAATAGGATGAAAAAGTTGAATATAAAAGATAGTATTCAGTAAAGATTTAATTCATAGTGAGTTAATTTATGAATAATTTTGTAAAAAATAGTGATGAGCAGATTTAACAGAAAAATTCTTTTTACTGTTAAAAAGATATTACATGTACTATTAATTTTGCAAGTGGGTATTGTGTATGTAAGATGCATTGTAGAAAAAATTGATTCAAGGACTCCAAGTGGGGCAAATGCTTATATTTGGTTGATTAAATCTCCAAACATTTTATCTCAGAGCATCAATGAGCCAACAAGGTATTCATATGGATTAATGTCTGGTTCAATAATAAGTTTAGATCTAGAATTTGATTTTTGGGAGTATCCTGATGAGAAAAGTGTAGAAGATTCCAAAAATAATCCTGAGACTGAGTATATAAGATTAAAAAATGAGACAGGAGAAAATATCTTAAAAAATAGTAATAAAGAAATGATAAATAAACAAAATCAAATATTTAAGATGAATAAAAAACAGTTATTAGCGACTGGAGTCCCTCTAATGAGATTTGAAGATCTTCCAATGGTTTGTATGTTTTCGTTGAAATTGGAGGAAGTTAATAGACTTGTTGGAGATTTGAATATTGCAAATTCAAATGACATTTTTATTGGTATAAAGTGGAGAAATGAGAGAGTAATAATAGTTCTGAAGAGATTAATTAGACAATTAATATTATATTGGAGAAGTTTAATACACTATATTATGCCAAAAAGTGTTTCAAAATCAATAGAAAAAAGATGTTTGGATTGCTTATCAGAAATTTTAAGAAATGCTTCATACTCAAGCAATTTAATTAATTCTAAGATAACTACATTAGACCCAAAAAAAAAGAATTTAAAGAATAATTTGAGTAAAGATATTTCTTATCAAACAGCTTCTCTTGATTACTGGAATACTCAAAAAGTAGTTACTGATGATAATAATTTAACAAGAAAAGAATTAAAAAATGTATTTCTTTTACTATTAAACAGTGAACAACTAACATCATTAAACCATTCTCCAATCCAAGATCTGGCCCTGCTTTCATTTTCATCAATTTACCCAAGATTCAATATAAGTTCTTATATTAGAAGTGTATTGAGAATCCCGATTAAAGAAGGTAAACTAAGACTTGAATACAGAGTTCCAAAATTGGATAGATATACATTATTAGTAGTAAATGGAGATAGAATTCCGCTTCATATTAAAGGAAAAGTAATCACGAAAAATCCATTTCCATTAAATCATCTTTCATTTGAAAGAAGAATGGATCATTTTGTGGCAGATTTTATGTTGACGTTATATATAGCTACAATTGTGGGTTATTTAATATATTCAATATATAGTAACCAGTCTCTGGTACAGACTTACGGAAGTGTTATATACATTAGATTTAATAGTCTTCAAATAATTGGTTTGTTATTATTGACAATTAAACCAATTTGTCTATATTTTGATAAATTAAACATAATTGAATTTACACAATTTGGTAATGTAAAATTCTCATCTTGGTTTATTCCCAGAATTTTAACCCGAAGCTATGAAACTTTGTTTATAATGTATATGTTATTAATATCACTTGGTTGGAGAGTATTAAGAGATAACTTACTTTCTATGGAGGCAAAGTTATTAATAGGCTTCTTTACACTTCTTTTTTACTTGGGAGTTTTTGAAGTAATTTTAGGTATTTTTCAAATTTCAAGGTATATATTTCAAGCAGTAGCGTCATTGTGTATAATTATAGCAACTAATATTAATACAACTCTTCTTCAAAATACAATCTCCGATCAGTCAATTTCACCAAGACTTGGGATTCTTTACAATAAATGGGAAGCCTATTCAAATTTCAAGTGGGTTTTTGCAATTTTTATTCTCAAGCCTTCAATCTTATTTTTATGTAGAGTATTCACACTCCAGCCAAATGGGTTCGATGATTGGATTTATACAATTTTTGATTCTATAATAGATTATAGTATTTTACTAATTACAATGTTTTTGTTTAGGCCATTTAAATCTTTAAAACTTTTTAGCCAAGTTTTGGTGAAACATTACTCTGAATCCAATAACGCCAATAACAATGATAATAACTTTAATATTAATAGCAATAATTTCAATAATAATATGGATGTATCTATCTGGCCAATTATAATGTAGTTCAATTAAAAATTTTGATTAATATTATTTTTTTCAAGATAAAAACATGTTATTTTTAAAAGAATTATATTTATGAATTATTTTATTCATTATTTTTCTGTTTGTTTTATTCCATGCAAATTACGTGTTTAAGTGCAAATTTGCACATTTATTTAACTTGGTGGCAATACCGTTGCATGCATTTATGTGGAACAAATTGCCGGTATATAATTTTTAGATCAATAAATAATAGTGAAACAAGTTACACAGAGCAAAGGAGAATTTCTTTGCTTAAATATGTTTTACAAAAAGCGTTTATTTTGCTTGGTTTCTTTCCTTTCTAGTGAAAAAAGAAAAAAGAGAAATTTTTGAAATTTTTAAAAAATTAAATTAGGTTCTACTTGAGAGTTTATTAGAATTAAAGATAATCCCCCAACCACAAATTACAAAAAAAATATGGCGCCAAAAACCACACATAATAATAAACAGTTATTTGTATTATTTAGACCAAATATAAAATTTGAATATTGGGCCTAATTGTTAGAAGTCAGAATTGGAATAGTTTTGGGAATACAGTGAGCTTCCATGATTTTGCTCTAGCTTAAAAAAGTTTTTTTCAGGAATTTTAGTTTGATATGTTATCAGTTCGAAATGTCTTTAAGAGAACTGGTAGTGGGTTCAACCCAAATGTTGGTGGAGAGTGTATTGAGGAGAATCAATGAAAACTTACTGAATTATTTTATTAATTTGCCGGAAAGCATTTGGTTGAGTGGGTTTTTAGACCAAGTGAATTTAAGGGACGTAATGTTTAATACAAGAGCATTCTCCAATGAATGGTATTCTTTAGATATACCCTTCAGACTTAAGTATGGACATATAAGAAGAGCAAGTATTCAGGTTTTGCTAGCTCAATCAAAGCTTGTAATGGAAGTTGAAGGGGTAGTATTAATTGTAGGCCCAAATTTAGCTTATAAATCATATGAAGATGTAATAAGGAATTCAATGGACAATGTATTTGGTTTGGTTGAGCTTTTTAAGCATATTCAAACAATCAGATATAATAATGATAACTTCGGGGAAAATTTAGGATCCCAAAAAGGGGAATCTTCAGAAGGTATATTCAATTTCAATTCTTCAAGTAAAGAAGGGTTGAATGCATTACTTAGATGGCTTTTTAGGTATGTCCCTGATTTGTCTCTAAGTATTAGAAACCTATATATTCGTTATGAAGATGATGTATTGGATAGTTATCACCCAATGTCAGCTGGAATACACATTAACTCTGTTACAATTAATCCTGCCAGAAACTGTTGGGAGTTTCAGTGGCCAACCGACGAGAAAGAACAAGTTGAATTTGTTTCAAAAAGTAATCCAGATTCTAATATTGATCAAACTAACGTAGACAAACAACAGCATCCTCTTTCTATTAATAATTCGAATGCAGATCCCAGAGGTATTTTTAGTATTAAAATTAAAGGTTTAAGTGCTTTCTGGGATGATGAGTCTGCTCCATTTATTCCTGTCTCATTACTGGAGCAAACTGAGGCTTCAAATGATAAGTTTGGGGTGTTTTCAGCAGTAACTATTGATGATATCCAGAATCTCGTAAACTCCAATTTGCAGTATCATACCAGAATAATTTCCAATCTTAATGTTTCTGCTCAGTTTGGGTTTGTAAATCCGTTCATTCACAAAATTTCCGCTGAAAAAGGTGGACATAATAATGGCCAATTCGCCCAAAACTCTTCATCTGAACCAATATCTTCTCAAGATTCCTCATCTTCTTCTTCTTCCAAAAATACAAATAATGAGAATAACAAATATATAGCAAAAGACTACTTGAACGATTACTATACTGGCTCTAATATTGCTACACTGCTGAATATAAATATTCTAAGTGGATTTGAAATGAATATTTATCCACAAATGATTCACGGATTGGTTAGGTTCGTAACTTTGTATAACCAATTTCAATTTTGGACTCAAGTAAGGAGGTTTAGACCAATTGAAAGACCTGGTAGTGGAAAGACACCAGCTGAAGTTAGAGCTATTTGTAGAGACTGGTGGATCTTCAGTCTTAAATATTACAGAAACATCAAATATAAAGACAGTAAACACAATAGTCTTAAAGATGAAATCAATTACAGGATTGAAAGAAAAAGATATATCAAAATTATCAAAAAATGGAAATGGATCGAATTCATGATTAATGGTCAAAAACCTGTCTCTGATTCTGGAACTATTATTCACAGAAACCGTAATAATGAATATGGTGCATGCACTTTTGGCGGGAAAAATGGGAATGCTGAAACAGTAAAGATGGACGAATATGCTAAAGGTATAGGATCTCCAATTTCATTCTTGGATTCAAATTTGTCATCTTTTTTTGGACTAAATTCTCAAATGATTAATCATTTGAGTAGATATTGGCAATATGATGTTGAAATATTACAAAAGGTATCCGAGAAGAGTGATGACATGAGATGTATACTGGCTGTATTACAACACCACTCTTACTGGGTGGTATCTCAGTGGCATATTTTGGCTGAACGTGAGTTTGAGATTGAGTTTGCTTTGTTTCAAAACAGTTCGACATTCCAAAATAAGCAAAAAAAAGTTACAGATATGTTTTCTGGGGCAGATCATAATATGGACATTAAAACAAAAAATATCTTAACTTTATTGGCCTACGGTCTTCATATTCAGACTGAGTCATCTTTATGGGAATTGATAAGCAGCTTAAGGGAAAGTTATACAAATTTCATTAAGAGAATAACACAAGACAACGAATTGAGTAAACGTATTAAGGAAAGTCTTCAATTTAAGTCATTACTATTGAATGGGGGATCTGTCTTTGAGTTTGGGCTACCCTCAGGAATTTCTGCAGGAGTACCTGCTCAAATATCTAATTTGATACAAGAAAACATAGAAAGACATCCATATGTCATTTTTGGATCAGGAGTCTTTAAGAGGGGTTTATTTGAAACTGAGATTTTGTCAGACTTCTTTGGTGTAAGCTTGAATCCCAGATTTCTAATGAAAAAGCATGATTGGCATGCAATTAGGCTTAGGTTACATTTATGGGGAAGATTCTATGATGATTATTTTGAAGCTTTCCCTTTAGCAATTTCTGAGACTATAGAGATCAGCCAATTAATGAACTTGAGTTATCACTTGGACTTCCAACAGATGAACAAGTTGTTTAGTATTTCAATGAAAAGTGATTCTCTTTGCTTTTCAACTTTGGTTTCCTCGCAGACAACAGAATCATATCCAATGGAAGGCATGGATATGTCCATGGGAGTTAAAAACGTAACCATGGCAAAACCAAAGAATCAACAGGTATCAGTTTCTGAGAGAGATCAAGAACGGTCATCATCTTTGCCATTTCCATCTTCCTTGAGTAAGTTTGAAAAGAATGAGAGCAGGAATGATATAGATCATGGAGAAAGAAATCATACTAATAGGATTGAAATATCAAATTTAAGTAAATCTGGTACTGGTATAAATCAAGGAAATAAAGAACACTCAAGTATTGAGTCCAATGAAATGGTTGAAGAAGAAAGTATAATAAACAATTCATCAGTTAAGAAGGAGGCTTTTAAGTTTGAGAAAAAGCTTCCAAATGTATTTAAAGGATCTTCTAATGTTCCTGAATGGCTAAGTGATTTGGCTGGTCCTGGAATTAGCCTTCCCAAGATCATTTCAAATAAAATCATTGGGTTTTGTATTCCTAAATTTGAAATTAATATCTGTCATTTGGTTAGTGAAAATAAAAATTCTTTTGGGAGTACCGGGAATAATGTGGGTAATAAAAATATAACAGGTACCGGAGATGTAACTTTGGGAGACACAGGATATAATGCTAATACTACAAATGACATAAGCGGAATAAAGAGAAATTATCACTCTTTAATGCGATATTTCAGTAAAAACCACCATGAAAGGAATATTGATCCGGCAACAAGTTCATTTACCCCTAGGAAGCTTTTTGGGATAGTGATAACTAGTTTAGGGTTTAACATGAATACTTGCACAAGCTTGAGAATAAGTTCTTGCTTTAAGAGGATGGAGTTGGTGGTTTGGAATTATAATGATAGCAACATGATGAGAGAGTTCATTTCTAGCATCAAATCAGATAGATCAGTAAACAGGAAGATGATCAGAGATGATCAGATTGTGATATTTTCAATGTGTAACGAGAGACAAAATTCCAGTGCCGACTCCTCATCATTCTATGCACAAAATAAAGGGAATGCGTCAAGTGTTGTAGGTGAATCTGGGCCCATGTCTGGGTCTGGTTCAAAATTAGGAGAATTACCTGGAGTGATGGGAGGAAGTCAAGCAAATAGCCATTTTGAAAGCAAAATTGGAGAAGGAGGAATTGATGGAAATAGGATCCAAACTCCAAATAGAAGAAATTCGTCAAATTTGAATGAGTATGATAGTTCTCCCTCCTTAACTCATTACGTGGATGAAACTCAGAGTGGTACGTTTTCGTCATATATAATGGGAAGTGGGAGAATAGGAAGTATGACATCCTCTAAGACTGTGAGGTTTGAAGACCCAAAAGGAATAAGTATCAGTTCAAATGGATCAGGAATGATTTCTACAGCAATTTCGAGCTCTTTTGATACTTTAAAGACTAATAACTCAGAATTGAACGATGAGTCAAGTCCTAGTATGAAATTAGGAACGGGTATTAATGGTACCAAAAGTGAAAATATGAATACGGTACCTACACAAATGGCACCGAATAGTGGTTATACAAATGGGCTAAGTAGATATATGAGAAGGTGGAATTATTTAAGTTTGGTAATGTTGCCTCCAAATAATTCTTCGAGTAAAGAAAATAAGGGAGAAGTTAGAGGAAATGGAGAATCAAACTTAAGTTTTGCATTTAAGTTACCTTTTTACTTAAAAGTGGATATTAATTTAACAGAAGTAACTTTAGTACTTAATGAGCAACTTCTTGACAATATCCGTGGTGAGATCATGAAGTTGGTTCAGGTATGCTTATTAACTATTTGGAGTCAGTACAAAGGACTTGGAGCATTTCCAATAACAGACAGAATTCGTGGATTAGTGCAAGAGGGAGTAGTGAAAGAAACCTTCAAAGAGGAGAATAATTTTGAGTTACTTCTGTGTCATCCTTTTAATTTATCATTAAATAAATATAATGCAATTAATAAGATGAATAGAAGAGATTGGAATAAGATTAACTCACTATTAAATAAGGTGCATGTAAGGATTTCAATAAAATTACCTGCAGTGGAGTTATATATGTTAAATGAATCAATAGAATATTTCCGTCAAATAGATGGGGATATATTCGCGGAGAGGAGTATTGATGAAAGAGAAGAAAATGTTTCATTTGATTTATCAACCTCTTTTAAGCTTTCAGTGGAACCTCAGACTATTTTGATTGGGACAATTATTGACAAATTACGTGGAAATATTAATAGATTATACTTTAGAGGGTTTCAGATGAAATTCGATACCCAGCAAAATATAACTAGTATAATTAGGCTTTACTTAAGATTCAAAAATCTAATTTCTGACAGGTATGGAAATATTATTGCCATTATAAACTTATTCAAGGGTTATAAGTTTGATCACATCTCTAGGCATTCTTTAACAAGCTTTACTGACCAGATCTTGAGGCTTCAATGCGAAGAATTGCCAGATACTAATAATATACTACTGAAAGAATTTACCCTAAGTTTGGATGAGAGGTCTGATACTAGACTTCAAACCCAGAAAGAAAAGAAGGAAGAAAAGAGGGAGGAGGAAGGAGGGGAAAAAGAAAAGGAGGAGGAGGAAAAAAGGTTAAAAGTGAAGACTCGGGAATCCATGGACTCTTCTATTAATATCTCCAGTCCAGAAGGAGGCACCCAGTGCATTGCTTCAGCTCCTATCCCTGATAGAGCTCCATCCCCAGTTTCTGCCAGAGTTGCATCTCCGTTAGTATCACCTTCAATATCTCCATCAATTTCACCAGCTCAGATTCCGTCTCCGTTTGTATCTCCAACCTTGTCCGCATACTCTTGTCCATACCAATCTCAATTTCCTGTTTCTACACACATTCCTGCTTCGGACGTTGTCTCTACTTCTTCAGAAACTACTAAGATTCCTATTACATTGGAGCAGGCAATTACTACTAATACTCAATCATATCCAATCAGAGAAAGACATTCAGATACAAACGGAAATCATCATCTTTCTCAGCCTAACAACGTTCATATTAAACCTTTCCATTTCTATGAAAACCAGACAACAACAGAGGTTAACACTATTAGTGGAAATTTTGTGACTAGAAGAAAGTCTAGCAAACTTGTTTTAATCAAAGATACGGAATCTAATGGCCATAGAAATAGTGATGGCCACCAGCTTATTATTGGCGAAGCAAAGGTAGACAGCCACAGTAACCACCCTCAAGCCAAAAAACAATCAGGTCTAATTTCACTAATCAGTGAAGTTACCGTAGAAAAAGAAGCCAAACCAACAAAAAATAGCGAGAACATTACTGAAGTAAAACCATTGCCTCATCAACAGCCGAATCAAACAAAAAAAAAAAAACCTCCAATCTCTCTTAGGTCAGGTTTCAACTTTAATAATTGATAGCTAGCTTGTTCTAATTTATCCTAGTACACATAGCCCATCCATTAATAATTAATTTATAATTACCAAATATTTACTTCTTTCATTCTCTACATAAGTTATTTATACTACCACTAATGCATGCATATGAATGCGAAAATTGCATGTTTTTCCCGCCTAAACAAGTGCTATGTGGAGAGAAGAAAGTGTGATCAATAAATTAGGGAAATAAAATGATTAAGTAGAAATGTCAACTGTGATTAAGAAGAAGATCAAACTTCCCAAGAATATAACTCCTGAATTTGTAAGTTTCCCGGAGTGAGTTTAGAGAAGGGTGGATAGGTGGGAATGTAATAATTTACTAAAATTTCTTTTTTATCGGTGAATAATTATTTCCCAATATTGGAGGAGCATTGAATTTATTTGTTAATTTTACTAGAAAACTGAATAACTCATTTTTTTTGTGTCCTTAGGCTATTGAGTTGAAGGAATGTTTTGATTGGCAAGATAGAAATGCTGATGGATTAGTGTCAAAAGAATGTTTGTTGGTACTATTAAGAGCAACAGGGCAGATTTGGTCATTGGACGAAATTGAAAAGATATGTCATGGTAAGTATCTTTTAAGCAGAAGCAAATAGATTATTATTGTTCATTTTGACTTTAAATATTTCAATATTAATCTTCATACAATTTTGTTTAATTACTAGGACTTGGTTCAAAGGAAATTGATTTTCAGACTTATCTCGACTTAGTATCCCATAAAGTTATGTTGAAACCTGATAAAGAGGAATTGAGAACTGCCTTTAACGTTTTGGACAGATATGGAAACGGTAAGGTTCTGGTTAGTGATTTGAAGCATATTTTGTGTAATGTTGGAGAAAAACTAACAGTAAGTTCAAATAAATTGGCTTAAATGTTTTAAATTAAACCTTATTATAGGAGGAAGGTTTTCAAGAACTTTTGAACATTTCAGATATTCCAGATGCAAATAGGTTAACATTTTTAACAGAAGAAGAGTTTTTGAAAATGTAAGTTTTTATTAGGAGGGTTAGAGAAGGAAATCGTAGGGAAAGGTTAACTGAGTCAGGGAGAAGTTATAACTCTACTTACGTGTTCTTATATCTATTCTCTCCTATTATAAAAACTATTAACTTTTAAAATATTGTCAATATATCCAACTTTGACTTTAATATTGTTTAAAAATACAACTAATCATTAATAACTTGTGTTTACTACCATATATATTAATAATTTAGATTTTCAGGAAATATTAATTAATAGATTTACTTGTCCTTAAGTCTCGAATTTTAGTCGAAACTAGGAAAATTTTCTTTAGTTTTTTTGCTAATAATAATAATAAATATAATGTAATAATCAAAATTGGTTTAATAATTAGTTTTAAAAACGTAAAATTACACTAATACTGTTATAATTATTATTATTATTACTGTTAATATTAGCTATTGTGTATATTTTTTAACTTTAAAAGTTGTATGGAATATTGGCTCCTCATCTAAACCTAAAACTTGAAGCAGATTTACTTTATATAGGAAAGGCGTTAAATAATATTACTTTGGTAAAAAAAAGCAAAAGTTGGAAACAGTGATTAACACCATAATGCAAGGTGGATTTCAGCATAGAGATTTTTTGACAGTTTTTAACATCCCAATTTCGCTTTGGATTCAAAATGGAACCCACTTGTTTCACAAGAATACTCAAACCTTAATAGACAAAACAGGTAAGAGGCTTTGTATTAAGGTAAGTTAAAAAATAGGATTATTTTAACATTATATAAATTTAACTATATATAAAGTGCATTAAAGAAATGTTTACAAATAATCAAAAATCAAGTACATATTTGTCCCAGATTTGTGAGGATTTGATGTTGGTAAGTTGAACTCAATAGCGAAATTAAGGTTAATTCTAAGTTGAAAACTTTCAGATGATTAAGTGTGAGAGAGGTAAGGGGGTTGTTAGATTCATCATAAATGAATTATTGGCAGATGAAAGTAATTTCATTATTGAGGAAATTAATAAGGTTGATGTAAGTTACTAAAATATATTAAATCATCTTTTTAAAATGATACTTAATACAATACAATTTAACAATAAATTTTGGTATTAGGATGAAATGTTACTAAACAATCTTATAAATTTGAAGTTAACTTTACTCAACAAACATTTTTCAATATCTGAAAATATACAGAGACAAAAATTAAACGAAAATATATTAAATATTATAATTAAAAATGTAAGTTTATTTAAGTTAATGGAAAAAATAGGATGGATTTTAGCTTTCTATATTTGTCCTGATAATAATTTGAAATGATTACTTGAATAAATCTTTAGATCGATAATTTGAATACAAGAATGAGATCAATGGCGAAATTAATATACATACTATTTGATGATAGGCTTTCTATTTATTCAAATAGTCTAATAGATGGAATAGTAGAAGACTCAAAGAATTTATCAAGGTTTGGAAAAATTATTTCAAGAATGGGAATGGAGAATATTCAATACTTAATTCCTGTACTATTTAAATTAATAGAATGTAATCCAGAAAAAGTGATAAGTAATTTATTTGCTGATAAAGGATTACATTTATCTAAATTACTATGCGAGGTTTCAGATAGAAAAATTTACTTTGAATATATGTTGGAGTTTTATTTACATATATTAAATAACTACCCAAGTCACTTTGGTTATTTATTATTAGATAAAAGCTATGAAGCAAACTTAATTAGTAATAATAAAGAAGAGTTATCGTTGAATATTTTGAATGGAATAGAAAAAATGACAATATCACTAGCAAAATCCAGTAGATACTCAAAAACTAAAAATGATCATTTGTCCCGAAACCTGAATATTGATAAATTTCAAAATTCAGAATTTTCAATTAATGACTTGGAGTGCATGCAAAAGCCAGGTTCGATTCCCATTGTGGGGAATTATTTAATTAATAATAATTCTAGTAGTGGAAGTAATAGGTTAGAGGAAGTGGGTGAGCATGGTGAGAAAGGCTTAAGCATGAGTATTGACAATTTTAGCAATGGAAACAATATTTATAATAGCAATAATAATAATGATGAAAAATATTTAAGTTTTGGAAGAAATAACAATATAGATATAAATGAATTAGAAAAAAAAAAAGAATTGGATGGAATCAACATGTTTGACCTATTAAGGAAGAGAGAAGAAGATGATAACAAATTAATGAAGAAATTAATCGAATTTTTCAAAGGTTTTATGCTTTATAAGAACAAAATGGGATTATATTGGAGCTCTGGAAAAGAGAAATTGGAGATGATAAAAATTGATGAAGAGGATGATGATTTAGACTCAAACAGCCATCAGTATTGCCAAATAAATGAATGGACTATGAATGGAGAAAGCTTTGAAGTTGTTCATAAAATAATAGAATGGATAATAGAGCTATTAAGAAATAGTATTGAAGTGGACTTGGATAACTTAGCCTTGGATTGTATTCTAGAAATATTCACACGAGAAAAATGTTGTATTTATGACGAAGAAAAGCCAGAAACTGAGGAGGAACTTTCAAATCTTAATAACAGTTTAAACGAAAATAATACTTTAGATAATGATTCAAATAAATCGCCTAACCCAGAATTGAATAATGAAAATAAATCTGAAGATTTTATTTTTAATGTAAGATCCTTAAATATCAAATCGAAAAGAGTTACTTTCAAAAGAACTGAAGAAATTCCGGCAAAAAAAAAATTAATTACTTTTAATGATGTGGATAAAAATAAATTATGTGTCAATGCATGCATGCAAGGCGGGGCAAAAAATGTCAGTGATACCGGTAAAGAAAAAAATAAGTCGTGTGGGAAAATATGTTTTCATCAAATTTTTGTAATAAAACATGGGCAATATTTGTTGGATATATTTTTAGAGCTTTTTGATGATTATTTAAGAAAGTTTGGACTGAATTATATTAGAAAAAAGAGCGGAAGTAAGCAGAATTTACCATTTTATGACAAGAGCTACAAGTATATAATTGACAATGAGGATAAGATAGAGGAGGTATTAAATAAAATAATCAAAGGAATGAGTAATATTTCAAATGGAGTTGCTATTCAATCTTTCCCTAGACAGGTATTTGCATTAAGCTGGTTTATGGATTTTATTTTATATGGTTTTATGAATGAGGAATCTGTAATCAAAAGAAAACCTCCAGTACCTTTGTATGGCTCGTCAAGTATGGATATGGTAATGAAAGCTGCTAATATGGAACAACCATTGGAGTATGCATTATTGAGTATTTCTGCAAAATTTAGCGAGGAAAATAATCAGAGTATTGAAAAGGCACAAAATTCTCAAAAATTATCAATTAATTATGTTGATAATAACTTAAGTAAAGTGCAAATACAAATAGTAAACCAAATAATTTCTTTGATAGAAAAGATGTGTAGATGTCTATATAGAAAGGGTAAGAGTAACTCAAAGATGGAAGGAGAAAAATTTAGTGGAAGCTTTTATAAAGTGGATATTAAAAAGTTATGGAAACTTAATGGTACAGTTTACAGCAGGGATCTACTATTGGAGTATTTCTCAAATATTCTACAAATTATCGAAAGGTTATCTTGGCTTAAAGGCATTCAAATCATTCAGTTTTTAGATTCTACAGATAAATTATTTGAATTTTATTCTAGAGAATTAAAAAATAGAGAGCAGAATATGATTAGTTTGGCCCAGCTATACCTAATTCAACATGTCTTTGATAACAACTTAAATTTTGAATTTGAAATAAAAGATACCTGCTTAGAGAATAAAGAATCTCAGGCAACTTTTATATATAATATTTTTTCTATTATACTTCAAATTGAGAGGAGAATCCAAGACAATCTTGAAGATTTTGATGAAGTAAATGATCAAATCCTGCAGAAAGCAGCTAAGAAAATTAAGGTGTTAATTAATAATAAGGTTGGAGCTCAGCTCGTATTCAAATGGATAAAAGATCCTAATATTGGAAATCAAGAAATCTATGGAATTAAAACAAATATATTAGTAAGATGGGTAATCCATATTTCTAGACAATTATTGCACCCTATTATGAGTGAAAATGAAATTAGTACCAGATTGAAGTATTTAACCAAAGAAAGAATTAAAGCAGCTTTATTATTAGATGATTCTGCTTCAAGTGATACCATTTCTATTGTAATTTCTCTGTTAACTTTTTGTTATGGTTATTTTCCAGATCAAGTTATTCTTTTCATTCTAAAAAATATTAATAGAGAAGAAATCAACGATAGTGATTATCTGGGAATATGTGATATTTCTGAAGATATAATTCAAAAGATAAGCAATTATGGAAAACCATCTAATTTTGGAAACCTTTATACTGGGAGGAACATACCAACTAGAGTACTTCTTTATTATTCATCCATCATTTTGAATAATACTAATCAAAATCCTAAGAATGTTGACTTATTTCAAGATTATTTCTCTCAAAAAGATAAAATTGTTACTAAGATTGTTTCCATTTTGTTTAATTCAAATATAAGACGTAGAGAATGGTTACTTTGGCATTCAAAGGATTTCGATAAGATAGACCTTTTTTCAGATTCATTACGTAACCTTATTCAAGCAAGAGGAGCAATAGGTAGTTATCAAGAACAAAAAAAAGTTGAAGAACAAATTTTTAAGTGGATTTATGATAGAAACATTGATTACTCAAGATATCAGGTCAGTACAAGACCTTTCTCAATAACTTGTTTTTACTCGGGATTGGTTGATTTTTCAATTTCTCCTATTTTAGAAAAATCTATAATGGAAAACATGTCATTTATTAAATTTGAAATCAAACAATTATTGCATCTTAGTTCTATGCAAATCAATACATGTAACGAGTATGAAGTTGAAGAATTTATTCAAAAATTAAGTATGCATTTCAACTTATTCATTTTTTCAATTCAAAGTTATATTGAAAGTAATAACCAATTTGAATTTGCTGATCAACTTACCATTGAAGAAGCTACTTTACCTTTAAAGTTATTCTTAAACATTAATAAAGATGACTTTGATTTTAAGCTCAAAGCAATTATTGGTCATTTAACCTTAAAGTTTATTTCCGTATTCTTTAAGCCAAGTTGGAAAAAAACAGCCTTTCATGAATTAAGTGGAACAGATTCTTCCTCTAAAGTATTTGGCATTAAGACTTATAAAAGTCTCGATAACTTTGGTGAAAGTTCTACCAAAAAAGACTCAAGTATACTATTTATGTTGGTAAATTTAATAGATGAATTAACTAGGTGGTAAGTTTATCAATATATGAATCTAGTCATATAAAAGAACATTTTCTCACATTATTATACTTTTTATACCGTTTTGGCTTTTAGGATGAATGATATTTTCAATATAAATAATATTGAAAACTTTGATATATCTGGTTATTTAGAAACGCTTTCAAGCTTACTTCTGGAACTTGGACTTAAAGATAACACTTTTTCTGATTGTATGGAAATTGGAGCTGGAGGTGAAAAAACAAAATTACTTAGACTCAAGGTGAGGCAGTCTTTGATCAATTTGGTCCAAAGTGACTCTATGGCTTCTTTAGTTGAGAAGATTTTAAACTATATTATTATTTGCAGAAGAAAAGGTAACAATTTGGATGCAAATAAATTAAGTCATTTAATGGTTATCTTAATATTGTTATTTTCCTTGTTTTTAAGTAAGATTCAAATATTCAGAAGTAATGGCCAACTAGAGAGTATTATTGATTCTTTTTTAGCACACCCAACTTTGCTTTTCCATGCTGAAAAAAGTTCAAAATGCGAATTTAGTACCTTTTTTTCGTCTGAATGTGATAATTGGTTTGGAAATCTCATTAAATTGAGTAAAACTATCACTACATGCGATTTTTGCCTTAGTTTTGGGCTCAATCACAACATGGAGGAAATTAAACTTTCAACAATTGTTTCTCTCATTGTAGTACTAATACGTCCAAACCAGGTTATTAATGGAATAATATCAAAGAATAATTTGATTAAAGATGTATTTCTACAAAGTATTTCAGGAATTTTAAATACAAACCATAAAGTTTCATCTTTAAGTCATGGATATATGGCTATTATATTAGCATCGATATATTTAAGTTGTGACCAGATTCAATCACTAAGCCTTGTACATAATTTGTACATTCAAAAGTTTCTTGTGAAAGAGTTTGTTTCTAGCATATTAAACTTTGACAAAAATCCCATGGAAAACCTAAATCTTTCTCCATGTATTATATTTCACTATTCCATTTTATTTTCTTATTTGGTATTTATCTTGAAGATTACTCCTTGGTGGTTTAATATTTCTGATTTGCTCAATTTGACGTTTGTAAATAGACTTGGGAAGATTTATAAATCATTACAAGCTTTGGCAATCATTTATAATGATGAAAACGATATAATTGGAGAGTATTTGCTCAGTTTGACAGAAATTCTATTAAAAATCTTACTGGAAACAGCAAAGGGACAATCTAATTTTTCATCTACTTATATCCAAGGTAAGTTTATTTTTAAATACAAATTTTTAAAACATAAATTTTATTTGATTAATACTTTTCATTTTCTAACTTATCTATTTCAATAATTCAACTTTTCATTCAAAATTTAATTTTATGATGACCATATATTTAGATGAAAAGAAAAGTGGTACAGGAAGTAACGGAGTAATTATTAAATTAATTCAGGAAACTTTAAAAAACCAAGAGAACGAAAACATTCAGGATTATAATATAACTTTGGTAAGAGAGCACACAAGTACTAGAGATGGGAATAATATTAAAAATATTTTTAATTGTGAGAATAATGAAAGATCTGGATGTTTTATATGTGGTTTGGGATATCAATTCAGACCTTTTGAGACTAATGATAGCTTAATCAATAACTTTTTCATTAATCAAGTATTAAAGTTTTCAACTATGGAGATATTCAAAAGAATAATTGAAAATTAATATAATATTTAAATAAAAATTCAAAATTTAACTTTTTATTTAATAATTATTACTTGGTAATCATATTCTCTTTTATGTTAACAAATGGCAAAAATGCATGTGGAACAAATGCATGCATGCACATGTATTTGCATTGGGGCATCCAATACAAACAAAAAATATATCAAAACAAAATTCCAGTAATATAGCAAAAGAATTTAAAGATAGAAAATATTAATTATTATTAGAGATTAAAAATGGAGTCCAGAATATTGAAGTTTGAAAGTAAGTTTCTATTAATGATGAATGTGAAGGAGTGTGGATGAGATTAAAATAGCATTTATGTTTATCTTCTTTTGTGGGATGACGTTTAAGAATGAAATTATTAACTATTTTTTTTTTAATTCAGCCAGTGCAGGAAGGCTGTGGATTGCAGGGACATATGGAATCAATAAGAAGCCATTCAATAAGAAGATAATTCAGGAAATAACAGTAAAGTCGGAAGTAGCTGATTTTGTTACTTTGGCAAATAATATGAGTTATTCTCTGAGAGTAGCAGCTACATTACTAAGAGGACTAATGCTTATTTTTGATAAACAGTGGATTTATTTGGGTAAGTTGAATATTTTATTCCAGCCTGAGAATGACATTTAAAAAGAATTGAAAATAATTCACTAATTAATTATATTTAGAATCAGACTTGGACAACTTATATTTAAGGGTAAGTATAAAATTAATAGCGAATATTGGGGTTTTTTATTAACCAAACATTACGGAAAACAGTTTAGGGAAGGAAGAAATCATACAGATAACAAAAACAATTGTAATTCAATAGTTAGGAGAAATGGAGGAAGCAATAAAAGGAAAAATTCCTTATTAACAGAATTGATTTCAATAGATTCATCACTAAGCTTGAATGGTGACTACTCAATTAATAGTAATAACACAGAGAATAATGGGGAATTAATTTTATCATTGGATGCTGAGAATTTTGTACTGGACTTGTCAACCAGTAGTATAGATGAATTGAATTTGAATGACATTCTTCTCAAAGAAAATGGGAATAATATGAATATTAGAAGGATTGAGGATATAACTCTTCCTGAAATTAATGGGAATAAATCTAAATTATCAAAAGAATTTGGGTTTGAACAAGACTATGGTAGTATAGAGGTGGGCGATTATGAAGAAAATGAAGAAGAAAATGGAAATAGAAGAGGAAGAAGTAGCGAAAATAACTCATCAGAGAGAAGAGAAGAAAACCAGATGGTTTTATGGTCTTCAATAAACAATGAAGATTTCATGTTTCAAGGAGAGGAGAGTGAAAAATTACTTGAAGAAATTGAAAATATCAAATTAAATTCTGAAAAAAGAAGGAAGTCAATGGGTGAAGGTGATCAAAATCTACTTGTGGAGAAAGTTATTGAAGTGGTCAATGAGGCTCAAAACCGAGGAGAAAACAAAAAAAGGCCTAGATGTCTAAGTCACCTAGATATTGATTTGAAGTTTAAAGGGATAAGTTCAAGTAATAAGAATCAACTTGAAATGTTGGTATTTGACGATGAAGTTATTGCTGGTATGGATGAAAGATTAAGAGGATGGGATTCATATAAATGGTGGCAAACAGAAACTCAAAAGAGTGAAAAAAACCAGTTTTTAGTAAAATTTCAAAATCTTGCAGTTCTTAGTATGAGAAAAACCAAAAGAATTTCACTGCCAAACCAAATTGAGAGTAGTCTAGACAAATATGGAGCAATAGAAAAACATAGAGGTGAATATAATACAGAAGCTGAGTACAATAATGCTGATTTCGGATTTGATCATTTTAATATGGATGATAATATCGTTGGATCTCCAAGCAATCGTCGTTTAATAAATGGTCGTGATACTATTGAAAGCTCTGTAAATTATTATGGTGATGGCTTAAATTCCTCAGATGGAGCAAGGTTGCAAAGTGGAAGAGAATCCATGATCTTTTCAGATAGTAGACGAGGTTCTACAGCAGGAGTTAGGCTATCAACTATGTTGGAAAACGGGTCAGTAACATCATACAACAGTTCTCCTTTCCAATTCGAGAAAAATTTGATGGGAATTCAAATCGATAGTGCTAATCCTGAGCTAAAAAGAATTATAAGAACTGGCAGACTTAGTGATTCAATTGGTAGTAGTGGCTATGGTAAGCAGTATAGGACAAATTCTATGGCAACCAGTATTACTGACATATTCTATATGGACGAAATTAAATCGTCAAATTGGAGTAGAAGTGGAATTACTACAAGTAGTGGAACCTATAATTTAAAGACTTATACTGTTCAGAAGTTTATTGCATCTAGAATGAAGGAAATCAGGGAAATTAGAAAGATTAATGAAGAAAATGGATATTTAGTGGATAAGAATACTTCAAATAAAGAAAATCTAAACGAGGGTAACACAGAGAAAGAAACTTCCGGATTTGAGAATGGAAGTAAAAACAGTAAAGATACAGACTTTGATGATAATGAAGCGGAAATGTCAATTTACCTTAGTGAATTATTACCAGAAAAGACAGCTACTAAATGTACTGCTGCCGTTTTTTTCTACCATTTACTTGTTCTTGCAACTTATAACGAAATCAAACTCAGCCAAAATGTTCCTGAAGGCAATATTAAGATCACAAAGACAAGTTCATTTAATGAGGAAAGCTAAATGCATTAAATAATTTTAGTACCCCAAATGGCGGGAAAGCTGCTAAGTCATTAATTTTTAGAGGCGAATAAATTACACATAATGTATCAAGTTGTGTATAAAGTATTCAAGACTGGAACACAAACAAAATAAATCCAACTTACATCAAAAGAGATAATTGAGTACCTATTTCCTTTATTAACTTTTTGTTATTCTTAGAATCTTTTAATAAGATTAAGGAAAAAAAGGATTAAAAAAACATACAGAAAATATAATTATTAGACAAAAAGAAGTCAAAATAAATCAATTTGAAAACATATAATTTAATTAAAGAATGGACCAGAAAACCTTAGTAGAGAGAAGAGAGGTACTTGATAACCTTTTAAAGAGAAGATTTTTTATAGCTCCATCTTTTGAGATTTATGGAGGAGTAGCTGGATTATTTGATTATGGTCCTCCAGGATGTGCATTAAAGTCTGAGATTGAAAGTTTTTGGAGAAGACATTTTGTGTTGGCAGAAGATATGTTAGAGATAAGTGCAACTTGTTTGACTCCATATAACCCTTTAAAGGCTTCAGGACATGTTGATAGATTTACTGATTTAATGATAACAGACACTAAGACAAATGATTGTTACAGAGCAGATAAGGTTTTAGAAGAGTACGTTGAAAACAGGTTAAAAGAAAAATCTTCAAATCCTCCCAAATCAGAGCATGAGAAGAATGACTTAGAGTCTTTAGGAATTAAAGCTGGTTCATTGGGTGTTGATGAGATAAAGGAGGTTTTTAATAGGTACCAAATTAAACCACCAAGTGGTGGAGAATGGTCAGAACCATATCCTTTCAATTTAATGTTTAGAACAAAGATTGGTCCTAAAGAAGTTGAGGGAAGGAATGATAATGTTGGTTTTATGAGGCCTGAAACAGCACAAGGAATTTTTGTGAATTTTAAGAGATTATTTGATTATAATGGTAAAAAGCTTCCATTTTCAGTAGCTCAAATTGGTTTAGGATTTAGAAATGAGATTGCTCCTAGAAATGGACTTTTAAGAGTCAGAGAATTTCAGATGGCAGAAATTGAGCACTTTGTACATCCTGATAGAAAGAATCATCATAAATTTAATGATGTTGCCTCAAAATGTCTTCCATTATATTCAAGAAGGACTCAACTTAAGAATGGCGAAATTGAGAGAAATATCACATTAAGAGAAGCAGTTCATGGAGAAGAGAAGATAATTGATAATGAAACTTTGGCTTATTTCTTATCAAGAACTTACGATTTTCTTATTTCTATTGGTATTAATCCACTGGGAATCAGATTTAGACAACATTTAAGTACTGAAATGGCTCATTATGCAAGTGATTGTTGGGATGCAGAAGTTTTGACATCATATGGCTGGATTGAATGTGCAGGACATGCCGATAGATCATGTTATGATTTATTACAACATTCAAAGTCAGCTAAAACTGATTTGCTTGCATCTGAGAAGTATGATGAACCTCAATTTAAGAATGTTCTAGTTTTGACTTTAAATAAGCCATTAATTGGAAAAACATTCAAACAGGAAGCATCATTGGTAACTGAGGCTTTACAGGAATTTGCAAATAAAGGGGATATTAGCTTCCAAGAAAAACTGAACCAATATAATAAGGCCATTTTAAATTATAAATCTTGTGAGAATAAAAAAGAGTATCAGTGGGAAATATCATCGGAAATGGCTAAATTTGAATTTCAGACAAAGAAAGTAACAGAGGAGCAATTTACTCCTGCTGTAATTGAACCTTCATTTGGAATTGGTAGAATACTATATTGCCTATTAGAACATAGCTTTAAAATTAGAGAGGATTTATCTGAGGTTCAAGATAAGGATATTGGTAATAAAATTAATAACTCAGCTGATAATGAAATGCAAAGAAGTTATTTGTCCTTACCAGCTTTAATTGCTCCAATAAAATGTTCAATATTACCTATTAGTTCCAATATAATCTTTGACAACTTGATAAGTCTTTTACATAAAAATTTGATTAATCATGGTATTTCATGTAAAGTAGATACATCATCAGCTTCAATTGGAAGGAGGTATGCAAGAACTGATGAAATTGGAATTCCTTTTGGTATTACTATAGACTTCCAAAGTTTGAAGGATGATACGGTAACTTTAAGAGAAAGAGACTCAATGAAACAAGTTAGAATACCATCAGCAGAGGTAGCATCTTTGATTTCAAAGATGATTACTCAACAAATTAATTGGAACAATGTTTTGGATAATTATCCACTATTCACCCAACAATCAAGTGAGTAGTTTTTAAATGATTTCTACTGATGATTTTGACTAGAAATCTTTAATTATGTTTGATGGAAAAGAATAATATTAAAACTTTGGTTTTAGTAGTTAGGAGGAAAATCTGAGAAAAAAAAGCCATTATAAACATTTCTAAATAAAGTCTATCTCTCCTAAATTGGAATTTTGAATCATTCTAACAACACCTCCCAGAACGGTTATTTTCATCATCTTTGCTTGATGAAGAAAGTTGAGCTCTAGATGGAGCCTGAACCCCAGAAGAAGTCATGGTACTTGGATCAATTGTTCCATCTTCGATCTTACTTAGAATGAGTCTTGTCACTTTGACAAAAACTTCTTCTACTCCTTCTCCAGTTAATGCACTGGTTTCAAGGAAAAGTATATCATTCTCTTGAGCACATCTGCTTGCTTCTAGAAATGTGACTTGTCTCTTATCTTTAAGATCTAGCTTATTTCCAACTCCAATAATGGATATGTCCACTCTAGCTAATGTTCTTGCATCAGCAAGCCAATTGACTAGATGGTTATATGATTCTCTGTTTGTTATGTCGTAAACAATTAGGGCTCCAGCGGCTCCTCTGTAATAAGATCTTGTAACTGAACGGTATCTTTCTTGTCCTGCGGTATCCCAGATCTGAAGTTTGATTCTTTTTCCTCCGGCTGTAATAATCTTTGACCCAAATTCAACTCCAATAGTATGTGATGATCCTTTTTTGACTACGAGTTTAATTGAAAAAATAAAGATAAAAAGAAAAAGTTAGTGGTTTCTTATAATAATGTGATGATGAATACTCCAAAATGCTGCTAATATTTTGAGGAAATTTATGTATACTGATCATCACATAGTTTCTTTAAAGAAAAAAAACTTACATTTATTCTCTATAAACTGGTGAAGTAAACATGATTTTCCTGCTCCCGCATCTCCAATTACTATGAACTTAAACAAATAATCATATTGTTCTTTTTCCTGTCTTGACATCTTATTTTTTGTATAAGCAAAATATACTCTAATAATTCAAGCCAAGTACTGCTTCATATATGTTATTTAATTAAATTATTAAAAAATCCTAGCTTTAAACTCCAATAAAAATACTTAATTAATTTGATAAATGGTTGACCAGACTATCAATCTTAGTTTCACACTAAAATGAATTAAATTATTCGTTATTAATTTCAAAATTTAAGAGATATCTCTCTCCTTTTTTTCAAACTTACCTAAAATATAGTGAAAACAAACAAGACAGGCCAAACAATTTTGGGTCTTTTACTTCAAAAGCCTTTAGTTTGCAAAAACCACACAGTTGTTCTTTTACAATTTCCTATTTTGCTCTTTTTTTTCCTTTCTTCCTCTAATAATTATATAATTTATTTTTTACATTTGGACTCACAAAATCAGTTTTTGGCGCCATTTAGCGCCAACAGATCAAAGAAACTTGTAACAGGTTTAAATAATTTTAAATGACATTATTTAAAAAAAAAAGAAAATTTTCAAAAATTAGAAAATTTCAAAAGAGAAAACAGAATAATACATGATAGTAACTTTCACACATCTTTAATAATGTTTTAGAAAATATTTTCTGATTGTTCCAATACATTTCTAGTTGCTATTTTTTATTTTACATTTTAAAAACAATTCCTTTCCACCCCCCAACCATATTCTAAATGATACCGGTATTAAAAAATAATTGTCCACATTAAATTATGAATAAAAAAAATATCAACAATTATTGCATGCGTCCACATGCACTAATTGTCAAAGTTTGCAATTAAAGGACCACCGGTATTTATTATTAGTGCCAAAATATTTGTATGTGGGGAGGAATGCGTGCGTGTGTTTTTTCTCTTTTTTTAATTTCTTGTATTTATTATTTTTTTTAAATAATAAAGAATTTGCAGTTTAGTATGAAAGAAGAATTGGAAAGTAATTGGATTTGATAAAGAGAAAAATTTTAATGTTGAAGGTGAGGAAAGGAAGAAAAAGTTTGGCAAAGTGAGAGAATATTTAATGAAATTTTGAGATTTTATCTTTAGTTAAAAAAAATTATCAAATTTATAATAATAAATTAATAAGTTTGAAATGAAACAAATAATTTTTGTTAAAAATCAATTGTTAAGATACCAAAATTCAGATTTGGCGGTAAACACACAAAATTAATGATACTTGGAACTTGGATTTAATAAAGTGTGGATGTGGAAGGATATTATATGATGCATTGGATTTTTTTTTTTTTTTAAATGATCCCAACAACTTTAAAAGTCATTCAGAATAGTATTAATAATAACAATAAATATTATTATATTGCTTTTTAATTCCAATATTTTCTTATTAATTTTGTTTCACAAAAATTAACAAATAATAAAATAAAGTAAGAAAGAAGTTGTGATAAAGCTAAAGAAATAAAATATATGCTAGGGCCGATTATATTAATAAGGCAAATAATGAATAAGGATTATTGAAAAAAGAGATACAAGTAAAAAGGTTATTTTTGTTATGTAAGCAGGTATTAAATAAAAGAATAGAATTTAAGACTTTACAGTTTTTTGTCAAGAAAAGTTAATGGTGTTTAATATATTTTAGGGTGATACCATTTTGGATCAATATTATAAATAATTATAAATCAGGTAAACTTTAAAGAAAAGGTTCAAACAAAAGTAAAACTATATGGTACATATTTCTGTTAATATTCTTATAAGGTTTTAAAAACACAGATACATAAAGCAACCGGAATAGCTATCTAAGTTGTTTTTGAATATATCATAAAATAATAAAGGTAACAGGTTTAAAATCAGGTTAATTTCAGGTTTAGATTGGTTTGGTATAATAATCATCAGAATTGTGTGTAGTTATCATTTTCGATATTTCTTGTTTAGTGAAATCAGTTTAATTTCCTTATAAGAAACTTGGTTCAAAACAAAAGGAAAATGAAATATCATTCAGAGAATGGTCAAATAAAAGAGTCAAAAGGCGATGAGGGTGTTAAGATAGTTAAACATTCAACTGAGTTTAATGTGGATCTTCCTAATCTGGAAACTACAGATTCCATCGATAGACATTCAAGTGATTCAAATTTAGCTCAAAGTAATAATATAACTCCCACAAGATGTTCTAGAACAAAAGAGATAAAAAATATTGAGTACACAGGTTCTCTTGGAAAAGATATCAAAAATGCAGATCAAGGTGATATTTCAAATACGTTCATATCAAACCCCTCATCTTTGGTGAATAGTGTTGAAAGAACAACTGCTCCCTCATCGATGATGAGCAGTATTTCTAGATATGATAGCTGTTATACATCAAACTTAAGTCCAAGCACAAATTTTCAAACTCCTTGTGGAAGAAATCCAAAGAGAAGAAATACTTCAACTTTGTGTTTTGATGAATATTTACAAAATAACGAAAATGATAAATCAAATAATTTAAATCATTCGGGTATTAAGAAAGAATTACTAGGATCTACTAACTCAACTGAAATTTCAAGAGTATCAAATAATGAAACTCAATCTAATCAGATAAGTGGATCCGTTCTACTTTCCGCAGTTCTCCAGGTTATAGCTTCCATTCAAAAATTGAAGAACGGAGAACCTAACGGAACTAACAGAAGTAAGGTCTTAACTAATACAGCTAATACGAAAAATACCACCGCTGCAGTGAATAATCTCGTATTAAATAATGGTATGGCCAATAATAATGTAATTGCTGCAGCACAAATACTTGGTTCAAAACTTCCTGGGGTGCATCCAACTACAGCAGCTTTGGCTTTGGCCTATTCTCTTTCAGTTGCAGCTTCTGCAAAAAAAACTTCGGGTGGAGTATCAAATTCTGATGATTTTATTCAAAATTTAAATCAAATAATATCAGAGAGAATCTCCTGTAACAATCATTCCGGCAATACAGAGAATACTGATAATATGAAAATTACAAATGAGCTCCTACAAGTTATTGTTTCATCTTTGAATTCTGTGGTTTCTCATTCACAAGGAGAAGTTGGGATTAATATTCAAAAAAAAGATAGTGATTATTTAATGTCTCCAAATAAGACAAATGAACTTAATAATAACTTCAAGCTCTCAAGACTTGGGGGAGAAACCAAAGCTTCTGGTTCTTCGTATAATTTGAATCTTCCCCCAATGGATTTTATTATAAATGAGAAACCGATGTATAACGATTCTAGAAAAGTTACTAACTATCCAAATATAGCAGGCAATAGTTTCCCAAATAAAACTATGCTTCATGAAGTGGTTAATAATAATATTAATATTATAAATACCAATTATAAGTTACCTCATTTGGATATAGGTTCCGGATTGGGAATTGGAATGGGGCCTGGAATTGAAGAGTCTTTTTCTCGCATTGAATATGGTGGTGAAGTCTGTCAAGCAAGTGAAACAAACAGTTCCAAAAGTATAGTTAATGAAAGTACTCAAATTACAACTAAAAGTAATTATTTGGTGCATGAGAATAATAATCCTCTTTCTTTGATGTTATCCGAAATTTCCAAATGTTCAGAAAAAAAAATTATACTTGAATCTAGTAATAATTATATCTGGAATGATATATTATACAACCAAGTATTTGATCATGTTGATTTTGAAACTCCATTTTCTCGTAAGCACGCTTATTTGAGAAACGAACTCCTCTTTTATAATAAACCAATACTTGAGATAGATCATGGAGGAGACTCATTCTCTACACCCAATTATATCAGAATTCCAAATCATCAACATCATTCTAATAATAAAGTTACGACATATTCACATAATTATAATGTAACTAATCCCAGCTTCTTTGGTAATTCCAAGCCCCATTTTCCTCTTCCATCCAAATATTCATCAAATAATAGTGATCTCTATAACTTTCATAAATACAATCCTAGAATTCAGTCATTCTGTGATGATCTTCTTGTAAACTCTGCCAACAGAAAGAATTCCCAAATATTCAATTCCATCAATTACTTGATGCAGATTGTTGGTGACGGAAATATTAACGGTAAAATGAATGGTAATAATAGCAATTAGGTGTCATCTATTCCCACCAAGTTTATAATATATTCCTGTATTTTATTTTAATGCATCAGATATATAAAAATAAACTGTATGATCTTCAAAGATTAAATATAGTATCTAGTTTCTCTTCTATTTTCAATATCTTAATGTGTTTACCTAATAACTTGTGTTCTCTTGAAAAAATTGAAATAAAATTCATAATTGCTTAAATATATATTTGAGATCCAAAATAACATTATCTTACCTAGTCGAGTATTTGTTCCCATTATTACATGGAAAGTTTGCCCATGTGGGAATCGAACCCGGATGGCCGATATCCATGTAATTTACACTTCTGTTGCCACTTTCACATCCGGTATTATTATACATGTATTGACTACCTACACTTCCATTTCCATGACTATATTGATTATTTACTGAGTATTGATTACTTTCAAAACCTGTTGTAATTTGGTTTGTATTTCTATTTTGATAAGATAATTGTGTATGTTGTAGTTGAACTCCATCAGTATTTTGATAATATTGAGAATAATGATGGGGATTAGAACTGGAATTTGGGTACATTTGGTGTGTTTGAGACTGAGAATGGAAAGAAACGGGAAGTTTTGAGCCACTATTATGATGATTATAGAATTGGAGTTCCCTATTTTGTTGAATCTCTTGTATATTGAATGTACTGTTTGTGTTTGCATAGGGAAAGTGCGAATAGTTATTTTGAAGGTTCTGAAATAAGTTGTTATTTTGATTGTATCTATATTCCATTCCAAAATTTTGCTTTGTTGTGTTGTTTTGGTGATTAATGTTTCCAAACCTTGAATCAAAATTAGAGAATGAATTTTTTGGATACATATTTCCGCTTCCAAATGATTTGAATCTATTAAAATTCCTGTCTTTGTTACATTGGGATCTACCCGAAAAATTAATATTATTCTGATTTGAGTGTTTTCTATTGTTTTTGTTTTTATGATGGTAACCTTGATTATGGTTATTAAGCTTTTTTTGAAATTCTTTATGTTTTTTAGGTAAAGAATTATTTGTAATAGAATCTTCAACAGCAGATTCTTGAATATGGCTCAAGTTATCATACTTTTCAACAAATTTTTTGATTAAAACCTCGTTTAGACCAACACTTATATCATCACCACTCTCCTCTTGTCCTTCATCTTCTTCATCATAGTCATCAGGAATAACCTCCCCATTCTCGATTTCAGATCCAACAGATGTTTCATCTTTGCTATTGAAATTTGAAGAGTTTGGATGATTAATTTTAGGGTCTTTTTTAAAGTCCTTATTAGAGAAAGGAGATTTTGAAGTACTTGTACTAAATAGTTGACTTTTTTTATTTCCAGTATTTGTACTAGAAAGATAACTACACTGTATTTTACCAGCTTTACCTAATATAGTGGAATGTCTGCGATCACAATATATTTTAGTACCTACTTTGAGAAGGTTATTGTCAACATTACTTTGTTTAGATAAGACATAAAATGCAGATGTAATAGGACCAAAAGTATCAATGATTGTTCCTATTATAGTTTTATCCTCCAAACATAATACAGATCCCAGGTCTAACATTATAGTAGATGGATCACTTTTTACTATAAAAATCCCTTCCATACCAAATATTGCTCCATCATTAATTATAGAGTAGATCTCTCCAACAAATTCACAAGGAAGATTTATATCCACTTTTTCTGGCATATCTAAGATCTCAATGTTTGGTAACCAGTTTAATTTTTCTTCAAAGTTTTCTAAGTGGGAGTCCTTGTTTATATTACTTGGATGTTCCTTCTTAATAATCTCATCATCTGATTCTGCCATCTCATTTTCGCATTCACTTATATCAGATAATGTATTCTTTGTCTCCTTATTTTTATCTAAAGAAATACCAAACTGAGCCAAATAATTATCAGATAACTTCTCACCCAAAATCTCATATTTACATTCCTGATTTTCAAAAGTCTTGTGTCGGTAAATCATTTCTTTTCTAATTAATTCCTTAATCTCGTTATCTTCATTTTCACTTGATTCATAACCATCATCCTCGGAATTATCACACTCCTCATCTGTTAATATAATATCAACATCTTCAGATGATTTTTCAATTAGTGGTTTCCTACCTCTAGAAGATTCTATTCCAGTCAGGATTGATGCAGACTTATAATTCTCTAATTCTGCAAACTTGGATGCTAATAACAAATCATCAATTTCTGTCTCTCCATCAATAACTATCTGACCTTCAGATAGCTCATTAGATTCTGCCTTCATTTCCTGATTATGACAGGAGAAATCCTCTAGGTGAAAACTTTTAACAATTTAATAATTGATAATTTAATTAATTAAAAATATGCTTACGTGTCAAAAATGACATGTTTTTGGCGCCTATAAATGGTTATATCTTGAATATACTAGAGTAGATGATGAAAAAGCATTCACAAGGGTAACATAAAACAAAAAAAGATGAGAAAAAGTTTAAGGTTAAGGAAAATAAGTTATAATATGGAATTTGATTCTTTTTTAGGTTGAAAAGGAGATTTTTCTAGAAAATGCTTTTTTTTTTCCTTTTGTTTATTATTTTGTAATATATTTGTATTTTAGAAATAATTAAAAAGGAATTGGCGCCATTTTTTTATTTATATGTATTATTATTGTTAGGTTCCAAAAATATTTGTAATAATAATATTATTATTATTAAATAGAAATCGAGAACTGAAGTGAGGTATTAGTGTGGAATATTGTTTATGGTAAAAAGGATTAAATCATAACTAAGATAATTTAGGAGTAGGAGAGATGTAAAAGAAAATGCATGATATTGGCACAAGTAAAAACTATATAATAATTTCAGTTGGAAGACGACATGTAAAAGCAGGCTTTTCAAAAAAAATGGAACCATTTGTAATTCTGCAAACAAACGAACTTTTTTCCAAGTGTGTGGATATTTTGGAAATCGCCGGTAATAATACAACTTTCTCAGATGAATCAAGCTATGTAACAGTTTTTAAAGATTCTAACAACTGGAAAAGAAGCTGGAGCTCTTTAATACGCATGTTATATACTGACTATTTAATGTCAAATCCTAAGGACTACCCAGTAATACTACTAGAGAGACCGTTTTTTCCAATAGAACTTTCTAATTATATTACACGAATTCTAATTGAAAATTATCAGGTTCCTGGAGTCAGAAGAGTTAGTGAGCCAATAGTGAGTCTTTTCACAACAGGATTTAAAACAGGGATAGTGGTTGATATAGGAACAAACGAAACAATCATTTGCCCTGTTTATAATGGATATCCTATTGAATATAATGTTAAAATTATACATTGTGGGTATGATGATTTTAAGAAAAAATTTAAGAGTGAATTATTTGCTCAATATAAAGAAAATCCAGAAGAAGGCATAGTTAAAGGGATAAACAATGACTTAATGGATGATATTATCTTTCAGAGTGGAATAGTCAATTGTGAATTAAGTCATGATAATGAAAACATAAATATTTCAGATTTTAAATATGAATATTTACTAATAAATAATCAATATATTAATTTAATTGTTGACAAAAATACCAGAACCATGCCTTTTGAGATTTTCTTCGGAGATAAAGTATCTTCTAATGTAGAAATAATTCACCACATTGTTTTGGATGGTATTATCCAAGTTTTAAAAGATTCTAATGTTGATATTAGAAAAGAGCTTTCCCAAAATATACTAATTTGTGGTGGGATTGCCTCAGCTCCAGGCTTTGAAAAGAGGGTTTCTTCCGAGCTTGAAGAATTAATTTCAAATGACAAGCTATTAAAGCCTTTGGCTGATCACTTCTTCGTCACTTGCCCTCCAATTTCACCTTTTATCAGATCATACTATGGTGCAGCTATTATGCTTCAAAATGAAAAACCCAATTATAATTTTGAAAGCACAGATTTACAAACAATCACCTCTAAAATTAATTCTAAGTTAGAAATTGTGTAATTGCCAATGACGTGGTTAATATACATGATTTGCGCGCCTTAAAAGTTCTCCCCACACTTTTAGAGGCAAAGTGTAGAGTTTTCAAGATAATTAGTCAATAGAAAAGAAATTATTCAAAATAAAAAGTTTGAAGGATTAATTGGATAATTGATTATTTTAATAGTATTACTGATTATGTAGACACGGTAAATGGTTTTCTGTTTGACTTTTTTTTCAATATTTCAAGAATAAAATGAGTTTGCTAAGTCTTTGTAAGAAAAGGATAGTAGAGGAGATCATTTCGCCGGTACATGCAATGTCTGCTTCTGGGAGCGATGGATATTTAACTATGGTAGTTGATCAGTTTACACTGAAAGTAATTTCTTCTTCCTGTTCATTTTATGATATTATTGAGGCAGGAGTAACAATAGTTGAGCAGTTACATTCAAAAAGAGAGCCATTAAGAAAAATGGATTGTATTTACTTTATAACTGGCAATAAAAGAAATCTTGAACGTGTTCAGAGAGATTATGAAGGTGGAGGGATGTATAGGTCGGCTCATTTATTTGTTACTGGTTTTAGGGGAGAGAGAATATCAGGTTTTGACATACTTTCCAACCATGATGGCCTTCTTAGAAAGTTATTAACCTTTAAAGAAGTTAATTTAGACTTCATTCCATATGATAGTAGAACTTTCTATATTGATAATGAAGGTTTATTCAAAACTAGTCTTGATCTTTCTGAAAAGCTTCAGCAACAAATCATGTCTGGAATTAATACTTTATGTAAGACTCTTGGTATTAATACCAAGCCAATAATAAGATATCAAAATTGTGGAAGAGTAGAGGTATCAGCAGAATGTAAGAATTTTGCTGATAAGCTTAATAACTTGCAGAATGGAAGTGCTGAGAGCAGTGAAGAATGTACCATATTATTGTTAGATAGAAGCTTTGATGCTGCTCCATTATATATACACGATTACCATTACCAGGCATTAGCCTATGATCTATTGAAAATTCCAGTATCTCTAAGTAATCCTGATAATTACAATATTGTATCAAATACTAGATTTGAAAATACTGATTTCAAAAGTAGTGATAACCAAAAGATGGACGACGTATATGAATATGAAATCTCTAGTACCGGAGGTAAAAAAGAGACAAAAAAGGCAGTACTTGATGAAAGGGATTCAAAATGGGTATTGTATAGACATGATCATATTGGAAATGTGAACCAAGCAATTACGGATGAAACTTTAAAGTTTACCCATAATAATGTGACAGCAAAGATTCATAGAGGAAATAATAAAGAATCGAATATTTCAACTAGCGAAACAATTCAAGTTGTAAGGACTTTGCCTCAATATCAACAGACACTTTCTCGTTACTGGACACATATTAGTTTGATTGGGGAATGTTATGATATATTAAAAAAAAATGACATTACATCTATTGGCGAGATTGAGCAATGTATTGCAACAATGTTAGATTCTGATGGAAAGTCCTTAAGTGCAACTAAACAAAGAAGTAATCTTCTTGCTGTGTTAGGCAATTCTACACTAGGAAGGCTAGATGAGGAATTTCCAGTCATTAAGGACAGTAATGACAAACTTAGATTGATTTTATTATATATCTCACATTATACAGGAGTAAGTAATGATGATTTAAATCAGCTAATTGATTTCGGAAAACTCTCAAACGACGATCAAATCGTGCTTAAGAAACTTCTTGGATTAGGTTTGTGTAACTCATTTGAAGATATTGCAACAGGAAATGGGAAACATATTCATAAATATGAGATTAGTAATAAAGAAAGAGTTAAATACTTTAAGCAGAGATTGAGAAATATAGAAATTAACCTTTCTAGATTTGAGCCTCTAATAAAGACTATTGTTTATCATCTTCTTTGTCAGCTTAATATTGGTAATAACTCGATAATTTCTTATAATACTTTTAATCAAAAGAATTTTAACGAAGACTTTCCCTGTGTTGGCAAATCAAATACTAATGAAGGCCCTTACTATTTACTTGGAAACTTTAATCATATTCAATCTCACTCCTTTTCTTTGCCTAGGTATTCTTTGAATAGGAAAGTCGTGATTGTATTTGTATTAGGGTCCATCACATTTCCGGAAATTAGATGTATTTATGAGCTTATGAATGAATCGAATTCTAACATTTATATTGGAGGAATTAATATCACTACTCCTACTCAACTTATAAACCAAGTTCTTTACTCGTAGCATATTTGCAATAGAAAGTACTAATTAGCTATTCAAAAATGATTAACATAGTTTAGTTAATTGCTTATATATTTGCTGACATATTTCGTATCTAGTCTAAAAAATTCATTTATTGATCCCAATATTTTCGTCAATAATTTCAAAATCTATTATAATTATATATTCTCCCATATTTTGTTATTTACTCAATATTAGTTATATTATCCACATGCAAATATGCAATAACAATAAGTGGCGGGCCGGTTTCCCGCCTAACTTTGATAAGCAAAGTCTAAAGATCTTATTTGACATTGAAAGAAATAAATTTGTGAGTGAAGAGGAAAAAACAATAATAGTGGAGTTCAAAAAAAAGCATATTTAACAGGTGGGTTATAGTTTTATATAATAGAAATAGTTAGGGAAAAATAAGAGTTGAGTAAAAATGGGAAGGAAAAGTAGTGATGGATCAGGAGTGGGGGCAGACTTGTTACATGTATTAGGGTTGAATAGGTTTTCAAACTCAACAGATGATTCTGAAATGGGTGATAACAAAGGCAAGAATCAGTCAAAATTTGCAAAATTTAAATTTTCAAAAAGTAAAAAAAATTCAAAAAAGAGCAATATTGGAATGGATTCTGGTAAAATTAGCATGGAGATTGATTTGAAGAGAACTAAGGATAATGGAGAGATAGAGCAGGCAAATGAAAAAACTCCAATTTCAAGTTTAATAGATGTTCAGATTTCTCTTGAAACAGTTCTGGAAGAATTAGATAAATCTTTGGAAAATATTAAAAAGAATTTAGATGTTGCGGAAACTTGTTTGGAGGATGTGTACATATCTGTAGATAAGCTGGAGAAATTCACTGAGCTTTGTAATGTAGAAAATCAAGATGTCATTTTAGGTTTACATAAACTGGTAAACGTATATAAGAGAGCAGCATTACTTTCAACATTCTCTACTGATCCTACATTTAAGAAAAATTATGATTATAATGTAACTGATACTGATGGGAAATCTGGTGAAAAAAAACGTGAAAGACAAAGAACTGCCGATGTTATTAGTGTAAAGGAATCTGAAAGTGAATCAAATGTTACTAATGCAGTAGAAATTCGTAATTCAAATAGCACAGAAGCTAAAACAACTCCTCTTAAGTCTAAGTCCTATAGTTCAAAAAATAGCTCAATAAGTGAAAAAACTATTGTTTTAGAAGCTGATTCAATTAGCAGAAATAGTACTGATAGTTTAAATACTGAAACTATTAATTCTAATAACAATATGAAGAATGAAGACTCAAATGCTGAACAATTAAAAACTATCAAAAGCAATGGTACGACCAATTCCGATAAAACCAATGATGAAAAGCTCCCAAAAGACAATAAGATGAGTAAAACTGAAAAATTCAAGGAGAAGCTTAACCTCAAAATGAGGAGAAAGAAAAACAGTCAAAGTGATAATAACGATATTGACTCAGCAGATGCTGAAAACAGTTCTGGCCGTCAAACTAAGATGGAAAAGTTTAAGAAAAGATTTGACAGGAAAAGTAAATAATCTTTCACCTTTTATATATATATTTATATATATTATTGTATACATGTGGTCAATAGCATGTGGCGCCTTATTTTGGCGCGGGCGGTAACGACGAATGTCAGGAAAAAACTCAAATAATTAAATCTAAATAGGAAATTGTTTCAAAGTATAGGAAGCAGGAGAATAATTCTTAGTGGAAATAACACGGAAGTTCAAATAAGCTTTATAGATTTGCTTGTATTTTGAGGCTTTGTTCCTTAAATTGTAGTTTAATTTCTTTTAATTAAGTTTATCGGGAATCTTTGAAAACAAAATCTAATATAGGATAAGTATAGAGGTGGAAAAGCATAGAGAAAGTTGGAGGAACCGGAAATATGAAACAGAATAAGTCTAAACTTAAGAGACAAGTGAGGCAAAGGTATAAGCAACATGCAAAAGATGCAAATGATATTTTTGAATTGAATTCCCCTATTGGAGTTAGCTGTTTAGATTCTGCATTACAGGAAAGACTGGATGTAATTCTTCATAAGTATAGAGAGTATGGATTAGATTCTGAAAAAACAATACTGGGAGTTTTGCCCTACGCAGTTTCTATGTTAAAAAAGATTGAAAATTTAGAGTTTAATATGCCTTTAAAGAATTTGCTTAAAGATAATACTAAGAAGTTACCATTTGCAGAAATCTTGAGGATAGAGGAGGAATTTGGGCTATCTAATGTTTTTGAGGAATTGTATGGTAGTCAAATCCCTTTAAATAATTTGAGATTAAAGAATCAGATTAGATTAATGAACGCGGAACTGGCTATAAATAAGGAATCCATTATAGATCTAGGCTTTGATTTGCCCGAATTTTTAGTTCAATCCAAAGACTATATTAACTACACCTACTTTATCAAGAGAGCAGCATTGGTAATAGACTTATATAATAAGTTACTTCGTCAAATGAAAATAAATAATATACCAAACCTCACAGAAAATGAGGTAGAGAAAATCAATAAAGAGCTTTTATATAGGGAAGACTTTAAAAATGTTGCTAAATATGAATTACCAAAACTTTTATCTGTAGATAAGATTCAGGACATTAAGGTGGAGATTGACTATTTACATGATTTAAGGTATATTCCAGTAGTCTCAATTGTAGTTATCTTGAAATCAGAAAAAGAATCAAAAGATATGGCTATATCTAAGTGTAGATTCAGAATCTTACCGGTTATCCCAGAGTCATCCAAGCTAAATAAGGATTCTATCTCAATATATAGGAATTCCGTAAGAAAAAGTATTTTGAATTACGATACCTTTAATTATGGTCAAGATAATCTAAATTCTTGTTTTTTACCACCAACACCACAGTATAATGGAGCTATTTTAAGTGATACAAAAAGTCAGATGCTTAAATTATCTATAATTACTGAAGAAATATTATCTTCAGTTATGCTTGAAGAAACTCTGATGCTTCTCAAACTTTGGTGTATAAAATGGAAGATTTTTAATCATTTGAAAGTTAATAACCAATTTAAACTTTCTGGTCAGTTTAATGAAGAAGTTCTTTTATATCTTCTATTTCATACTCTGGAGTTGAATAGAGATGCACTCAATTCAAGAAAAACAAGTTCTTTCCAGATATTTAAGTTGGTATTAATGACTTTACAAAAAATGATTTCAAATTGGAAATTTCAAAATAAAGATCAATCCGGTACCTATTATGTTTTTGGAGATTCCTCTCCAAAATTTCATGATAGAATATTTCTAAAAGATAAGGATTTTAAGAAGACTAATTTATTGCACTTATTCAATAGAGATTATATTGGGAATCAAATTTTTATTCTAACTGATAAAGAAGAGGAAGTGTATAATGTATTTTGGAGATGTCAAGATCTTGTAAAGGAAGAATTACTAGATATTTTAAATAAGACTTTGGGACTTATTGATAATAAGGCAATAATAGGCTATGCAGAAACAGTTTCTGATATGTTTAGTCTTGGAACAGATTTTGATAATAAAATAAGAGTTCAAAGTCATGATCATAATAAGAAACTAAATGATATACCTCAAATGCTTTCTTTACTAGAGTTTGATTCTTGCATAATGATTTCTTATCCAAATTGCTTCCATAATATCCAGCTAAGTTATCTGGTTCCACCAAATAATAATATTCCTAAAGAAATCAGCTTGGGTGAAAATTCAAACTCAAAGACTATAAAGAGAAATTTTGATTCGATTTGGGAAAATTGTCAAAGTTCGAATCTGGTTGAGATCACGAGACGGATATTGTTAAGAAGTTTCACAGATAGAGTGAAGAACTTAAATTTTAGAGAAATAATATCAAAAGAAAAGTTTGGATGTATTATCGGTATTAAATTTGCTTCTAAAATCACAAGATCTATTGATAAAGGTCCTTTTGTTGATAGTGTTGAAGCAAAACAATTTAAAGATTTTTGGGGTAGTAATATAATTGAGACAAGAAGATTTAGAGACGGCACAGTTTTAGAGACCGTAGTTTGGAATAATGAAAATAATTCAAATAGTGAATTTTTAACAAATAAAGGAATTAATGAGGATATTTTAAGGTATACATTAAATAGACATCTTCCAAAAATCACGATTCAATCTGAGTTGGGAACAGAATTAAAAGATGGTTTAGTAACCTATTCAATGACACCATTTGGATCTATTAATCCTTATTTAAGTTGGGAAAAAATTGTTCATGAGGAGTTTTCAAACTTTAAATCCATTATAACCGGATTAACTTCTCTTCCTTTAAGTATCAAATCAATTCAGTCACCTAGCTCAATTTTAAGATTCATGAAATTCTACACAAGTTTGAATTCTAGTATAGATCAGGAAAATAGATTTAAAGAGGAGATACAATGTGTTATAGAAATGGAACAATCTAACAAGTGGCCAAAAACTAAGGAGTCTATTCAAAAAATCAAAATAGCTTTTTTGTTATCAATACAAAAAGAATTGGGTGAATTACATTCTATTACTTGCGATATTATACCTGAATATGATCATATAGAAGGTACCGATAATCCAGATTTAAGAGGTTTCGCCCCATTTTTAGATGTATATTGGAAAGGAGATATCACATTTAGATTAAGTATTTTCCATCCAACAGAATTAGAACAGATTGCAAAAACGACTATTGAGCCTGAAAACATGTCTGAAAAAGTCGTAGAAGAAAACATCAGATTTTCCGGGGAAGATATTAACCAATTACGCAATTTGTGGTGGAAAACACAAATAGGAGCAAAATTACTAAATTTAAGTAATTATTTCCCATCCTTAAGAGAAACAGTTAAGAAATTAAAACATTTTGCATCAGTAAATAAGATACCAGATTCCGAGGAGTTTTTAGAACATGTTGCTGCTTACGTATATACAAATAATGATCTAATGAATAGTATATATGGGGTACCGGATACCTCAACAACTGGATTTTTAAGATCACTATGGTTAATTTCAAGATATGAATGGGAAAAGAAGCCATTAGTTGTAGACTTGGATTTTCAAATGACTGAGGATTCTGAGATGAAGAGAATTTCAATTGAGGAATTCGAAAAGCTTGATAGGATCCATTCAATTTACTATAATTATATTAAGAAACATAAACTATTTAAGAATTTCTTTTATGTATCATCTCAATATGATCCTCAATCCTTATTGATTAAGCTTCCAAGCCACTATAATTCAAGTAGATTGGTTCATTTTGCAAATTTATATATAAATATTATTGTTGAAAAGAATTCATTTAATATACCAATAAAGGAGATTAAATCATCATTCATGACTCAACCTAAAAATGATATTATTATTCATCTTCAGCAAGACTATATTGGTCTTATTCAGCCTCAGTCTAAGAAGATTAAGTTTAATGTGTTATCACTTAAGAAACAGTATGTTAATCTTAATTCAACTCAGGAATTACTAAGTAATTGTAATATCAAGGCTTCTCCTTATAATGTTGCCAGGGAGATTTTTGAGAGCTTTGTATTAGAAGTTAAATCACTCTGGAATCAGCAAGTTGATCTAATATACGACCCTTATATACTTCCTTATCCTAGTAAAATCTATCTTAAAGTAAGAACTAGTCAATTCTTTCCTTCAAAAATTACTGAGAGTCAAAAGAAGAATTTTCTTCCTGGTTGCATTATCTCCTATTCTAATAGTGAATCTGAAACTTGCAATGTTTTTACTATACCTAATTTACCTTTAATTTTAAGCACAATTTGGAGTAGATATTCTGGCTTTATTACAAACATACAGTTATAAAGTTCTATTTACTTATACAACTGCTTATTTTATATTGATTATTGGAGGGAAAAGTACGGAGGAAACATATCAAAATAAATTACTTTATTATTAAAATAAAGGGACTTTTAGTCGTTATAATAGTTTATATTCTAATGTTAGTTTATTTTTCTTTTCTTAATTTATCTATTCTTCATTGTCGATATTATTCCTCTTCTCAATCACTTTTCAATACTCATGTTGATTCTTCCTCTCCTCTTCAGTTAAATACTACTAAACTTTTACCCATAACTACCCATATAATCAATTAAAAAAAAATGAGCATGCTTCCCACATTAGGCGGGAACCAGTGGCGCCACATGCAGATAAATAAATATATATTTATATATTGGATAATTTAGGCTAAATAAATAGTGTTAGTAATAGTAAAATTAATATCAATTATTTAAAGTAAAAATAGTATTAATAATAATCAGTTTCATTAGAACTTAAGAAAAGTGAGGTAAAGTAAATAAGAGAATTTGAAGAACTTTGTGTGTAAGAAGGTTGAGTAATACTAGCATAGTGTAAGTAAATTTGGATTTATAGAGAATCCAGAAAGGAAAAAGAATCAAACCTGTAATAGTGGCTGTTAGTTGAAAATGAATGGGTTCAGACTATGTGGTGATATGCTCCACCTTTTGAGTATTTTTCTTCTTTTAAAAAAGTTGAGGAAGAGTAAGAGTTGCTTGGGGATTTCATGTAAGATGCAAGAGATCTATTTGATAGTATTTTGCAGTAGATATATTGATTTGCTTTGGAGTTTTGTTTCAGTATACAATACATTAATGAAGGTTATATTTATTGCAAGTACTAGTTACTGTATCTATTTGATGAGGTACCAAATACCAATTAGTAGAACTTATGATTCTAATGCAGATAGTTTCCCATATCACAAGTACCTGATTTTACCAGCTTTAATTTTAGGATTTATTACTTCTGAAAGATGGATATTTTCCGAGATACTATGGAGCTTTTCAATTTGGCTAGAATCTGTAGCAATTTTACCTCAATTGATCCTTTTACAACAGTTAAGAGAAGTTGAGAATTTAACATCAAATTACGTCGTAACAATGGGATTATATAGATTGTTTTATATTTTTAACTGGATTTACCGTTTTTATGCTCAACATTATGTAAATTGGGTTGGCTGGATTGGGGGGCTTATCCAAACAGCTATTTATGTAGACTTCTTTTATTACTATGCAATGAGTAAATGGTATGGCCAAAAGTTAATACTTCCTTATTCTATCGAAATATAGATCGGTGATTATTCATATTTTGTCCAGTATACGTTGAAGATTAAGCTTGGGCAGAATAATTGAGATGCATTCTGTGGAAGACTTTGAGATGAGGGGAGGCATCGGATTCAAGGTCTAATTCCCGATCCTCTGTTTATTTGTTCGCTTCCAAGTAGTATCCAAGCTGGGAATAATTTAAGAACCTCATTTCTTTTGGCACCAGGGCAGAAAGGGAGAAAAAAAAAGAGGGAGAAGTCAGAGTAAAAGAGTTTACTTGGGATTCCATTAAAGTAGTTCTAGTCACAGAAAATGGAGAAAGGATTAGTGACCTATTTCATGCTCACTCTAATTAAAAAGTTCATTTACTTTATTTTAAATATTAAATTTTTGGGTTCTTGATTATTTGGTCTAGCATAAGCTTTTCAGCTACTACTAGTTTTTCTTGTATATAAGGAGATCCTCTATAATTTCCACTTGCCTTATTTAGTTCAAGCATTCTTCTTGTAATCTAAAAAAAGAAATGAATCATTTGAATTAGAACACAAACGGAAAGAAAGCTGTTAGTCTAAGAAATTTGAGAACCATATTTCAACGGGAATTTGGTTATAAAAGCTTTTAGGAGAGATAGACGTAATGATATTTATACTTACCATTTGTATATCTTCTACAGTGTACTTCTTTCCAAATTCGGTACCTAGAATCTTGTTTGCTTCTCCAAGAGTCATTTTGTTTCCAAAATGTATAGATTTAATTGCTTTAATGCTATCTAAATCAGTTTAAAAATTTGTCCAACAAATTAACTTTCCACCTTAAATAAGCATTTAGTAAACTGACCTCTATAAATATCTTTAATACATTGTTTTGCAACACTTTGTAATGACCCTGATGTAATCCTAATTAACTTCGTTATTACTCTAAAAATAGTTATAATTTAGTATTAATACCCAAAAATCTGGTTGTCTTTAATTCAAATATACAAACTTACCTTATAGTCCTTAAAGGCATCATTTCAGAAATACCTCAAGGGTTTTAATATCCTTTTAAAAACTTCTCCAATCCTCCTTTATTAAAAATGCACTCATTCATGTGTTATATCTATATAGACACCTTTTTTACTTTATTAGAAGATTCGAAAAGCCAGTAAAAGTGTGATTAATACGAATTTAAGGATGAGAACGAGTATTAGAACGAAGGAATGGAAAAAAGAGAAACTATTAAAGTTTTGTCAATTTGAATCTTCTGTGGGGAAAACAAAAACTGAGAAACCAAAAGCTCTACAATGTATTAACTAATCATTCAATAAAGAAAATTGCCATTTAAGATTTATCTGATTGACTACTTAAACCCTCAAAATTCATACTAATAAATAATATATTAAACATTTCCCCCCAACCAACACTTAAACAAAATTTTTAGGTTTAGGCGGGAACAAATGCATGCAGAAATTGGAATAATATATTGAAAATAATAATAATTAATTAAATAAAAAGTTAATCAGTGAAAGATCATTTCTCCAATAAAAACAGTGATTCCAAAAAATCTGACTGAAACTTTGCTAAGGTTTGTGGTATCGGTGCAAGAACACTTATTATAAGAAACAATATCTTTTTCAGTTTCAAAATAAAAGAAGTCATTCTTGACACTAAGTAAAGTGGCGGGAGAAGCTTCACAGTGATAATAAATCATAAATGATTGGCCTGGAACATTCCAAAAAATATTTTTAGATTTCAGAAGAGTTTCATTTAGCAACTTAAGACACTTTACCTTAAGTTTTCTAGATATTTGTATTGGGTATAGGTTTGAAAGTAAAGATACTACTGATGTGTTGTTATTCATTTTTCCAGAGCACTTAGAAGAAATACTTGATACAATAATGTTACCAACACTAGGATTAATGCTACAATTAAATGTTGCAGAAGAGATATAAATTGGTCCACTACATGAATTATATGTATTGTTGTGAATGGAAATAGACCTACATTTCACTTGTTCAGTAAAAGGTAATATAAAATAAGACTGTCCAACTTTAAGATGACCATATTCAATATATAGGGATGCTTTAAATTCGGAGGAGGAGACTGAAATAATTTCTAAAATGCATGCAGAAAAAGATGTAAATTGTTTAGTTTCTTTATTACAATGACACTCAATCGGACGTGATCTTGATCTTTTTGCATTTTGGTTAATGTTTGATAGTACTTCGAATAAACTGGGTCCTTGATACCAAGAGGATATTTCTTTTGGAAGATGATTCTTGTCATTCAGAATATTAACACCAAAATATGCACTAATTGGTAAAAAAATAATATTCGAATCGCTTTTAATATCAGAAAGTTCGAAATTAATGTAGTTATTTATTGTATTAACAATGTTTAAATAAACCTTTTCATCCCAATTACATAGGTCCAATTTATTGACAGCAATAATTATGTTTGAAACATCTGCTAAAAGAGAGTATATAATATGTTCAACAGTCTGTCCTTTTAGAAATCCTGCCTCAAATCCTGAGCTGTCAATAACTATTATGGCATTGTCAGAAAACATTGAAATTGAAAAGCTATAAGGAATAAATTCGGAGTGTCCAGGAGCGTCCAATATGGTCACAAGTTTATTTTCAATCATCATACTTTTAGCTGAGACATTGATTGTAATTCCTCTTTCTCTTTCATCATCACAATCATCAAATACCCAAGCATATGCAAATGACCCCTTTCCAATCATCTCGCTTTCCTTCTTGTACTTTCTCATAACTCCTTCACTTATTAGCCCCAAACTCACAAATAAATGACCCATTAAAGTTGACTTACCTGAGTCTACATGGCCTAATACTACGCAACTGTAATTATCAATACTAGGAACTGATACTTGTTCATTATTTATTAAGTTCTTTACATTTTTTTTCTGATCTGGTTTAGCCACATGTTTTGTTGTATTATTTTTTTTCTCTGTTTGAATAAAAGGCTTTACCTTTGTTGTAACCGTATTAGTTTCCCTTTCATATTCTGAGCTATCTTCCTCTGAGTGGTAATCTGAGTCGTAAGCATCGTAATAGTCATCATCCGTCAATTCCACATACTTTGATCGTGTACGCCCCATTGTCACTTATTGACTACTTATGAAGTTAATAAACTATATTATTCTAATCAAATTACAGATTTTTCCTCTTCTATTTCTCATCAAATTTTTCTTTGTTTACTCCACACTTTTCTCCTGGTTTTCCTTTTCGCCTTTTTCAAATTAACATTAATTTTAATCATAATAATATATTATTAACTTTTGGCGCCATAAAACGGCGCCAATACTGTGTAAAGTCTTATAAATAGTTTGCATTATTTTACATGGGAAAAAAAAAAAGAAAAGATATGATGAAATTGAGAGTTAAAAAGTAGAAAAACTAATAATAATAAGTTTTAAATGCATGTTAGTTAGTTCTTTATAATAATTTAATAATAAAAAGAATTGCAATTTAATAAATAATTAAATATAGATTTTTTTTTTTAATAAATTTATTTAAGGGGTAAATAATTTAGAGAAATGCATGCAGAGTACCGGCATTATTATTACTTACAAAAAACAAAAATAATAATAAAATCTTTCCAAATAAAATAGGCTTAAGATTAGTAAATATTTAGACTAAATTAATATCTAATACATAAACAAGACATTTTCTTATAATGATAACAAGGTAAATTATTTGCTTTGATATGATTGAAAAGTTACTATAGAAATGGAGAGTGCAACTAAGAAGCCAAATAGAATAGAGTTAGCATTGGATGACTGGGCAAAACTAGTAAAAAAATCATGTTCTATAGAAATTGAACAAATAAAAAAAAAACATACAAAAATTACAAATCAATACAAACCAGAAAGAACAATATATATGGAGAATGTGCTATCATATCAGCATACTAAAAATATTTGTTTGTTAGCAAGTGAGATTATTAGAAGAAATGGAGTATCGTATTTGATTATTGATTTTTTGAAACAAATGTTATTTTTGAGAGGTTTTTTTGCTTTAACAAAAGATACCACACTAATGCAACTAACAAGATTCTCAACATATATGAAATTGGTAGAGGTAAGTTTTCTAATTCTTTGGTTTAATAAGTAATATATATTATTAATTATTACTCCATTATTGTAATTACTAACTTGAAATTCAGGACGGTATGAATGCCATATATGAATCAAGTAACACTCAAAACAAATCAGCATTAAATAGAATTAAAGAAAATAGAAGGAGAATTTTGATTTATAATATTAAAAAAGTATTGGATAGTGGAATTGGATTTAAGCATAATAAACAACCAGTATATTATATTAGAATAGTAGATCTTCATTTAAAAACAACATTGTCATTTGGATCAATAAGTGAACTTAGACAGTTGTTAGTTTGGGAGTTAGAAAAAGTAATATATTCATTCTCAGATATATCTTTAAAAGAAAAAAGCTTTATATCACATATTACATTTGTGCTAGATTTTAGTAATATGGGGATTTATACTTGCAAAGTGGAGTTTCAATCATTTATGAGACTAATTTCAGAAGTTTTAGATTTTTATTCTCCTTTATTGGTTAATACACTAATCATTCACAAATCAAAATCTTTAAAAGAAAATCTATGGTATTCTATAGAACCAATAATTTCGTTGTTATATGACAGAAAAATTGTAACAATTTTCACTGATACAGAAGATGAGCTTTGGAGACTTTTGGAACCAACTAATATGGCAATTCTACATTCAAGGGGTGGATTTATTCCAAATACCTGTCTTTATCCAGTTTGTACCAATTCAACTGTAGTACCAAATATTGAACTTTGTATTCAAAAAGAAAATGAACACGAACTACAAAGTTATAATAAATATGCTACATATAAAAACTTCTTTTTATCATTTAAGCCAGAATTATCAATCAGAAGATTTATTAATAATTGTACTAGTATAGAAAAAAAAATCATTAATAAGTCATATTGGATTGAGGAACAAAATCAAACAAAGATTGAAGAAATTAGTAAAAGTTTTAACGAGGATAATTAAAAGCATATTCTTCAGTAACTTTAGAGAGTGAACTATTAATTAAAGTAGTGTTATAGAAGTTATAAAATCAAAAATAATGTAATATCTGTGTTTTTTTTATATCATCAATTATTCTACTTCAGTTACTTAACTTCTTGTAATTAAAATTTAAACAATTGGATTAATATTGTATTTGACTTAAATTTACTTTCAGTTATTTCATCATCATTATTATAATTTTCTTGCTCTTAATTAATTTTCAAAAGTTTATTATTATTATCTTTTTTTACCTCTCTTTAAAACTTTCTTATCTTTATTTTTTATTATTAAAATTCAAATTACATGTAAAATAGTACCGTCGTTTTGGCGCCATGGGTTTATGTCATTTTCTAGTTAAAAAACTTAAAAATTATTTGTTTATAATAATATAATTAAAACCAGATATATTAAAGGGAGGGAATTGAATATTAAACATATTATTGGAACAATGAATAAACAGTAAGTTTCTGTAGGCATATTTTATATTGTGGTCTGTGTATTTTTGAGGAATAATAATTCCAATAATTGATGAAAAACGTATAATTAGATCAATTATGTACAATACAGAGAATGACTACTTAATATAAATATATGAATACATTAAATTACGTAACTATTTCTAAATTTCTCATTAACTAGTGTAATAAGAATTGATTATAAATCAGAAGAATTAGCTAACACAGTAATGGAATGTATTAAACCAGATTTTATTTTATCTAATAACACAAAGAATTCTAAGAGAGAAATTATGGTGGATGATACAGAATTAGTAATGTAAGTTAGTTTTTGGATTTTTTTCTATTCCATTAACTTATTACTCTTCAGTGAAGTAGAGAGTGCCAATATTCGAATATTGAGAAAGACGGTAAATGCTATATACGGAGCTTTAATTTTATCAACTAAAACTATTGAAGAGTTTAATGAGAAATAAGAGTGAATTTTTCACTATAAAACTAATGTAATCTATTAATAATAGGTCAAATTGGGATATATATACATAAACATAAATATATATATTCATTTATTTTTTAAAGGAAATCCTTATTAAGTACTACTATTATAATGAGAATAACTTTAAAATTAAGAAAATTTAAATAGCTCTTAAATTTATTATCTTTCCACTTAGAAAAGGATATTATCCATGATCTAGATTAACCCCCCAACACTTGCCGCCAAAAGGTACCGTTATGTAAAAAATAGTTGAGAATGAAAGATAAAATATATTTTCTATATTATATAAAGTTTATATATTTAAATTTATATATTAAGAATAAATTGTAACAGTAGGATTACGACGATTGGAACTCTTTTTTTTTTTTAGTACTACTATATGCAGCTCTAAAGATCGGTATTAAAGAATCTATATATGAGAATTTAAAGTATATAGAGAAACAAAAAAAAAAGAAGATAGAATTTAATAGATATATTGGTTATAAGAGTAATATGGAGGTTAGCACCGTAAGTTTAATATCAATTATTTAATAATCAAACACCAATAACTTCCCATAATATTTGAAATTAAATTTAAATAGAATCGCAAATCAAAGCCAAAGGTAATAAAAGGAATATGTAAGAAGAATTCATGTAAAAAAAGTAGTGACTTACAGATTGAGGAAAGCTCTGAGAATGGAAGTTTTATTGAAGATGAGAGAGGTGATGAATATTGTAAAAATAATTTAAAGGAAGGACAAAAAATCAATCAAGAATCTACCGAAAATAAGATCAGAATATACGCAGATGGAGTATATGATTTGCTTCACTTAGGCCATATGAGACAATTAGAGCAGGCTAAAAAAATGTATCCGAATACACATTTAATAGTAGGTGTTGCAAGTGACGAAGAGACCCACAGATTAAAGGGAAGGACAGTACAGACTTTACAAGAAAGAACAGAAACATTGAAACACATTAAGTGGGTGGATGAGATAATATCTCCATGTCCATGGGTAATTGATGAGAAGTTTATTGAAAAGCATAAGATAGATTATGTTGCGCATGATGATGCACCATATGTTGCAAAACAAAAGAAGAGAGATGAAGAAGATTCATCAAATACTGATTGCAATAGTAGTGAAGAAAAACCAGTAATAACATATGATCAAGACGATATCTACGGATGGCTTAAACGTTGTGGTAAATTTAAAGCTACTCAAAGAACAAAAGGAGTTTCTACAACGGATCTAGTTGTAAGAATCCTCCAAAACTATGAGGAATATATAGATAGATCCTTGCAAAGAGGTGTAACCCCAGATGAGCTAAATATTGGTTATATGAAAGCGAACCAAATTCAAATGAAAAAAGGCATTCAAAGGTGGGGCGAAAAAGTTACTAATGAATTAACAAAAGTGACTCTCACTGACAGACCATTAGGTATTACGTTTGATGAGAGTGTTGATAATATTAGGAATCAAATTCACAAATCTTTCGATACCTGGAGGGAAGTTTCCAAAAAGTATCTCGAAGGCTTTGCAAGAACATTTGACCCGATGAGATCCTTATTTAGAGAAAATCGCATTTCTGAAGGAGAATCCCCTTCTTTTAAGTGAAATTCTTAATTAGTTGTTTTCTTGAATATACTAGATACTACTACAATTTGTTTTTAAATTTTTATATTAATAAATTTAATTTAATTTTCTTTAATTATTGCATGCAGAGTAATTTTTTTATGTGGATAAGAATAAAAAGAATGCTTACGTGTTTTTTAAGAATTTTGATACCGGTTTGCAAGTAAATTTTTTTTTTTTTAAATTACACGTAATAAGAATTATTTTGGTAATTAAAATATTAAGAAATAATTTATTAAATTAGTAAAGGGGGAAAATAAATAATTTACTGGTTTTTAATTGTAAAAGAACAAATATTGGTGGCAGTTAAATACTTGTCGAGTAATAATTCATAGTTAAGAAAGATCTCTAAACAAAAACTCGAGTAACAATGAGGGGCGAAAGTGGATATTCATAGTATTATGCAGAGAAGATAATAAATATATATTTTATATATTAATTATCTATTAGTACTTTTCGAACGATATTGGCGGGAGGATCTGTGGAAATTATTGGATGCATATTTGCACCATACCCACAGTGGCAATGTAAATATGGGGAGAATTATTTTGAAAATAATTCAAAGAAAAAAGATAACAAGTAAAATTAGTAAAGAAAGTAAGTCTTGAGAACAATTCAAGTACAAATAAGAGATTATTAAAATATATATATTAATACATATATTCGGTGTTTCTGAAATATTTTAATTATTACAATAAAAAAAAAATGAAAAGATTACTTAATGCAATTATTTTCTTGGTTTTATTTGGAATTTCTGCTTCAGGTGTGAACTCTCAAGAATTGATTCTAACTACTGAACCAGCAATTCTAACAGAACAAAACATGGATATAAATTCTTCGTTTGTTTCTCCACCAGTAAATTCAACAGAACCAATGAAGAATAATACTTCTTCATCAGATTCAAGTGATTCAGATGATGAAGGAAACCCAATTCAAAAGTTATTAAAGAAGTTTAAGAATAGTAGAAAACTTGAACTTGCAGAGAAAGAATTAAGTCAGTACAATGAAAGAGAAGAGATTGATATTGCCCAAAAAGAGTTTTCTGGCGCATCAAAGAACTCTAGTGCTACCACAACCACTGTTAAAGGAAAGAAAGGACAATACAATAATGGTTATAATCATAACCATCATCATCATCATCATCATCATCACCACCACCATGGAGGATATAAACCACAAAAAAGTACCACTACTACTTCTACTACTACTACTTCTACAACTAGCACTACTACCACTACTACTACCACTACTACCACTACAACTACCACAACCACTACTACTACCACTACTACCACAACAACTACCACAACCACTAGTACCACTACTACTACTACTACCACTACCACTACCACTACCACTACCACCACCACTACTACTACTACTACCACTACCACCACCACTACTACTACTACTACCACTACTACTACCACAACTACCACTACCACAACTACCACTACCACAACTACAACTACAACTACAACTACAACTACAACAACTGACGTAGCAGAATCTCTAAATTCAAAAGTCAATTCTTTGAGACGTTTAAGAGGGCTTTCTGAGAATTTGCAAGATCTAGAAGAAGAGAACTCTCAGGAAGAAGAAAGTAGATTGAGTAAATTGGCAAATATGACTAAGGAGATTAAGTCAAGTTTGGTGGACTCATTCAACAATACAATGAGTATTGATATTTTGAATAGCACAAAAAGCATTGTAAATCAGACATTAAGTTCAATTGAACAGATTAAGAATGTAACAGCTTCAAATTTGCCATTAAACTCGACAATTTTGGGCCAAATCAAGGAAACAAAAAATTCTGCAGTAAATCAGACAGCAATGGCTATTGAGAACAATATGAACAACCTAACAAACATTGATTTGGATTCCAAAGTTGCAATTTTGATGAACCCTATCAATGAAACCTTAACTATTCTTCAAGAAACAACCAATTTGACAGGGATTGCTGGTAATTTAACAGGATTAACCAATTTAACAAGTAACTTGAAAGGAACAAATATCACCAATATCATTGAAGACTCTATCTTGAAAAACAATATGAATTTAACTCAACAGTTTCCGTTTAATGGATCTTTACTTTTGAACGGTAAAGTAACAAACATAACAACTTTTGATATTCTTCCAGTTGGTGAAAATAATCCAGAAATTGACCTTAACAATACCAATTTAGGAACATGTCCAAATGGGGTTTGTGAAAGCGATCAAGAAAATGATGAAGAATTGTCACTTGAGGATAGAAGCGTTTTAGACCAATACAAACAGAGTGTAGTTGATTCTGATGTTCAGAAAACTGGATCAGCTTCTTCCGTTTTTCCATCTATCTATAACTTTGCGTTCATATTTACAATAATATTCTCAACAATTTATTTGTTACACTAGATATTTTCTCCACTAAATAGAGAGAATATTTACTCTTCGGAAGAAATAATGGAGAATATTGAAAATAAGTAATAATAATAATTATTATTATAATTATCAAATATTTTAAATAACCTTTGCAAAAACATTATGTTGAAATTACTTCTTAAATAGTCTGTAAACATGTTCATTATTTAAATATTATTATTATTATTAATAATATTAATATTATTATTACTCATCTATTTTATTTATTCACCCTTTAATTCTGTTTCTCTCTTTTTAATTATATTTGCAACATAGTGGTAACATATTGATGTTTTTCATATTATTTTTTTAATGAATATTTCTATACCGGTATAAAACGTAATAGAATAATATTTGTGGAAAGAAACAATACGTGTTAATTGCATGCACATGCAAATTTTAATATTCAAATAGAGATGACGTAATTTTGCATGCATTTAGAATTATAAACAAATTAATAATGGACAAGCTAGAAGCGAATAAGTAGAAAAAATAGTAAAACAAGTAACAGATAAACAAGAACTAATCAGTTATTTATAAAAGATAAAATGATTAAGTTTAATTTAGATATTAAAGTAACTTAACTGTATTTTTTCAATCATTTATAGATTCTGTTGATCACTCTCTTCCTTTTTATACTTAACCGTAATGGATAATACAGATAAATTGGAATAGAAGTGTTAATATAAAGAATAAAATTTTGATATATTAAATCTGATTTTTAACTGGAAAAAAAATATGGTTACTTCAGTGTAGGAATAAGTGTTTAAATAATAAACTGGCAGACCCAAAAACTGAAATGATAAATAAAAGTGAAAATAATAATCTGGTTGGGCTTGAAGCAAATTTTTCCTTCTTATCGTAAATTATTCTGTGATGAATTAAGGCAGGGAATAGAAAAACAAAAATGGAATCTACAAATCCACCAGCCATAATTACAAGATAACTTGGTTTATCTTGGAACCTAATGCCAATAATGCAGGATAAAAACAAAATTAAGGTAAGTAGCAAAATCCTTCCAGCTTTTGTTCTAATAAAGGAAGTTTTGTTATTTAAAAATCCATAGCCGTTAATATTATTTCCATTAATAAGAGGCATTCCCTGTTCGTTAAATCCAGCTTGAATATTTCTTGATCCTTCCATTTTTTTAAGGTAGTCATTGTCGATGAAATTTGTAAATGCATCCAACATTGGGTATATATGGAGTGGAATTATAAAGAATAAAGATATTACAACAAGCAACCTTGATATAAAGAATAAATAGGAGGTTTCATTCAAACTATTAAGAAGAAACTCTTCAGTTTTATCTCCAAGAAATGAAAATGATATCAGAGACATAACTGAGTATGAAAAAACTATAATTATACCAGTAAATGCTGTCAAGATACGCAATCTTGTTCTAGTTGGATTCTTTAAATTGGCTGCTGCTGGGATTATATTAAATTGTGAAAAGAATGCGAAAATACAAATATTGAAAAGTGAAAAGTAACTAAGTGCTGAGTTGGAGTTGAAGGATATAATAGAGATCTCTTTAATTATATTATTAATATCAAATCCTGATTTAACTGACTGGCTAATGACTGAAACAAAACAAAGGAGTATGGAAATCATTGATAAAAATGTGAGCCCAATCCAGTTAAAGCATCCTGAAGGAATACATATTGGAAAGAATAATAATGAAAACAAGGATATTATTGCGGTTTTTGAGCTGAACATGAATAAATGATCACTCACAAATCCAAAAGATGAAATTAATGATGGGATCAGGTCTGATAAAACTATTAGAAATAGTGGGATGCAAAATAGACAATCCAAAAATACCAAGAAATCAAATAATCTCGGTATTGAAAATAATGGCTTTTCAGATCTTTGACTTCTCAAACTTGTTGTTATCTCATCACTATAAGCCATAAATAATAATGACCCATAAGATTCTGTACCTGATTTTACACTTGCATTTGCCAAAGTCTTCATTGATAAAACTGAAAATGTACCTGCTAGTAAGGAAATGACTATTCCTGCCAATGCACCACAATTCTTATATGCTGATGGAATGTAAAAACACCCAACTCCAACTGAAGTTGAAACAAGAATTAAAATTGTTGTCAACATTGAACTCTTCTCATGGGAAAACATCTTTGAAAACACTCTTAATACTAGTGCTAATATCAATATTTATTTTGTACAATACTAATATACTCTAGTTTAATTCTTTAAACAAAATATATTATGTTACTTAATGCTTAATTCCATACATCAAATTTCATCTTATTTTACCTCATTAATTAATTATATTAAACTTCTTTATTAATTTTTAATATTCACCGGTACTAAATAAGTTTGTGGGAGAATTTCCCGCCTGTTCTGCTATTTTCTTTATAGTACCTATAAAAATAGCATTCAAAATATATATATATTATATTTCACTTTATTACCGCCAAAAGTTCAAAAATAGTATAAAAATCAACAGGGAGAAATAGACAAGTGGGTGGTTGAAAGAGCCAACACAGAACAAAAAAAAAATTTTAAGGTAAAATTACAAAAGGATAAATTCAATACGTTATTTATAATGTGGCTGAAAAATTTATCTGTTGCATATTCAAATTTATCTACTATAATCATTCTTTTTCATCTATGGCGGACTTGCATAAATTTAAATCGTCATTTTTACCGCCAAAAGTTAGTATATTAATAATACATCTATTCTAATTTGCATGTAATACAAAAAACAATTAAACAAATGGCGCCATAATTTTCAATTTATTTAATCAGAAAATTGGCAAATTACAATTAGATAAGAAAATTTCTTTACATTAATCGAAAGTTACAAAAATTTGATGATAAAGTCATGAAATTATGCTAAACGCAACATTTTTTGTTTTAATATATAACACCGATTTGAATCAACGAGGGAATACGTGAATATAATCCCAAATAAAATGCAAAAATACATGTTTTGAACTCGTATAATTTTAAAATTCCGAAAAAAAATTAACACGATTAAATGAATAAGAAAATAGGCGGTTCTTTTTTTGTGTATATGATAAAGAGTTTTATCATTGTTGTTTTGATTGCAAACATTCTTAATATGAATAATAATTCCTAGTTAATGATTTGAATTAGACCTAATCTAAATGAATAAAATAATTGCAAGAAGGATTTTGAAATAGTAATACTAAATAAAGCCAAAATTAGCAGTGCTCATTTTGGTATTATTTATCTTTTAGTGAAAGCTATCAATAGGATTTCTTTGAGTTAAATGTAGTACCTTTAGAGCTTGTCAGCTACAACTTCTTGCATACCTTTAAATGATTCAGCTAAAATGTCTTCAAGCTCTCCATAAAACTCCTTGTAGAGACCAAATAAGGCGGATTGTTGCCTATATGCAGTGTTTAGATCATAGTACTCTGAGCTCAATCTGGATAATTCTTCTCTAAGTTGAGCAAGTTCTGCTGATTTGTTTTCAATACTTTGCTTTTTTAGAACATCTTTTTGTTTAGAAATATAGTTGGATTTAAGGGCCTGATCAAGCTGAGAAATCCTTTTATTGGCATCCTCTAGATCTCTTTTTATACTATTAATTATATTTGATGAAATTGATTCAAAATCAGTTAGGGATGAATTTTTTGAAATAATTGAAAGAGTATCTAAAGATGCATTACTTAAGCTTCTTTGAGAAAGACCTTGTTTACAAAGTTTGTCTTTATTAAATCCAAAACTCTCAATTTGAGTAGTAGGAAGATTACAGTTACCAGAGTTAATAGATTCAACCATTCTTTTAACAAATCCCTTATTACATAGAGAATTGAAAGTTTCATTATGATTTGGACTATTTAGAGATGGTAAATTACATGGCACTTCTGGCCTTCCAAGACTGAAATAGCATGCTGGGAGGTCTACAACTGATGTACTACCAGAGTATTCTGCTCTATAGTCCAGTATATCACTATATTCAAGTTCCTTCTTTTCAAACAAGTTACAATCTTTAGGATTTGGGACGGTTTGGCAGGAGGTGTGTAACAATGATCCAAACATATTTGGAGAGTTTTTGTTTGATCCAGACTCTGATACTGGACCATAATAACTGGATTTTGTTGATCCTTGAATTGAATCTTTCTCTGAGTGGTTATCAAATATATGATTTTCGATTAAAAGCTCCTCTTTAGGAAGTTCTAAACTCTTTTTTGAGACAATTTTTACATTATTGGAATTCTTTCTACCAAATGACATCATTGAACTTAATTTTGAGAAAAAACCTGAAGATTTTGAATTTTTTCTAGATAATGAAGATTTCCTACTTGAAAGGTTTGTTTCATTTAGTTGATCTTCAATTTCCTCAGGAATACCTGTAGGCTCATTTAAATGATCAAGAGATCTACTGGAACTAATTGAGAACTGCTTATTTAAGGTACTAACTCTGCTTAAATTAGCAGAAGAAGCATTTTTTGTACTAGATGCCATTTTTTTAGATAATTGCTTGTATAGAAAATCTTCCTCTTTGGGAATGTATGGTTTCTTTTCAGACTCTGGGTTCATTGAAACTAGAACTGGTGGATTTGAGATTCCTTTTCTCCATTCATCAGAAGTACAGGATGGTATACCTGCAAAGCAATCAGGGAAAAGATCTTCAGAGTATGTATGATGTTTTCTAGGTAAACAAATACTAACCACATCAATAGAGTCAGTATTAACAGCTTTAAATAGACGAATTACTTCAGATTTTGATATGTCTAAACATCTTGTTGGTAAAAAGCATGCCCCTCTCTGTGGCTTAGTTGTCCTTACTTCTTCCATTTGAATTAGAGATTCTTCCTCACTATCGAATCTAAAAACTCTGAAATTTCCATCACCTTTTCCAAACACAGTTAATAGCTTAAAATTATCATCAAAGTTTGGATATAAAGTACTTGACATAATATCCAACTGAATATCAATAATTGGAGATTCTATATTACGTATATCCCAAAGTTTAACTGATCTAGATCCTGCTTTAGTAAATCCTGTTGTTATTAACTTATTTTGTATGGTACCAAAACCACCCATCCATGTACATTTACCAATACGGGTACCTTCATGTGCTAAAAAGTTTAATGCAGTAGTTTGTTCTCTAGGATCTACAATTCTTATTAATCTGTCTTTATTAGTAGTAGCTAAAATATTTCCAAAATAATTCCATTTAATATCATAACAGAGGTTCTTGTTTTCTTGATAAGAAAAGATCTTCAGAGATCTTTCAAGATCCCAAATTGCAATTTCTCCATCACTAGAAGTTGAAGATAGAATATTATTAGCATTTCTATTAAACTCAATCAAAGTTACTCTCTTTTCGTGTCCATGTAAACTTGCTATAGGAGAGGCTATTTTCTCAACGAACTCTCCTCTCTTAATGTTTTGAGAATCATTCATATTACTTTCTAAAATATCAAAGAATTCTCCACTATTAGGTAACTTCCATGTTTTAATACTTCTATCGTCGGAGCTAGTAGCTAGGAAGTTATTATAAAATGGAGAAAATTTCATATCAGTAATTCCTGCTGAATGGCCAGAAACCATCATTGTTGGAGGTTTCCTTATTCCTATTGAATCTATTGATATAATACTCGCAGATCCTCCTCCTCCATCATTTGCATATGCTATGAATTTGGAAGAACATGTTAGTCCAGGTCCTTCATTCAATCTAGTTCCTATTCTTAGATCTGTATAGTTTTCTTTTAATATCTTGCTAGAAAGGGTTTTGAAGTTATTAATTCCTGACTGCATCCTAAGAACCATTTTTGTTAGGGTTAAGCAAGTTTTATTGAATGCTTCTTTTTAGTAAATATTTGGAGTAAATCTTAATTATTTATTTCATTTGAACCTTTAAACAGATAAATAAATAAATAAATAAATAAATATATGCATATATATATATATATATATTTATTTATTTATTTATTTTATATACATATATTTGTTAATTCTTAATATTTATACGTCTTTTCTGTATTGTTTTCTTTTATTGAGTCTTTTTTTTCTCCTACTGTTTCCTTCTTTTGCAGAAGTAATTAACTAACTTTTTTCTTTTTGTTGAATTTATCTTTCTTACTTTTTTCTTTCTTTTCCTTTCTCCTTTTATGATCATTCTTTGACTCATGGTATCTTATGATCATGCACTTCCCGCCAAAATACGTATGCATGCACTAAATTAGGCGCCATAATTATACAGAAAGAATAAAATTAGAATGACAATGATAAAAAATATGTTTTTCTGCTCTTTTCTTCTTTAATTTTTATTAATTCTTACTACATATTGAAATTTTTAGTGTAAAACTCTGATTCTGCTGTATGATTTAATAACAGTTTGTAAAAACGATGTAGGGCAAGACACAAATTACAGAGTGGTTTGTATTAAAAGTTCAGAGTGCAACTTGGAGGATGAATAAAGAAAAAAAGAATAAAGAAAGTAGTAAAAAAAAGATTTAGGAATAAGAGTTGATATTAAGAGTGTTATATGAGTTTCAGATTAATTATGGTTTAGTTTTCAAGGAATAATGAATTACTTGAACTGCAGTCTGAGAAGTTATCAAGAATTTCATCAAGAACATCATCTATTTCATAAATATACTTTTGCTTCTTTTTTTTCCATTTCTCTCTTAATTCGTTTAGAACCATTTTTTTATTATTTTGAATTTTTTTTTCTTCTACTATAGAGTTGCTTAAAGAAGGATCTAAAGTTTCTTCAGAATTATTTGACTTTAAAACATTGGAATTCAAGGATCTTTCCGAATCTTGTGATTTTCCAGATGCTCTGCATGATTGCTCATCTTTATCACTTTGTGTTTTCACTCCTGTATACTGTAGTAACCCACACGTTGTACATCTGCAAATTTGGGTATCTATAATTTAACAAAATTAAGAATAAGTTTAAGCTATAAATTAAATAGGAAAATTGCTGATAATTTTCTTATTTTAAGTAAATATAAACTTCACAAAATTACACTTAAATAGAGTTTATCTTTTATTTTCTATTCGTGATTTCCAAATTTTCCCGCCATATTAAACATACCTTTAGGAACTATAGTATAAGTAATACATCTAGGACATAATACCTTAATGCATTGAAAGGATTTACCAAAATATGGATATCCAACAAAATTGATACATTGACAAAAATAACATTTAACAAAAATACCAACTAGTTTTCTGTAGTTAAATTTCCTTTTATTATTCTTAATACCTTTAAAACTTACTATTATACTCGTTTTTTGTATTGCATTCTGAGCAAACCACTATGTTGGCCATGGTTTTCCATTTATTCCTCTCAATTCTCCCAAAATTCCTACAAGCCTATTTATTTTCCTTTGTTTATGTAATTTCTTTCTTATTATTATTATTTTTTTTTATAATTTAAACTTAAAATCTATTTATTCTTGATTCATGTAATAAAACACCCAGTTACTATCTTTATGCAAATTCATATTTTCCCGCCATATGTGAGGTATCTAAAATTTACAATGAACATTTTTGGCGCCTTTTATGGGGGAAAAAAAAGGGTAACTTAATAGGAGGAATTAAATTTGAAAAAGGCTGGAACTAAAAAGTAGAAAAAAATAAGTTTAAAAATCTGGGATTTCATACGTTTAAAAAGAAAAGAGAGAGAAAGAAAATAAAAAGAGAGAAAGGTTGGAGTGTATATTTAATGCACATATATATATATATGAAACGAGTCTGTGAAGTTAAATAAGAGCTCCAGTATTAACCTTTCTGATTAGCCATGTTCGGAAAACCAAATAGTAAAGCAGTGGGAGGTAATAGATTGGTTATTGGGACTAATGTGAGAAACAATAAAGATTTGGATATTCCAGTATCATTTGGAAGATCTAGTAAGGATTATATCATTTCAAAGAAGAAGGAAAAAGAAAAAAGGATTTATGAAAAGCTTAAAAGTAATAAAATCAAAGTTATAACTTATTATGTAATACAACATAAATTTTATAAACTTACAAAAAAATCATTTTGTGATTCTTTAGAAAACTTTTTGTATCAAAGTCAAAGTTCAACACATATAAACCTAAACAGGATTATTAGGCTTTTTAGATTCACATTGGAAACAAACTCGGAAAAACTTGGAAGAGATATTGAAAGATTCTATCTAATTATAGAACTAACAAATAAGGATCTTCAAAAATCTTCTATACAGATCTCAATAAGTAATCTTTTATTTCTTTTTAGAAATTCTCTTATGTTAATATTTCTCGACGATAAAAATGAAACTCTCAAGATTAAAAAGAATTTATTAAAAGATTTTACTGATCAGATACTTTACTTATTTTTTTCAAGATCAAAATTTAAAGATCAAAAGGTACCGAACAATCAATTTAAAAAAAAAGACTTAATTGGTATGATTTTTAATTATTCAATGATAGATTTGTTTTTCATTAGATATTTGGAATTGAAAATCTTAAAGATGGAAATTGAAACTGAAATTGTATTTGAAATACTGGATGAGATTTTTCTATTATGTAAGTCTAAATTATCCAGAGATCTTAACCAAGTTTTCTTTTACATGGGTAATGACTTATTAGATTTTCCCAAAAATGATAGCTACTTATTAAAAAAATCCACAAAGTTAAGTAAACACAATCATCTTCAAATAGAATCATTCTTCAAAAATAGGTACTTTTGGGTCATATCTTGTTGTTTTTCTCTTATATTCAAAACTAAGCATATTCTAAGTGAATCCAAAATTAAAGTACTCATTCAAACTTATCTGGGTCTTTTAGATCTAAATTCTTTACAAAATTGGATAATGAGTGAAAACCAAGACTCCATTCAAGTAGTTAAAAATCCATTTCAACTAATTCCTCCAAATTCTCCTTTCTCTCTTATTTTACTGAATTACTCATTCCTTTATCATTTAGAACTCTGTAAGAACAAATGTGAATTATCCAAACCAATAAAACTCAGAAACTTCAAATTAAAAAAAGATTCAGAACAAAGAGAAATTACTGATAGAATTGAAAATGATCTCACCTCTATTTTTTACATTATTAATTTTTGGGATTTCTCACCAGATATTTTATTAAATATAGATGAGACACTTTCTACTCAGTTTTATACTAGTAAAGATGAAATAATACAAATGATTAGCTTTATATTTGAAATAATTATTCAAAATCATAACAATTCTGATACACAAATGATAAATGACAATAACTTAATATTAATTGAGGAGAAATTAAAGTTCATGTATTTGGTTCGCCTATATATGCTATTTTTAGATCTCCAAGGCAAATTCTTATTATTAGGTACCTATATTAAAAATATAGACAATAATAAAGACAAAAAAATCTTCTTTGGAAACAATAATCAATTGAAAGAAAGCCAATTACTTTCAAAAAATATGATTAATCAAGTTATTCAACCTACTTTAAATTTGGCTTTAAATTTTGCATGCAGAGACGAGACGACTTTAAAACATGCAATTAATATTATCAACTTAATTAATGATATTTATTTTCCATTAAATCAGATACCTAATATTATATTTGAAAATATATACTTTTATAACAACATTTTTACAAAAAATAAGTCAAATTATTTACATAATGCATTGGATTTATGTATTGATCAATCTGGTAGTAATAATAATAATAGTAATAGTGATAATAATATTACCGGTAGTAATGATCAAGATCAAAAAAGTATTTTTAATATAATAAAAGAATCAACTATTTCTTATCATAGCTTTTTAAAGAATAGAAAAAGACCTTTAAAAGAGAATATTACCTTTCAGGAAGATAATATTTTCATGAAAAAGATAAGGTTTTTCTTCTTGATTGGTGAAATTGATAAACGAAATAATAATAATAATAGTATCAAAAATACTGAAGATGCATTAATTAAAAGTATTAGGGTATTTCATAAAAGTCAAGATCATAAATTCTTGGAAAAAACTTATCATGAATTTTATTCAAATGATTACCATAGTCTTGAAAGTTTCTGTGATATTTTAGCTAAATCTAAGTTGAAAGTATTACAGGAAATGCAGAGTTTAGTACTTAATTATCTTTCTTATGATACATATTGGGTACTACTTTTATTTCTATCCATTCATAATACTGTAATATATAATTATAATGGAAACTTAAATTCTTTTATACTTGATGTTATTGAAAGTAAGAAAGATGGTTATAATAATCTTGGAAAACTTTTAATGCTTTTTGGAGTCTCATTAAACCACCAGTTATTATTTCTAGATGATTATGAAATCAAGAAAAGTATTGAAATGATATTATTAAAAAATTCTAACTCAACTAGTAATAATTATTGTGATAATAATTACTTGAAAATTGGTGAAGATCCAAACTTAAGACTTATTCCATTTTTGAATTCCAATGATATAATGGTTAATAGTAATAAAATTATAACAGGAATAAGTGGATCTGAAATTCTTGGAAAGATTTTGGAAGATCTTAGTAATCATAGAAATTTATATATACTTATTACTTATAAGAATATCCAAAGTATTAATATTGAAGATGATATAAATAATAATATGATTAAATGCAGAAATTTCTTGATTCATCCAATTTTGTTAATAAATAACAGAAATCAGTTAAACTATGTTTCTTTGTTTATTAACAATTTAACTTTTTCAATTTTAAAAATGATGTTAGAAATGAAAAACAAAAATGCTGAAAAGGATACTGATATAGATAATAGAAATGGTACTGGGAATTTGATTAATGTCTCAATTTTTGGAAAGTTAACCAGAAGACTTTACCAGAATTATTTAAAACTTAATCACATTCAAATGAAATTGGATGACCCAATCATTAAACTTCCTTGGACAATATCTGAAGCCTCGAATTTGCTTAAACCTAGAGATGTATTGATTAAACAAGCTTTACATATTGAATCACTTGGATCTTTTCCTACAAATAATCCTGGAGAATATGAATTTGAACTTGGTGAAGAAGATAGAAATAGGAATAGAAATAATAGTAATGAAGATGATAATTATGATGATGATGATGATGATGATGATGACGATGATTATGATTATGATAGTCATATTATTAATAATAAAAGTAATAATAACTCCAATTATAATAGTAATAATGGAAGAAGGCCAGCAAGATTGGATTTACTTAAAGTATTTGATTCAACTTTAAAATACGTCTCAAATAAGTCAAAATTTGAATTATTAAGACAAATTCTGAGAGAAATGCCATATTTAATAGGATTTGAGGATAGACTTCACTTCTATTATCATTATATAGCAGAATTAAGATTTAATCATTATCAACCAGAATTCTTCCATGAGATTCCAAATTTTGAAATTAGAAGAACCCATATAATAGAAGATGGCTTAAATAAGATTGGGAGTTTAGATCCAAATAGATTAAGAATAGCATTTAGAATAATATTTTTGGATGAACAAGGAGATATAGAACCTGGAATTGATGGAGGAGGACTTTTAAAAGATTTTATTACTTGTATTTCCAAAGAACTTTGTTCAGAAAGTTTTGGTCTCTTCAAATCTTGTAAAGATAATACAATAATACCAAGAGAATATGATAGTTTAATGGAAATCTCTAACAAGTTTAAAGACTTAATAATAGATGAACCATTAAGCTTAAAAAAATCAAATATAGTATTATACTTATTTGAATTTTTGGGTAAAATTGTAGGTAAAGCCATTTATGAAAAGATACTTTTAGAAATTGAATTTAATCCAGTTTTTTTAAACTCAGTTTTTGAACAAAATAATGATTTTAATGATTTATTAAATCTTGATGAAGAATTATATAAAAGTTTAAATTATATAAAGAATTTGGAAAATGACCAAGAAATGAAGAACCTTTGTTTAACTTTTTCAATAACTTTAGACTTAGAATCTTTAAAAGATGGTAAATCCAATAATAATAAGTATCTGGAAGTTGATTTAATTCCAAATGGAAGAAATATTCCAGTTAATAATGAAAATAAGATAGTATATATTAAATTATTAACGTATTATAAGCTGATTACAAGTATTAAACTTCAGGCTGAGTCATTTCTTAGAGGACTTAGTACAGTAATTCCAAATGAATCTTTAAGATTGTTTTCACCTTATGAATTACAATCTTTAATTTCTGGTGTTTATCAAAAATTGGATGTTAATAATTTGAGATTAAATACATGTTATACAGGTTATATAGAAACTTCTCAACAAATTATATGGTTTTGGGATATTTTGGAGAATGAATTTTCAACAGAAGAACAAGCAGAATTTTTATTATTTGTAACTTCTTCAAGAAAAGCTCCTCTGCTTGGATTTCAGCATCTTAATCCAAAATTTGGTATTCAAATAGTTCCAGATAATACAAGATTACCAAGTGCTTCCACATGTTTTAATTTATTAAAATTACCATCTTATAATTCAAAAGAAATCCTTAAATTGAAATTAAGACAAGCAATTTTCAATTCAAAAGGATTTGATTTAAGTTAAATAAAATATAGTTAGGTTGAATGAATATACACTTTTTATTCTAGTGCTTTTTTGATTTCATCATATAGGATTAGTACTAGAGCTCCACCTGTTCCTCTAAGTACATTTGATAATGATCCTTTAAACAATGCTCTAACTCCTTCTTTTCTGATTATCTTCTTAAGGCAATCATAAGCTCCAGTATATAAAACATCTTGTCCTTTCTTGCCAGCCATCATCATCATTCTTCTACGAATTGTATCGAATGGATAACATAATATTCCAGCACTAGTTGTTACAGATTGTGCGATTATCCATTTATATAACATATTTTCTTGTTTTTGATTTTTAAAAAACATTTCTTTTGTTGTATCATATAATCCAAAATAAGCTGCTCTGTATACAAAAATACCTTGTATTGACACAAAAAATCCCTGATATAAAGATCTGATTCCACTTTGTTTAGATATTTTCATTATACAGTCAAACATTCCTTTAAATTCTTTACCATTGTTTTTTCCTATATCTGTAGCCAATCTTGTTCTTGCAAAATCTAATGGATAAACAATTCCTGAAGATGCTGCACCAGCTAAACCCCCAGATAACATATTAACGCCAAAAAACTTCCAAAAATCGGACTCTTTATTATAAATTGGCATAATATTTCTTATCATATCTTTAAATGCAAATCCAAATGCTTGTGTTGGAAAATATCTGATTACATTGGTTGTATTTCCTCTCCATAAACTTAAAACTCCTTGTTCTTTTGATACTCTTCTCATACAATCCCATATTCCAGCATACCTAGGAATCAAACCCTTGATTATATCAGGATTTGTATCTTGAGTTTGTAGAAGAAGTTTTACTCTTTCTATTGGTGCAACTGCTGTCTTACTAATTGTTGCTGAAATTCCTCCAACTATAAAATCTGTAAGAAAGTTATTCTTTTTTTTTTTCTTTTGATCTTCTTTTGCTATTTCCATTTTAATCTCAAATAAAAATTAAATTTTCTCTTTAAAATTGACAAATTTTATCTAATCAATTCTTCTTTTGTTCTTGCTATATTAATCTTAGCACTTCCATATGACATCTACTTGCCTATGAATTTGTATAAATACAAATACATAGATTTCAAAGCTATATTTCCAATATCTTTATGTACTTGATTCTTGTTATTATTCTATTTTTTTTTTTTTTTTTTTGAATTATAACGATCTTTCTTTTGCATTTACTTATTTTTAAGTCAAAATTAGAAAATTTTGGCGGGTTCTTAATGTCATTTTTTAAAATTAATATATTTTCAGTACTTTTTGTTAGTTAAATATAAATCTTTAATTAATACAATAAATTTCTTGTGCTGGGATAAGCTCAAAATTGGCTCTATATTTTAAATATGCATCTTGACGATGATTACTCCATGTTGTGGGAGCATCTTGTATATATTTTGAAGATTCATATTGATTAGATTGATCTTGATCATTAACATGATCTAAATTATTAGATCCAGTATTATTTGAATTAAATATGCTAGAAAATGCAATCCTTTGAGCAATTAGTGGCAAAATTTCATTTAAAGTTTCAATGAGTGGTAAGAAATACTCTAAAGTTAATAAATATGTTCCATTATTTAACTTCTTAGAATCTAATGCATCAAAATCAAAAGATTCGTATGCCATTTGCATTGTTCTCCAACCTGGAATAGTGTATTTTCCATCAAACCATCCAAATGGACCCATCTTATTTTGCTCAGTTATATACCATCTTTGGTCATACTTATATGTAACATTTGGTGCGATACAACTGTTGATAACTTCATTAATATTTGAAACTCCTTTATCATAATTTTTATCTAAAGATATATTCTTTGAAGCAAGAATTCTCTTACTCATTAAACTTTGTGCATGTAAATACTGCTGTTGGCTTTTCGTGTTTTGTAT